ATGAATTTGTGAGTATATATTTATAATCGCAGACAGTTTTAATAAGAAAAAGAAAGTAAATGTACTCCAACACAAGTTGGCTATTTTTCTTACTCATTCATTTGCTTTTATCACCTCGTATTTCTTTACATAGATATGGCTTTGTATTTTTAAGCGTTGTAAATTATTTAAAATTAAAAAAATATCTGTATATCTTGAGTCATGAACTTATCATTGATAAGTTGTAAATTGTGTGGTAGCTAGATCAATCAAAGAAACAAGTTATCTTTAAGATGTGGACCATCAAGAAAGTAATAATCCTCGGCAAGATGTCACAATGATAAAATCCTTCTTGTAAAAGGAAGGTATCAGGTTCCATGTACATGTTCATAATCATAGAACTTTCTAATATAAAAAAGAAACAATCTTATTTTTTTTTAAGTGAAAAGGAAGTTTCATTATTAGGACATGCCACATATTGTTTTTTCAGAAACATCTGATAGCCTAAAATATCAGATAGTGTGAAATAAATTATGAATTTTCAAAAATAGAACATCTAATAACTCGCCGTTAATTTCAGTAGACGGACGTTATGTGGGGCTCACAATGACATATGGCACTCCATGGGCACTTTACATCGACATGTGTAAATGTGTAAATTTAGTCACAAATTATTTTTCAAAGAGCATTGGATCGCCTTTATTATAAACAAAAATGAACCATCCAACACATTCCCATCAATTTTGACAAAATACAATTTATTTTCATACTTATGAGATCCATAATGTATTAATCTCTCTAATATTCTTGCCTTTGTTCCTACTCTCAGCTCAAGAATATGAAGGCATTCATGAGGATGATACTAATGAAATAAAAGCTTGATTTTATTACACATGAGAAAAGCTTATTTTAACTTAATTTAGCCATAAATTATTTATTCTACGTTGTTGGTGTCGTTTTCGCTAATGTTTTCGGATAAGAACTCTTTAAATTTTTTCTTTTTGAATTAAAAATGAGAACGAAGGCAAGAAAATTGAAGAGATTTATGTATTATAAGTCTCATAAGTTTGAAAACAAATTATGTTTGATCAAAATTAATAGTAATGTATTGGATAGTCTATTTTTTATATTAGATGTTATCAGTACTACTTGAAAAATAGTTCATGACTAAATTTACACATTTACACATATGACATGGAGTGCTTGTGAAGTGTCACATGTCATTGTGGGCCTTACATAACGTCCGTCCATTGAAATTAGTGGCAGACTATTGGATACTTTATTTTTTAAAGTTCAGAATTTATTTTACATCATTTAATAATTTAAGCTATCAGATGCACTTGAAAAAATAGTATGTGCCTAGATTTATACCTTTACCCATTTCATCAACTAAAACTGTACATAAGTAACATTCTTTATCAACAAATTGTAAATTAAATTTGCCGTGTCGTTTTCTAAGGTGGCTTTAAATGTTTTCTTCTCATATTATATAGATTTTATATTTTCCATCTAAAAAGGTATTTTGTTTATTTCATCTCAATAACAAATTAATTTTCCTGCCAACATCCAGAATTATAGTAAAATACGTTGACTCCTTTTGCGGGGCAGTGAATGAAAACCCCTGTTGGAATTATGTGCGTTGCGTCGATAGGATGGAGCGACCTACAGACAAAGCCATAACTGGTAACCGCTTAATGGACACAAAGTCATATAACCCCCACTCTGATGCCTTCCCATCTTCCATACATCTATCAAATCAATTCGCACCGTATCCAGATTTTCTATAATAAATTATTTTAATTACTTCCAGCCAGCTAATTAAACACCATACATATATCTAATTTTCCATAATTTCCCCTCAGGATATTTGCATGCGGATAACTACATTCTCGCTTCACAATTAAGACACGGATGTATATCTTGAGCGAATCGTTGTCATTTTTAAGCAACAAATGTCACTCATAATGGAAATTTCAAACCAGTTTCCACCCAATTAAAAACATGATCCCTAAACAGACCTCGAAATGATCGCAATCCTCGTTCAGAATCAAAGCAGGTTCGCGATCTGAGTATTGTCCATTCCCACGCCATCACGAATCATGGAAGGAACGGTGTTCGGGGGCTCCGTGTTAGACGATCTGATCGGAACAGAGAGTGGCGTTTCCATGGGATCTGGTTTGGAGGAGGACGTGGACGAAGGTAAGCCTGTGAAGAAGGTGCGATCCATGAGCAGCGCACCGACGAGGCAGTACCCACCGCCCATTGGTCGAAATCCTTTCGTCTTGACAAGAGAGTATCGTGATGAAAGGCTTATAGTAAGAGCAGAGAGAGCGAAGCGTCATCAAGATTTTGAAGTTCACAGAGAAAATGGTAGACTCGCAATGACGCTTGTCGTCTCGGAACTGGAAGTTAGCGAGGAAGGCGGAGAGGGGACGGACGTGGCTTGTGATGGTGAGTTGGACAAGGAGCGCGGCTCGTATGAGGTCTGTTTTGATGCTTGCATGGAAATGGATGAATTGGAGATGCCTATGTGGTCCTTGACCATCCAAGATTCCCCTCCTCTGCGACCCATGGCTGCAGCCACGTAATTATTTGCTTTACCGTTCATACATTATTGTCATAGAGATAACCAACAACTATATTTATAACAAAACGAAGATATAATATAAGAAGAAAAAAGGCTTCAGACTATAATGTATTCTTTTCGGATGAAGATGGAAAAAAAAAAAGAAAACTATGATCTAATTCTCATTTCTCAATCGTATGATGATTAGTAGTGGCATTGTTAAGGGTGGAAATAGACAAGAAGGTCTACCGAGACATATGGCCCAGCGAAGCTTATTCAAGAAAAATGCCAAACTTAAACTTGCAGCAAAGCTTATATAAGCAAATGACCCTAGCCTATTTACTTGAAGTTTACATGCTTATACTTTTAAATTCTATTGGTACATATAATAATATACATACGCATATTTAGATAAACATAGATCGTATGATATAAAGTATATGCATAAAAATATAATTAATGTGAATTTTGTTAATTTAATTTAGAATTTTATTTTTATAAGTTGAAGATTATATTAACAGATGAAGCAAAATTTCACCTTATATGTATTAATAAGCTATTATCATAAACATGTGACCAAAAAATTAAATAACCATTATCATTAATGTAAGTAAATATCATTCCCTCCCATGTAAACGAGTAAGTGTGTGCACATCATATACTATTATAACATAATTTAATTAAATTATATTAAAATATCAACATAAATGAATAGATATACATGATACATGGGTTTCAGCCTGACCTATTTAGTCTAGCTTGATAAAAAGACAAGACTTCAACCTATAATTAACCAGTTTATATAAACAAACGTGTAAAATTTTTTTCTCTCCTTCTCTCCGTTATAATTTTCTAGACTTTTTTCTATCCAAACTAGGAGAGGACCCTAACACATTCTTATTTTGCTTGGCTGGATTTTATGTTTTTGGGTACATGTGTGGAAACATAAAGTGCATGTTTGGATGCTTCAAAATAATATATTTTAAATGTTAAAATTAAAAAAATGATAATAAAATTTCTCTAAAATATATAAATAATAATTTAGTCTCTCAAAATGTTATAAATTTTTTAAAGTCTCTAGAAATTTTTTTATCATTAATAAATTTATATAAATTATCAAATTATTCTTGTTAAAAAATGATAAATAAATTTTATTTAAACATTCACAACTTTTCTTCTTATACTCCCAACAATGCAATAGCAAATTACAACTTTGTATGTTAAATTACTTATTTGCTGTTGTATTGTTGCGAATATAAAAAAAATTATGAATATTTAAACAAAATTTGTGAATATTTTATTTTCAACAAAAGTAATTTGATAATTTATATAAATTTATTAAGAATAGAAAAGTTCCTGAGGACTTTAAAAAAATTATGATATTTTTAAGAGATTAAATTATCATTTATATTTTTTAAAGAGGTTTTATTATCATTTTTTCTTGAAATTATGGTTATGTAAAAATACATCTAAGCACCTTTATGACGTGTCAAAATTAATTATAAATCTAAAATTATAGTCTTCTTAGAGATAGCTAATCACACACCCAATAAGCATTAAATTCAATCAATTATAAATTTAAAATCTTGGTCTTCATAAAAATATTCAAACAACCCCCATACACGCCAAAATTAATTATTAATTAAAAATCATGATTTATAAAATATAATGATTAAAGTGCACATTTAGTACTTTATTTGCTGCACAAGTTTTTTTATTTTGGTCATTTAATTTTATAAAATATATTTTTTAATCATTTAATCCTAACATAATTACTTTTATCAATGAAAGATCCTTATATTAAACTTTTAAATATTGATAAAATATTATCAAATATTAACATATATACTAAGTTTATTTTTTTAAATGATAATAATTGATATAAAAATAATTATTTAAAACCAATAATGTTAAAACTAAAGAACTTAATAGATTTTTTTATAAAATTAAATCAACAAATTAAAATCATATATAAACTTAGGAAACCAGAATTAACCTTCCGCCAAGTTGATTTTATATGGTTTTTGAATAGATTTTTATGAAAAAAATAATTGAAATTTTTAATTAAAAAGTATACAACAATCATTTACGAGATAACCATTCATAATTGATTTTAATAAACAGTATTAGTGTTTTGATATTTTTGAAAAGACCATGATTTTTAATTCATAACTAATTTTGACATGTAATATAGATATTTAGATATATTTTCAAAAAATTCTTATTTTTTATTTTTAAATTCCACTTTATTTTTTAAAAAATTAATCATATTTAAAATTAAAATTAATCATATTAATCAATTTTCTTATGATAATTTCATTTTTCGGGAGCGGGGAAGGTTCTGGGGCGGGAAAGTTTAATGAAGCCCGAAGACAAGTTCCCTAGCAGGTCGCAGCTCACGCCTTGTCCCGGCCTCGCCTTCTTTTTTTTTTTTTTTTTTTTTAAAAAAAAAAAATTTAAATAGACGTTCAAGCCCTAGGTTCCCCAATCTTCAAATGTTCATTCAAGTTCAGGCTCACTCCTTCGGTTCCTCCCTCGTTCTTGTTCTTCAATTTCAGACACTCCTCCTCAGATTTCGTCCTCGCAAGTCGCTCTCTTCCCTCATTCTTAGTCATCGATTTCACCATTTTGGCCGCTCCCCCTCACCCTTCATCTCCCCTCCTTTGGCAAAGTCGTTCTGCGAAGAAGCGAAGTCATCTTACGAGCGAGGTGCAGGTGAGTAAGCGCATCGCATTCCCTACATGTTCCCACTGCTCGAAATCCTTCCCCTCATGGTCCCTACTGGAATCGTTATTTTTATGCTTCGATTAAACTTGCTTATGTTTTTTCTGCCTATGCTTCTGATTCCATTTCCATTTTTCTGAAAATGCCATCCCATTTCCCCTCGAAATTAGCTCGGCTTTTGATTAGACTTTAGATAGGTTTTGGTCTCTGCTTAACTCTTTTAACTTATTGTTATCTACTTATCTTTCTCCATTAAAGAAACTATGGATATTTAACTAGCTCGTGTGTTTATTATTCATGAAATTTTAATATAAACGAGTGTTTGATTTGATAAACTTGCCCATTCTTCATGTGGGTGATCTCTGATACAGTGTGGCTGGCTGATGGTTCATAATCTTCTAAAATCAAGTAGATTCCTCAATCAATCTAAAAAGGCCCTTGGTTTGCCCATTGCCTATAGCCGTTGCATCTGTGATTCTAAATTTGCCTCAATGAAAAACATGAATGCTGAAGTTGCATCTAGTTTGTATACTTTTGGCTCCAGTGCAGAACCTGGCAGCATAGATTCCGTATCAGGAAGTGAAGATTCTAACACCTCATCATTGAGTGTTCAATCCACCCCTGAAATTGAAAAGAAGTATGTGCACCATGTCTATGATGCGATTGCTCCCCACTTCAGTTCAACCCGGTTCGCCAAGTGGCCAAAGGTTGCCTCATTTTTGTCATCTTTGCCGTCAGGGTCTCTTATCCTTGATGCAGGCTGTGGCAATGGGAAATACTTAGGCTTAAATCATGATTGCTTTCTCATAGGATGTGATGTGAGTCCTCCCTTGATTAAAATATGCGCAGATAGAGGGCATGAAGTTCTGGTTGCAGATGCTGTAAATCTTCCATACAGAACTGATTTCGGGGACGCAGCAATATCTATAGCTGTGTTACATCACTTAAGTACTGAAAATAGACGGAGAAAAGCAATAGAAGAATTAGTACGGGTTGTCAGAAGGGGTGGCCTTGTCCTGATAACAGTTTGGGCTGTAGAGCAAGAGGATAGATCATTGATTAGCAAATGGACTCCACTTGCAGAGAAGTATGTTGAGGAGTGGATAGGACCGGGAAGTCCATGTGCTCGGGCCCCTTCATCCATAACATTAGAAAGCATCCCAGAATATGATTTGAGTTGCTCAGATGAGCAACTGAGAATTTCCAAGGAGCATTCAACCAAGGAAATCCAGGAAATTCCAGATCTAACTAATCGGAGTCAAAATGTAGTGAAGGCGAAGGATGAAAAGAATATAAAGAGCAGACAGGAATATTTTGTTCCTTGGCATTTGCCTTATCACCGGGCTGAAATCAGTGGTGCATCTGCTCATGCTCTTGCTACTGGTCTGGCAACAAAAGATGACAAAAAGGGTGCTGTAGTGTACAACAGATATTATCACGTTTTCAGAGAAGGGGAGCTTGAAAGGTAAATACATTCAAAATTAATTTTGACAATCATTGTTTGCTAACTAGGCAGCTAAGTATTTAAGATTAAAATTCTCATTTCTCCTTAATTGTTTCTGAGTTTCTGTTTTTTTTTTTTTTTGGGCCAAACTCAGTTCCTGGTTAAAGAAGGGTTCTATTCACTTTATTTTTGTTACCCATCATGTAGCTTGTCCAATTTAGCTTTATGTTTGGTTCGCCTCATTTCTTGTGAGCATAGTGTTCATCTTAACCTAGAAACGGTTTTGAATAAACGAACTCGGATGAGATCAAAACTTGGATTCAGCTAAACCCACTCAAGGTTCAGATTGTTACTTGGTGAATTTAAGATGGAGCAAAATGCGCATTTGTAGCCGGTAGCTCAGAAGCTTCTTTCTTCACTTCTTTTGTGGGATGTGCTTGTTTTGTTGGCCTCTTCGCGTGTTTCAGCTCACTATAATTTTGGAATGTTCCTTTGTCTTAATCAGCGTGCTGATTTCGGCTGATGCCGGCTCTTCTTTTATGGCTGTTGCTAAGGAGGGTTTCATGATTCTGCTTCTTTGTATTCCTTTCTGTCTTAATTATTTATTTCTTGATCCAAAAAAAAAAAAGCAGGACTGTTTCAAATGGTTTAACATATGTGCCGATGCATAAGTTCTGCTTTTTTTAGATTATATTGCTTTTTTTTTTCTGCAGGTTAGTATCTGGAATAAACAATGCTAAAGTTGTTGATAAGTTTTTTGACAAGTCCAACTGGTGTATCATTCTTGAGAAGACATTGTGATCAAGAAAGAAATGTAGCTGATACGTCAATAACTTATCAATGAGAAGCGAAAGTTGAAGAATGACCACATTGTGCTTCTTCAGCTGCTATTTTGGAGCTCTCTGTTTTCCATAATCGTGCGAGGTAATTGATAGTCAGTTTGATCAGCCGATCACTTGCATCAGTTCGACTTAGCGAGGCTAGATTTTTCAACTTTGTATCTAATTTGACACTGAACCTGTAATTTTTTACAGTGGAAGGGGATTTGTAATTGCTGCAGCATACAAGGGGAAGCCGATCACTTGAAAGTTTTACCCATTATGGTGTAAAATTGCTAATTTGGTTATATTGATTTGAATTATGGAAGGAACACAATTCGACTATATAAGCATCAAGGATTTTATGCCTTGCTATTTTTATCAGCGTTTTAAAAACCAGACTGAATTGGCTGGTTCAACTAGTTGAACTTGGAATTAGCTCTTAGTCTGGTTTGGTTGATCCCTCAAAGCCCAAAACTTGCTACAAGGACACGGGTTAACAACCAGAAAAATCAGTTAAAAATAAAAAAAAAATCAGTTGAAAATGGAACTGGTTTCCTTAAAAACTGGTCTAAAATAATTAAAATTTAAAAAAATTAATTAGAACAAAGAACAGTCAAGAATAATTAATATTAATCACATATTTATTAATAATATATCATTTTATCAAGCAATCTTTAATTTTTTTTGAAAAATATAAATATTTGTATATATTTTTATTTAATTATGATATATAAATTAAAAATATATTAATTTAATATCAAGTGATTCATTTACAGTTTGTTTATGGTTGAATCAATGATTAGTGCGATTTAATGATCAGTTCAGTTTTTAAAACTTTGATTTTTATACCAATGAGGTTCATAGAAGATTTTATATTTTTACATTAAAAAATTATTAGTAAGAAAGCTTTACACTTACATGATTCAATTCAATACACTCCGAGTTAAATAGGTTGGGCATGTATAATTATTTCTTCGAAGATGCAACAAGAAATTATTCAGCAGATTTTCAATGGGCTATTGGCAAAGCTAGTAAGCCATGGTATTATTACATCCATCCATCCTTTTCATAAAAGATGATAACAAAAAAAGATTACATAAGGCTTTTGTTATTGAGTATATCTTCCCCTTTCAACCATCCCTACCAACCAAGGCGAAGAAAAGTTAAAGACATTACTCTAATTATGCTCATCATGGGTATGTCTTGCTAGAGCATCAGCTTTGCTAGCAAAAAGACATTACTCTAATTATGCTCATCATGGGTATGTCTAGCTAGAGCATTAGTTTTGCTAACAAATTCTCTATGCCTAAAGTTAATACTTGCAGTCCAATTTTTAGACAATAAATTATGGCCTTTTTGAATAATATCCTCAAATGGATATTCCTCTATTCCATCACGTGTGACAAAATTGATAGCTTCAATACAATTAGTTACAACTACAATATCTTTAAAAGTTTTTTTCAACAAAGATCCAAACCAAAGGTGATAGCTTTAATCTTTGTAATGGCTAGAGGAAGCGGTTTTGATGTGTTGCTAAAAGCAACAAACCATTGACCATCATTGTCCTGTACAATACATATTGACTCATTCTGTTGTGAGATGAGTGCTTGGTTTTGAGTCTGTGAAGAGAATTCCTCAATTTATAGTCCATTCAATTGTAGAAAAGCTTTGTATAGCATCACAGCTCGCGTAATTTTCATCATCACTAAATATGACTTTACATCTAAAGGTCCAAATCTCCCAATAGATATATGAAAAAAGAAACTACCATGAAATGCTGTTAGTGAATTTCTTGCCAATTTCTTCTTCGAAATTCTAAGAGATCCATTCTATACCATTCAAGTGCCAAAAAAGATCATAATGTTTAGGTGAGACGAGGTATCTCCATTTTTGCTTCGCTACATGACAGTCGTGTAGAAGATGCATCAAGTTCTCCTCCTCTCCACACCCCATTGGGCATAAGCTGTTGTTTGAGAGTCTCCTCTTTGCATGAAGTTCTTCTGTATGCACCTTGTTAGCTAACCATAAGAAAGATTTAAGCTTCATTTAAATATATTCTTACATTTTAAGGTCTTCTTTTATTCTTTTTTAGGCCTGGCACGTGAATATCACGATAGTGTAATGAGAAGAAAAACACTTGAAAACAATATATACCCTTTTTTTTTAATTTAGGCTAATAGTATATACAAAAAAATGAGTATATCAAGAAGGGCTTTTAAAACAGAAACTAAAAGTCCTAGAAGATGATCCAACCTAAAAGACAGATCCACAAATAAAAACTGAAGTACAGAAAAGAAAGGTGGTTAGACGACTAGGACTAATACCAACTCCAACGTTGAAATAGTCTTTATTGCCAAATTGGAGTTAATGCAAATGATTGTTTTGAATACTCATATAAAAGCAATAAGTAGCCAATTCAAAAATTGCCCTATTTAAAAAGGTCGCAATCACAGTGAATGAAGGATGAATGAACTATTTTTTTTTTTCCATGTGATATTTGGAAATCAGTTCAATTTGAGATATCCCGTAAGATTTTGAATAACAAAGCGATAACATCTTTGATATGAAAAGAAAATCATCCACATGAACCATAATGAAGCAATAAAAAATTATGGCTGCAAATGCAAGCGAACATATATGAACAGCACAAACATTAAATACTAAAACCAAACTCAAGAAACAATGAAAACAATATTTATACCTAAAATTACGTGCATTATGTGATCATTGGATTGTACAGATGTTTTTTTTTTCTTGTTTTCCACACATACTTTTATATTAAAGATAATTTTATTTGAGGTATTATTAAATGCTAAATATAAGCAGGCACTTCTCTTAATAAGAATTCAAATTTTGACTTATCCTCCCCTTTTTGCCATCTTGATTCTCCACATTTGCCCATATGGAGCTCTATTTCACCGCCCCCAAGATTGGGTTTCTCTAAGTTCTGCTTTATTTTCGATGGGGGAGTTCAATTATTTCAGTCATTAGGACTTGCTGAATAATATGGCAGAGTCATTTTCCAGCTCTGCTGCCAACATATCTCTTGCCAACTCATCACACTTTAACAGTGTTAATGCCAAGTGACAACAGTAAAGACTCATTTGTAAATGGAATAAATTGTGGAACTAACTTGCAAGCGTGCAAACGTCTGATACTTATGAGGATTGATTTTTAAGAAAGAGCAGTGAGTAACTAAATGAAAAACGAGTATAAATTATGGTGATTCCTTCACTAATTTTTCTTAAAAATAAATTAGACATGTCTCTCCCTATGCTACAGAATTTGAAAATGAGTAGTATGTAACAATAGTATTAGGACAGCGATTACAAAAATTACGAATAATGCATCCCTTTTCCTTCTAGATCATGTATTGCTATTCACATTTGATAAATATTATATCTTGATAAAGTGAAGGAGCTTAGCGTTTGGTCCCGGAACTTTCAACAATAGAGTTGACCATTTTGCCAAGTACTATTCACTACTTAGTTATACGAGGCACCGTGTTCAGTTTCCATGGTCACCGGTGTTCTATTTTTTTTATAAATTATTACCAAAAAATATTGATAAAGGCCACTTGAAAATTTTTTGACAATATCTTCCTAATATTTAGGGTCGCCCTGAGGGAACTTTCATACTACACATTTGGGTATTCTCTTTGGCATATGGATTATTAAAAAAAAAAAAAACATCATATATACAATACTTCCCACTTAAATGATGAATTTTCCAGAAGAGACAAATCGTATGAAATTATACGCCTGCGATGTTTTTATTCTTGAAATTAAAATCATTAATCTTGAAAAATATGAAAAATTTAAATCTGGATATAAATAACCACATTTATCATTTATGTGATAAAAAGCATCACAGACCACAGGTAAGGGTAGAGGTAGACAGTGGTGAAAACACGCAAATTTTAAATTCAAGGCATATTCTGATACTGAGGGGTATCATCATGTGCTCAAAATTATCGAGTTCTTTAGCTCCATTTGTTTAGGTCGCGTGCACTTCTAGTTTTGATATAATAGATGAATCACGCATGAAGCAGGTAACAAAGTGAGCACATAACATTGACTGCTACAAATACAAATCCTTCTAATAGTTTTAATATACACGCATAACGGGTGTTATTTGGCTAGGTTCACAGCATATTAGTAGTTTAAACTCCAATCATAAGGGACATGAATCACCTTCAATTCAGAAGTGGCAAGCAGATCCAACAATACTGCTGCGTCAGCTGGGTCTAAGTAATTTGACACATGCCTCAGTACCTCTACATCGTTCTTGCCAAAATCTATACTAAACCTGAGTAGTGAGTATCAATAAGGAGAGAGAATTATCATCAGATGTCAAAATCAATATCAACATAGTCATAAAATACAAAATGTATAAAAAGTCCCATTATTCACAAAATCGCTAAACAGTATAGTTGATTTTAAGCCCCATGCAAATATGCAGGGGCACACTTTATAGTTCATAACATTGGCTGTACACCTAATCATTAATATATCAATCAATATATTATTTAAAATCCATTGAAAATCACACTATTGAAAAGTCATGAATAATTTGGCCTTACCTCAAACTCCGTACAAAGTATAGACCTATATAGTTCTATTTAATTGATAAACCAGACTAAACTATTAATGTCAATACTCAATAGTAATGCATGCAATATTATTATTATTATTTTTTTAGAGTAATGCATGTATGTGTTCTTGTGTTTTTCACTGCATTACATTGAAGAGAAGAATAGATTTGCATGTGTTGTGTTTGGCATCTCTGCAAGATCCCTTTGAACCATTCAGAAATATATAATATTTGAAAGCTACAATCTCGTCAAGAGAGAATATGCCTGTAAACATGAGAGATTCAAGTTGTTCTTTGTCTAAATCCTGCGAGGACCCCTACCAGAAAGCATTCAACAAAATGTTAAGCATCGACCATAGAAGAACTTACCACTTAAGGATCTTACTAGCGTATGCAGTCTTCGTATTCAAATCAATGGCAAGTCCTCCACTTCTCAAGAAATTGCGAGCAGCGTCCATTAGTTCTTTGTCAATATCTCGAGGAGAATAGCATCTAAGTGCAGGCCCAGATCTGGTGCCACATACTAGAGCAAAATGAACAAGAGGCTCAGGGTAAGGAAGAGCCACCTGGTACGGGATAAACAACATAAAAGTGAGCGTCAAGTACGTTAAAATGCCAATCAACTTCATAGTGAAAGCATGTGGGCCAACAGATAATGAAACAGCCAAGAAGAAAGCACCAACATACACTCACGAGACCCATTGTTAATCCAAGTGCAAAAACTAAGAAAATCATTCAAAGTAATCAATCTACTTTACAACGAAGTTTCCAAGAGAGAAGCAAATGCAGAGACATAAAACTACGCCCGGGTTGGGGGGACATTAAAGATTCAGCCTCCCCGTTTTGCAATCAGACCTTCCATTATCAAAAGGGAATCTTAAGGGCTATCACAGGCCAAGTTCAGTAGGCAGTATGAGGAGACAATCCGGCACACCCAACAGGATGGATATAAAAGCTTAACTATAAGATCATCTTCATCTCTTTCAAGATCGAATATATTAAGAATATGAAATAACTTACCCTCAAACGTTTATCTTTTGCACCAAATGGCTTCAAAAGATTGTAAGGTGGCCGCTGGTTTCCCCGTAAAATGCCATTTTGAATGGCTGAAAGTGAGTAAGTGGACCCACCAATCACATATTTGAAGTCTCCAAACAATTTCCTTCTTTCCAGTGCTCCAGCTGGATGACCCCATTCTAAGATTGCATGAATGGCCATCATATTATAAAGATTGATGAAGAAAGCTAGGTTCTCTTCTCTAGACATATCCCATATTTCCACTCTTTGGAGCTCCTCTACTATTCTCAGATACCTTAAATGGTGGTAGAATTAATGACATCGGGAAAAATGTTAGATATATTGGTATAACTAGATGCATTGCCAAGTTAATGTACTTTTAAATTTCAAGCTAGGGGGCAAATATTAGGAAACCTCGCAAACTCCTCGCTTCTGTGGAGACTTATGTAATTAACATGATGGCCATCTTCAGAAACATAGGCTTCAAATATTGCACAAGACAGAAACCTCAGCCTTGATGCAATTTCTACTATAAGCTTTGGCTTTACAGTGGTTATGCCCCTCTGAATATTGTGACATTGAGAAGCCACGATTGGGTCATCATCCAAAAAACGATACAAGTGGTTACCATCCTCGAATAGATTCTCACTATGCCAAGATGATATCATCAGAGATAGGGAAAGATATTTTAGTTATACAATTGAACACATTTAAAACAATGGAAACAACCAAAAGAGGATACTTACTCAAGAACATGTTGGAAGAAGAATTTGCTAGCAAGATTCTGTGCAAACTCAACAGCCTATGCAACCAGAAAAGAATTAAAATGGATGGATATCATTAATAAAATGAAGATAGGAATTGTACTTAGATACTCAGTGAATGGTTTGCTTCACAATGTGAATGAAAATAGAGCAAGACCAAAACTAAGCAAGATCATGCTTAGAGATTCATGCACCGTTTGCCTGTTTGTACATGGGTATCAGGGTATTAAAGCAAGATCCATGCTCAAGACATAAAACCAAGCTCACCTCCTGCCTTTCCAAGTATTGATCTTCTGATAAGAAGTCCACAGCTTCTGAGCCAATAAAGCATTTAGTGAACCTTCGCATTTTGTAAAATCGGTCTTTTACAACAATGAATTCTTTCAATTTGCTGACAATTAAAGCCATTTCATCAAGAGCTCCACTACTAGACTCATCATCCTCTCCAGAAAGCGGCGGTAATGGAGCTTCAATTGATGGTGCTTTAGTGATGAGAAATTCAATCTTCTCATCGAGCTTACCAGATTCATCCAGGGCCTTTAGCTCACTCAAACCTCCAATAAGTATTTCATTAAAAAACACCTTGGGAACAGAAGTAGATCCAGAAATCTTCTCAAGCTCCTGTTTTCTACTTGGGTATATGTCAATATTGATTTCAACATACCAAAGCCGTTTCATATACAAAAATAGCCTAACTTTTTTAGATTCCTGGCAACCTAGTCTTGTGTAGAGTATAATCCTTCCTTTCATGGTTATGGGATATTGTGGACCTTCAGTTATCGGTTCCCTCCATTCATTTTTACCTTCCAAATCAGCATCGAGTGACATCCTAATATAATTAAGGGGGTTCCAAGATTTTTTCTCAGTAACTTCTTTATAATCCACGTTTGAGGATTCTGAAACATTCTTACTTTCATCATCAAAATTGCTCATGGGACCTTCATCACCTTTTCCGGAAAGGCGACGTAGCACAGTAGAGACTGCTACAGCACTTTTCTCCCTAACAAAATTCTTAAGTGCCACAGCCTTCTCAACCACACCATGACTGTCCGAATCAGACTCCACATCTAGAGAAAAGTTATCTGTGCTTCTGCTAGCTTCCATGCCAGGAACCTCTGTTCCATCAAACACGGGCTCTAGATTATTGCCCTCACTTGGAATTTCATCTGTCTTCTGATTCATTGGTGTGGATTCCATGTTCCCACTCTCGTTCATCCCTTTGGCCAAGTCGTTTTGTCCAGAAACCTCATCTGCAATTCCTTCTTGACTGGTAAACTCAGACCCTTTGCTGCCATCAACATTATCACCAAAGGAATTTAGTCCAACAATATTGAAGGGTTCATCTTCAGTTTCAGTCTTCATGACATTACTCTCGTGCTTATCTGTCATCTCATTCGTCTTGTCAGATATATCATATTGTCTATTGTCTGACAAGAGATCATCACTGCCAATATTTTGATTTTTTACCTCTTCTCGTGGTTTGGACTTTTCATTGTGGATAGTGGAAAGATCTCCTTCCAGCTTTTCAACAGCTTGAGAATTTAATGCGATTGTCTCCACTAACTCATTCTTTTCCATGTTGGAAGAAAGCTAGAGCTTGCTTGCTATTTCATGTAGATATATGTTGTACTAACCATATGCTATGCTGTAATGATCCTGCATGAAATACGCTTGATATTTGGATTAATAAGACATTAAGACCGTTATCTTATCAAACGCATATTCCTTAAGTCTTCCTTAATAAGAACCGAATCCAATCAGTGATATTTATAGCAAGCTTTTAATTCAATGCTACACAGCTGCTAAATGATAAAAATTTTTCCTTCCCCTACTTTAAGCTGGAAACAGAAATCAATGTATCAATATATCATCTGTGTGAACATCAGTATATAATATAAATTCTATTGAAAACTGCACAATTCATGAATCATGTCCTCACACTTCAGGAATGCATGGAAAAAGGCGTCTAATATGGAGTAAAAGTGTTGCTGGTAGTAAGTTTAACATGCCTTCAGCGCAGGTCACAAAGTTCCAGTTGATTATGACAGAAATAAATCGCCATCAGAAAATGACATCAAATTTAATCTTCTTGTTTTCTTCTTGTTTTTTTTTTTTTTTTTAAATAGCTAGAGAAAGGGCCAGGAATTGTCAAGGTAAACACTTCGCTGATCATTCCTACGAAGCGTGGAGTTCAAGCAAGGGAGGTAAGCCCAAAACTACTAACCTTTATCTGAAAAACAGATGCCTTATCTCTCAATAGTAGTCATGATACGCTCTTATGGTCAATAACGTGTCCAGGAGTTGAAGTGATCGGCCTTCACTTAAGAAATCTGAACCCAACGTCCTCGTACTCGGGTTCTGGGGGTGGAGGGGCTTCAAGAAGGCTGCCACAGCAGCAAGTGTTGCCAAAAGACGATGCAAGAAATCAGATTATCGAACGAAACGGCAAAGCGGAAAAATTGTCAAAGTAGCCTCTTCCTTAATGAACTATTATTATAAAGACTGACAAGATTTTCTTGGTCGATTGAATCAGGTTACTCGTCAATCAAACAGATCAGAAATGCCAAATTCTCACTTTCAGAACTTGCTTAGCAAATAAAGCAGAATGCCAGCCAACACAACATCTCAAAAACCCGTGGGCGAAATCAGAAACATCAGTCGTGTTCGAAGAAATCAATTATAATACCAGCAATTTAGCGGAACAGGCAGAGAAATTTATGGAGGCAAACTCTGAAGAGAAGATCGGATAACTTACAGATCTGATTGGAAGTGCTGAATTGAACATGAAACTAGAATGATAACTTGATCAGGAGAATGGATTTATCGAGAAAGGTTTTAGTAGAAAGCAGAAACGTTGAAGGTTGAATTCAAAGTCGAACTGCAGTGATGTCATTGGGGACCTGTGACTAGTTTCCTGATGAGTAGGCGGGAAGTCCGTGGGCTAAGGATGAAAATCACCAACAGCATTTGAGATTCCCCCGAATCCCTCCGGCCCCTCCTCCACTTATTTATTGCTCTACATTTGTTATTAAATTGATGAGTAAATAAAATCTTAAATTTTTATTCAAAAATCATTTTAAATTTTAAATTTTTAAAATATATAAAATAAATTTTAAATTATTAAATTTATAACAAAATAAATTTTAACTATTAAATTTTTAATATTGTTACTATATAATAATAATTAATATTAAATTTATAAAAAAATAAAACTTAAACATTAATAATGATATTAAAAAAGTTAATAATTAAAATTTATTTTATTATAAATAAAAAATTTAGGTTGATTTTTGAGTAATAATTTAAAATTTTATTTATTTATTAACTTTTTGTTATTGTACCATTCGATGCCACCATTCAACTTTGATATTTTAAGAAAATATCATCAACACATTAAAATTAAAATTAAAATTAAATTGTAAAAAAAAGAAAAGTAGATGATCATGAAATAATGAACCAATACTGCCAAGTGCTAATATGTTTTTTTTTTTTTTTTTTGGCGGGGGTGCCTGAATGAGAATCGAAACCACGGGCCCAAAAAAATAATCATTTCACAAATTTTAGTAGTTTAAATTTAATTCATATTTTGTCAAAATGATCACTAATTCAGATGATATAAATTTAAGGCTTTTAAAACTTATTACCTCCATAGTATAATATAAAATCATAATTAATTAATTCATAATTTATGAATAATGTTAGTTAAAATTTTAAATTTAAAACAATGTTTACATTTTTTTAATTTATACCCTTATTAAATATTTTATATAAGAAGCTTAATAATAATAATTAAAAAATATTTACATAATTTTTTTAAAAAAAGTAATAAATGGAGTAAGATTATAGTCACAAAAATAAATATAAATATTATTTAATATTTTATATTTTGAATCAGGTATGGTTTTTAAAAAAATATCTTATATTATGATTTAAAGGAGCAGCATGTAATCCTGTTAAAAAAGTTTACTTTTTTAAATATGTCTTTAGTTAGCAGATTTTTAGTAAAATCAGGCTTAAGTTTTTTAAAAAAAAAGTTTTACATAATTTCGGGTCAAATTCAGACCTTTATTTTAACAAGTTTAAGCCAATTAGGACACTTGGCTAATTATAGAAAATCGTTGACCGCTAGCTTGACGCATTTTTATATTTAAAATGACTCATCAAGCGAGTTAAACAAACCAACAATTTAACCCGTAAAAAACAATATGAATACATGCACATATTTTTTGTCCTTGAATTTTTTAAATGCTTGCCCTCTTTTGTAATGCCATGCTCAAAATTCTATAATGTTTTACGAGCTATTTTTACGCACATCCTGTTTAATGACTTTTTCTTTGATCCCTGGTAATAAAAGTTGGAGTAAAATACATGTTGATTCTTTTTATTTTATCTTAGTTACAGATATATTTTTTATATTTTTAAAACATGAACTTCCTTTATAAATAATAGTGACTAAATACAAATATTTCTTCTACTTTTATAATTATATTTTCATTCATCCAATCATCATTTGATCATTAAATTATATGCATTCGACCACAACACTCCTCTTTGAACATAGATGTGGTTTAAAGTTCATCTAAGTTACCTAACAAACAAACTTAATGAGTATATTTGTTTATACCTTTTAATTCATGTTTTACATTTTTAGTTATATAAACTTATTTATTTAGTAATTCTCTAAAAATATAAATATATAAATTGGAGGGAGAGAGGGTAGATAATTTGATTGTAATGACATATTAATAATTTTATTTTTAAACATAATTATAAATAAAAAGCATTTTAAAATTTTAAATGGCATTAAAAATTAGACTTACATATAGGTTTTAAAAATAGAAAGGAAGCATTGGTAATTTTTAAGAAGGAAAAAATGATGTTATTATATTTGACTCTAAAAGATTTATAAATGTTTCCTCCATTAAAAAATGAAAAAAATAGTATTTTTGGTCTCTACACTTTACTTATGTTTTATTATAAATCTTTACTTTTTTTATATTCTAAATCCTTACATTTTCCTCCATTTTGGTCCTTGCATTTTCAAATGAACATTAACGTTACATAAATAGTGTTAGTAATGCGGACATATCAACTAACACCGTTAATTTCATACTTATGTGTCAAACTGGTGTTGACATGAAATTTTTAATAAGCAAAAATTTTAAAAGAAAAGCCTGTACATAGAATTTGTGCATTTTGCTAATTATTTGAAAAATCTAGGTCAATCTTTTTATTTCATCTAATGTAGACATTTTTTTTTTAAATTTTTGCTTATTAAAAAACTACATATCAACATCAATTTGAGATGTAAGTACAAAATTAATGGTGTTAATTGATATGTTAGCATTATTAACATTGTTTTTGCTATGTCACCATTCTTCTAAAAATGTAAAGACTAATGTTGCAAATGGAAGAAAGTGTAAAAACTTGAAATACTAAAAACAAGGTGCAGGGCCTATACCAAAAATTTAAATAAAGTGCAAAGATCAAAAATAGTATTTTTCTTAAAAAATATAAGATATTTTTAACTAAATATTGCCTCTCAATAAAATGGTTATTTATTTTCAAACTAACATCAGTTTTTCATATTTACTCTTATTTAATATGATGTTTCGCTTTAAATAAGTAGAAATTGATTATTTACTATAGACACTTCTGTAAAAAAAACATGTTAATCACACTTTAAAATATTAAAAATATCTTATATTTTTTAACATTCAACTCTTAAAAAAACAGGGTTAAGGGGCAAATTTGCTTTGGAAGTTTTCAAAATGAAACACTGAGTACCCTTACATTTCACAAGGAGTAATGTTGCCCTAAAAGTAGTCAAAATGGAGTAGTTTCACTCTTTTCCATCTACTAAATAATGTTGACTAATGAAGATATGGAAAGTCATGAAGAGTATATAGGCAAAACCCCACATGACAAGATTGCTACTGAAATGTGGCATTTATTTGTGTAAACCCTAAAATGAACATAAGGGTCTCCATTTGATTATGCCATCCAACAAAGACAAAAGCTCAATCAAAAGAGAAAGTCAAACTAGGCAACTGGGTATGGGCCAGCAAGTTAAGAAAAGGAAACAGGTTAGGGCAATTGTGGGTAAGGCTTTCAAGTTGGGGTTCGCATGGATCTATAAAATAAGCAGAGATTCATATTTGAGCAACAGGTATGGAATCAAATCTTGCCATGTAACTTAAAATTGTTATTAATGTGATCCACAATAAAGTTGCATTTCTAGCCCTTTAATTGAGTATTGTGTTTTATTTTCAATTAGGTTAGTTAATGTAAAATGGCATCACCTAAAAATGTGGATTGGTCTTATGTAAAAGGGTTAATGAAGGAATTTGAGGATGAAAAGGTTCGAATGAGGGTGGGTACAAGACTATTGGCAAAGAGTATAGAGCATGTGATCTACAATGTGATCAAAATAAGGCTAGAAGTAGTGGGGTCAAGGTGGGTAAATAATCATTGAATATAGTAAGCATAGATACGAATGATTTTAAGGATATTGAGGACTTTAAGGATATTGTGGATGTTGCGCCATTATCAGTTCACTTGCTAATTAGGCTTGAGGATGTTGAGGAAGAAGTTAGGAGTGAGGGGGACGACAAACAACTTGAGGGAGTTGAGGTAGTTGATCTTGATTTTGAAGGTGAAGTTAGGAGTGAGGATGAGCAAAGACACAAGGATAATGAAGTTGGAAGAATAGTTGAAGTTGAGTAAGATAATGGTGACAACGATGAGGAAGCAATTGGTGTTGAGCATAGTAACATTGAGGTCGATGGAGTATGTGATCGACAAATTAGAGTGGAGCAAGAACCTCATGTTGTAGGTGATGATAATAGAGAGAATAATAGAGTAGCATTAGCTGAATCTAAAAGTGAGCACTCAGATAGTATGGATGAGGACTTTAGAGCTAGAAAGGGTGAAAAGGATAAGTCTAAAAGGTACTTGTAATGAAGATCAGTGCTAACATATGATTTTAAAAAATATTTGAACAAGCTCCATCAAGTCATGAACAAGTGGTTAGTTAAATCAATTGTCCAATTTCTTGTTATAATTAATAAAATTAAATTTTAGACACCAACTTTGATGTGGCTATATAAGGCTGGCAAGTATATCTCTATCTTACTGGCAAAATTACCCATTCAACATGCAAATATTAAGTTTTTACATTATTTTACCTAATTTTTATACTTAACCTAGCCTTTTCAAGCATCAATCAAGTGAACCCAATATCTAAAGGGTGGCCAAATATTTAAAAGCATTGAGAAAATAGTAAAATAAATACATATATATTATCGACCATAAAAAGAGAAGAGGAACTTAATGTCAATTCATACAAATGTTTAGAATAATCCTAAAGCAAAGAGTTTAGCTATTCGTAAACATAAAAAAACTATAACTACACAATTTTTTAACCACAACAAGATTATAGGAAGAGAAATGCATAAGAAACCAAATAAATGAATAAATTGAGCTTTAAATATCTTTAAAGCTTCAATTCTTAGACCGAACTTATCCAAAGCTCAAACCCTAACAAAACTAAACTCCTATAGTGTCTTTAAGTGTGTGTGGAATGTACTTTAGGTTGAGCTCTCAACATATATGCATCTTGCCTAAGCATTTTCAAATAAATAAAACAAAGCATTTTGTTAATAGTGACAAAACTTGCGAGCAAAAGTCACGACCTTAAGATGACTTTGACAATTTTGCACCGTTTTCACTATTAATAAAACTTAGCCTTTGTGCATCTAACTTTTTCATCTAAAAGCCTTCTAAAAGCATCAACAAAAATTTAGAAATGCATATAATCAAACTTTAAACCAAAATAACACAAACTTAGCCTAAAAATATCAAATACAAACCCAAAACAAGATACACGCTTTCCTAATTTATACAACCAAAATATACATAATTGTGCAAATACATATTAGAAACTAAGGAAAACATGTTCAAATGACATGAAATTCTAGAGGTTATCAGTTAAGTACATTTTGGGATTGAATTTTGCACATTTACAGGGACATATTTTGTCAGCAAAATAAATCATCAACATATATTGCAAACTTGCAAATGGCATACATTTCATTAACAATAATGTTAGACTTACAAAATTAGGCAATTACAACAATTGAGCCACAACTACCCTTACAGCACATATGCAAGAACAAACTAAATTGATCCATATCAATTACAACCAATTAAACTATTTTAACAAGAAAAAAATACCACCTCAAAAGCAACAAAGCCAATGCAACCTTCAATTTCTTCCTTAAAATTTGCACATTAATATGATTCTTCAGGCACTCTGAATTTTCTTCAATTCAATATATATAGAATCAATTTTTTGTATCAAGTTTTGAACCTACAACTCTGTTATACTCTCGTTTGCTTTGCTTTGCATTATACAACATATCAACATGGTCCAATAACTCATTTATCACCTCCCTGGACCTCTGACCCATTTCATCACACCACAAAAAAAAACCACAACACCCCCCCTATAAAATAAATAGAAATTAATGATGGCAGGAGAAATAAGGAAGGAAGGAAACTATAGAATGCAAACCTGGTGATAGTTTGAGCAACCATGAAATTTCTTACCTAGGTTACTCTCACTTTACAATGTCCATCACGGTGCTCTCAGATCACAATGACATAATACTATTTACCCTTGTAGTCTACCTTCCTACCACGCCATCTTAAGAATATGACCCTCCGCTTGCTTCTCGTTATTGACGATACAGAGTCCACCATTGTTGTCACTAAAGTAGGTTTCAAAACAAACCTTTAAGTGGCTCAACGTGTCTCTATCTTTGGATTGATTCAATTCTAGAACGAGATATTTGATTTCAAAAAGGGTTAAATAATGTGGGTATGTTAATACTTGTTGACTACAATAATTACATGGCATTTCAAGTTTAGATGTCTTTTAAACTGGCCCTTTTAACAAGTAGTAGACTACCATCCACCATTCTAATGGTTGGGAGCAACATTGTTCCATTTTGAACACTTTCGAAACAATGTTGTTTCTTATAAAATGTAAGGATAATCAGTGCTTTATTTTGAAAGCTTTAAGAGCAAATTTGCCTCATAACCTAAAAAATGCCTTATGTGTTTTAATAAATGGAGTACATTATTGGAATTTATAACTTTTTTTGCCAAAAAGAATTCACAACTTCCTAATAACTTTCTTATTGAAATTTGCTAGCCGTATGTGTTGTTAAGGGCTAGAAATGTTATAAATGTGCATATATTGTCTTGTTTTATGAAACTTTAAACAGTAGTACTTGTTCTTTTGATAGTTACATGTGTGTGTGTTTTGATCCACCTCATATAGAATGTCGATGGTTTGAAACTTTGAATCCTAGGTTCCTCATCCCTATCCTAGACATGCCATCAATGATTATTGTTGTGTGGAGGACTATAAGAGAAACTTTTTATAATAGTGTATTTAGTTAAAGAAAAGGAAAGGTAGGGGAGGGGTTTTAATTCCTTCAAATTTCTCCAATTTAAGTCATGTTGAGCATAATAAAAAGATTTTTAACGGAATCAAAATCAAAATAGAATTTTAAAAATATGATTGGTATGAAAATATACTCCTACTATAATTTTAATAAACATGTGTTTTTAAAATAGAAAAAAAAACCAAAGTGCCCATTTCCAAAAAAAAAAAAAATCCTTGCATCTGCCTCCTCCTTTCCAGCAAAAACCTACTCCTAAAAAAAAAAAATACCACTATTCAACGATAGACAAATTAATTGCAAAAATAAAGAAGCATAACTAAATCAAAGTACAAAAATATAAAGCTATCGTAATGTATTTAAAATGCATAACACCATGCCAAAATATTCACAATCAAATAACTATATTTGTGGAGATGACGATTGAACCGTCATCATTATTGCGCCAAACCTTTAATCGTCAACACATAAGAGGAAATGTTGTCATGGTAGCAGACCAAGGTCATGGTCGTAGAAGATGGGAGGAGATTGATCAAAAAGGTAAGGGAAATTATTGTTAGACCAAGGTCATAGTCGTAGAAGATGGGAGGAGATTGGCCGAAAAGGTAGAGGAAATTATAACACGTAATAATGGGGCGACGGATGAGTACATTAAAGGCATGACAGAGAGAGTTAGTAGGCCTACAATGGAGAGAAGGATGAGAGATTAAAGAGCAAAGATGTCTATCAAAAGCAATCCTCAAAAAATGCCGAGATTTAATTGTGAGTAGTATGAAATCTGATTCTAAGCTTTTTTTTTTTCTCGAATTTGATTCTCAACGGAATTTGATTTAATCCCACCAAACATATATACACATGGAAACCTTTTTCAATTCCATCTCCCTTATCAAAACTCTAACAAACCAAACACAACTTTGGAGGAGAAGGGAGGAAAAATTATCCCACCCATCATGTTTGCTAAATAGGAGAAAGGAGCTCCTCCTCCTATTTTTCCATCCAAATAAGGGTTAAGGATTGAAATTTCATCCTATTCACTTTCCCCCAACCAAAGCATGATATTTTAGTTTTTATTAAAACAACTTGAATAAGTAAATTGTTCTCATTTAGAGGATCCCGAATGATTTTTTCATTTTTATCGAAAGAATTTTAATAATTAACTTTAGTTGCATTAGGTTTTTGTTTTCAACTTTCCCTTATTAATCTCGGCATAAATCTGTCTTTATATAAATCGCCACAAGAGCGCCCGGACGAGGCCATGGGCAGATTTCCGCGGGACCGGCCTTATATCAATTTATCGATAGATTCAAATTTTGACTGATCGGAATTCAATAAGTATACAATACGAGGCGAGCTAGGTTATTAGGTTCTTTATTCCGGCGACGACGCAGCTGCGGGCTACATTTGATCACCGCCTATTAGATTCTGAGCCGAATTTGTAGTATGTTTTGGTGAGTTATATTCTTTTTTGCAGTTCAATTTATGGCAACTCTTGTTAAACTACGAGTAGCATGTCTAGGCTATCAATTTAGATTAATTCCAACTCTCGACGAAAATTTCTCACCTTTTTCGACTTGAAAATTTAGCTATTGATGGGAAGTTGGAGATGATGAAAAAAACTAGTGTTTGCGCGGTATGTGAGAACTCGAATCTAGCTTCGATATGCGCCATTTGTGTCAACTACAGGTACATGATTTGATTTGATTATTTCTTCATATGTTCTTTTGGATGGTTAATAATTTTCGACGGGGGAAAACTTAATTGATGTTCAGCTAACTTAAGATTTAAAATCTTGCCGTCCAAGCAGGATCTCTCTACTTTTTTTTTTTTTTTTTCCAATGATGCTTATTCTAAGTTGTTGCTTATTTACGAATAAACATCCCGTCGAATTTCTTATTTCCTGGTTTATATTATTGCGTCTACGTGCAATTCTAATTTCTCTACTTCTGGGTGGTGCATACCAGTATCTGTTGCTTATTTTACTCATAAATTTATTCTAGTGATGTTTTCATTGGCAGATTGAATGAGTATTATCATTCCTTAAAATCGTTGAAAGCTCATCGGGATTCTTTGTACGCAGCATTAAGTGAGGTTCTTGTGGCTAAGGTTTGAACAATATTCATGAACATTAAGCGTGATTATATTATTTAAATTTTTAGAATAACCCTCTTGAGGAAGTTTTGACATGACAAATTGACAATCTGCTTGTATGTCAGAGAACAATTTTTTTCCTTTTCTCTTTGCATGTTTGCATTTAATACGATTATTTTCATTCTTATTTCCCATTACAAGTCTATATTCCTTTTGTATTTACAACGTTAATTTCCAATCTACTTGTACATTTTGTAATTTTGTTTGGAAAAGGTTCCAACTTTCTGATTTCATATCTTTTTTAGGAACGCTGCATTATCTTCGTTCATTTTCATTAACATATTTGTATATGATGTTATACAAGGGGAAGGCAGATGATCAAAAGAATTGGAGAATTCTTCAACATGAAAAGCTTACAAGGTTGAGGGAGAAGCTCCATCATAGTAAAGAACAACTTGCGCTAGGTTAGAATTATATATATATATATATATAAGAAAGATTGCTATGAGATGGCATTTTACTCTCTTGGCCAAGAATAATCAGTAACCTTACAGGGAGGTCTAAGATAGAGAGTCAATCTGTTGAGCTGAAACTCAAGTTCAGCATGCTTGAAGCAGCCTTTTCTACGGTGTGCTTGTTTTTCTTTACTTTTCATTGCAAATGTCATTGCTATGGACATTGAAACGATATTATCATGTATATTGTCAATTTTAATGTGCATGAGTATGATAATGTTTGATACAGTTATTTTTCCTTCTGCAGTTGGAAAAAAATCGAGTTGAACAACTGGAGAAATTTTATCCCAATCTCATATGTACCCAGATTCTAGGGCATGTGAGTACTATTGTTATTATTAACCTCCAATAATCAGGAACAGTTTTGTGAATTATACACAGGCATTCCCTTCTACATTTGCGGGATTGCAAAATGTGTGTGTAACTTTCAAGTCTTGTTTTTTAGCTGAAAGTTTATGTTCCTACCATACTTTATAATGCCTTCTATGAAACTATTCATTTTCTACGAACTGCAAAATTTATGTTCAGTTTTTTTTTTTTTTTAACTGCAGAGGGCGATTACTACTGAACATCTTCATAAACAGTCTGTGGTCATAAAACAGATATGCAAGCTGTTTCCTCAACGACGGGTAAAGTTTTATCTGGTCATCAGTGCCCTGTTGATTGTCTCAGTGAATTGTGATTTATCAAGTTAAAATGCTGTTTTTGGGATATCGTGGTTTCCCTTGATGTATGGGATAAATTTGTCCTTTTGATCTCTGTTTGATGTTTAGCCCAAGGCTTTTTAAGGGCATTTACTTATTGGATGTGGTTATGATATCTCTCCATTCAGGGTGTGGTTTATTACTAATGTAACTATATGACCTAAGCCTTGTTCATAACTTTAATGCCTCAGGTGGTCATAGAGGTAGAGAAAAGTGATGGTTCTAGCGGCCAGTATGATCAAATCTGCAATGCACGCTTGCCAAGAGCACTTGATCCCCACTCCGTTCCATCAGAAGAGCTTTCTGCTTCTTTGGGGTGAATTTCTTTTCCTTGGAAAATCGTATGCGCATGCACATTTTCTAGCAAATCTTTATAAGGGTATCAGACAGCATATCTTTGTGCTTCCATGCTTAAATATGTAGCTATATGTGTCTGATAAATTTGCAAATTATAGCCCATTTCAACCATACTCTTTTAGCAGTTCAGAATTCTATCTCCTTATTTGAATTTTTTACTGCATAGTTACCTGTTATCATCATGTTTGTAAAACAGATACATGGTGCAACTTCTAAATCTTGTGGTTCACAACTTAGCTGCCCCAGCACTTCATAACTCAGGTTTTGCGGTAAGCTCTGAGTCAATATTCTTGTATTGACTCAATATCTCCTTGAAGCCCTTGTTCCAAACTTAGTTAAATATTCTGGCCTAGCTGTTGGCAAAATAAATAAATAAGTAAATATATCAATCTGGCCTAGCAAGGTTGGACCCAGACACATATATACGCATGTATATAAATTATTTTGCTCCCCATATTTTGATCCTTGATTTGTCATTAGACCCAAACACAGCCTTTTCGCTCCATGAATATTTCCTCCAATTACAATGTTCATCGTAGGGTTTATTATTTCATAATGGATTATTACCATTTTTCCATGTTGGCTTCAATGATGACTTTTTCCCCAGAAGGAATTCGTTTAAATGTGTAATGTATAATTTACTTTTACCTCAGGGTTCTTGCTCTCGAATTTGGCAACGAGATTCTTATTGGAATGCACGCCCCTCTTCAAGAAGGTATTTTGGGTGGAAATGTATTTAGCATGATTTATTTGGAGTTACTGGCTTCTCTGATGCAAAGTACTTTTAAATTTTCAGCAACGAATATCCCCTTTTCATACCCCGCCAAAATTACTGCTCTGCTAGTGGGGAAAATTCATGGTCTGATAGAAGCTCTAGTAATTTTGGTGTTGCTTCAATGGAATCCGAAAGGAAGCCTCGCCTGGATTCCTCTGGGAGAAATAGCTTTAATTATGCTTCAGCTTCTTTACATTCTGTTCAAACGCATAAAGATTTGCAGAAAGGGATTTCACTTCTGAAGAAGAGCGTAGCATGCACCACAGCTTACTGCTACAACTCTCTAGGTTTGGATGTTCCTTCTGAGGCATCTACTTTTGAAGCATTTGCAAAGTTATTGGCTATACTCTCGTCATCCAAGGAAGTTCGATCTGTTTTATCCTCAAGGATGGCTCATTCTAGGTACTTTTCATGACAACTGTATAGCACTCATGAAAACAAATTTGTAAATTTGCAACCTATATTTATGACCACGTGCCAATTCTCAATAAAATCTTCTACCATTCTGTGTCAGTGTATCCTGTATAAAAGATCGTTTTGGAAGACTTTTTAGGAGCAGAGTAGACTTTAGTTATAACTTTTAATTACTGCAACTTTTGCCTGACTCGACTGTTAGTGATGGAAATATTCTAAAACTTGTGTTGACTTCTAGAACAGACATCATATATTAAATAACAGAAATTTGTGATGTTTATGGAGTCATGGACTGCTGCAGGAAGCAATATAGTTGTCAGTAATGCTTTGTTTTGTGTCACTATTGGGGATTATTATATCACAACTTATTCAGGTATATGATTGGTAGCTAATTTGTTTGTCTTGCTAAAGCTTCTTTCATAATTGAAACTGGTCGTGAAAACATTATCATCAACCAGAACATCTTTCTAGGTTGCAGATGCTTAGCTTCTTTCACATTTAGGTTTTAGACTTTGAAGTAAAATAATTGTTTTAACATAATTGTTTTTGTCTTTTCAATCAGGCCATGCAAGCAAGTTCAACAGTTGAACAAATCTGTGTGGAATGTAAATTCTTCTATTTCATCTACCACTTTGCTGGAAAATTCTCATTCCGTGCCAACAACGGTATATGTTACTTATCATTGGTTTTTAGGAAGAAAATGCTTGAGGTTTTATTTCAATGATACAGCGCCTTTGGTTCATAAATTGTGCAATAAAAGAAGAGAAAATTTTCTTAAGAATTGTATTTAAAAGAATAGAAAATTTTGTTCACATATCTTTTCTAATATTTAAGAACAGGAAACTGTCAACACTGGTCCGGCTGTAGTTTGGTGTCTGCCATGGCTTACTTGGATAATATTCCTTTACTTGCCTCTGAAGTTTCTTTTCTTTTTTCTTTTCACTTTATTGCTTTTTCAAGCCCTCCTCGGGAAGGCAAGCTGATCTGGGGATTATACGCTGATATGCTTTGTTGTGTCATTTCTCATCCGGGTACAACGTAGTTATAGCTTACACACGACTCATTTTATAGTTTTTTATTTGTACTCGGATGTTCACAAGAGCTATATTGAATTCATCATCCATCCCAAAATGGGCTTTTTATTTGTTTGATGATTTATGGACTTTATCAGTGGTTTCATCATTTTTTAATTTCTTGGATTTATCCCCTTTTGCAGAGAAATGAAAATTACCTTCCAAGTTCTGCTGCCAGTTTTCTTTATGCCACAGATTTATCTGATGCAAAAAGTGAGTGCCTAATTGAAGGGTGGGATCTTGTAGAGCATCCAACTTTTCCTCCTCCGCCATCACAAAGTGAGGATGTTGAGCACTGGACTCGAGCCATGTTCATAGATGCTAAAAAGAAATGATCGTTATCCGCAACGGATGGTTACTCTCTCCCAGTATGTGCCCTTTCATTTAATTTTAATATTTTAGAACCGTTTTAAAAGTGACTGATGAGGAATAATATATGAAGGTTGGGCTGCTGCCTGCTGGGTTCATTCAAGTTGCTGTCCAGTAACTGGACATGGTTTCAGACCTAGTTGCCCAGCCCTTTGTTAACTTGCTTCTGTAGGACTTGTCCGTCGATTTCGTTTCACTTTAATATGTTAGAATAGTTGATAGGCTGCTAGGATGCAAATGAGCAGAGCTAAATTTTACATTGAAAAGTTCAAGGCTGGTATGTGTCAGAACTTTTGTAATTCAACTTGCACAACCAAGATATTGAGCCTTAATAACCTACGATTTTGCATCGCGCCTTTTGTTGTTATTTGAGTTCTGGCTCGTAATAAAAACTTTAGCCAACTCGCGCGCACAAGTGTGTATATATCCACCTTCTCTTTTCCTAACTGGAAAGTATGTTGATGTGTTTCGTTTGCCAGGTGAACGGTGAGAAAAGCTGACCCACGATTGCAGGATTTACGGATCATATGCGCTGCAGATTATCTGGGAGCCTCTTTTTTCTCCCTTTTTTCTCTGTACATATAGCATCTAGGAAGTTCTCGGAATTGAGACTGTAAATATTAGGTCTGCAGTAATCATAATTAACTTGTTTTTGTTGTCGAAGTTGAAGCTATTTGTCTTGATCTGGCCCTATTTTTTTCGAGCCCTATCATACTGTATTTTAGTATTGGAACTCTGAAGGTAATCAGTGTTATAATGAGCTCCGCAAGTTCACTATTCCCTCCGCTTTAACGACATCTAAACTCAACAAAATATGAGACGGTTTACCTTGTGTAGATAATTTTGGGAGGCACATGCAAATACAATTCCTTGATTATATTGAATCCCCGTGTTTCGTGGTTTGACCGCTGTTGTTGATTGAATTGATAAGTTTGCGGTTAAGTGTTCATGCATGACGCGGGTTTGATCTCATTTCTTCTCAAGATTTAACCTGACGTGATATCTGACAGTTTGCATTTTGCAGACTCGAGAAATCCACAGTCCTAGGGAACACACTACCCGTGACGAACAATAAAATCTAATTGTCGCGTCTCAGCTATATTTGCTTGCGCATCTTATACATGTATAATTTCCCCTTCCTCTAACTCGTCAAGCCCGGTGTCTGCACTCAGTGTGTGTTACTGTGTTTGCCTGAACGAAAAAAAAAAAAAATTGAATTCATAGGGTCTTTTTTTGGTTAATTGGTATAATTTTATTGTAAGGCTATCTATCTTGTGAGAAAATTTTAAGGTTAGTGCAACCTTGTGTGGAAGTTATCAATCAGAAGAAACCGAAGCAGGCTTTGGAATTTGAGAGAAGTGCATGTTACCATTGACTTTTTTTTTTTGGTTGACAAGCTAATTGACTTTTTATTTTGGTAAGAGTACAATGTTATAAGGGAGAATTACAATTATGTTTCACATAAAAAAATTAATTACTGTAAGGTCTATTAACAAATAAACTGAACTGAAAACACAATCAGTTGTCATTGCAATTTAGTTCAATTGTTAAAAACTTTATAGTAATTAATTTTTTTTTTGTATGAAATTTTAATGTAACTCTCCTATGTTATAATTGACTTTGATATTGCGGGAAGCATTTCTTAGGCATTTCTAAGAATATTGATCAGAAGTCTCATAAATTTCTATATCATTGCTATCATACACCTGTCTTTTATTTGCTATTTTATAAGTTTAGTTGCTACTATTTTAGTTGAATTAACGATGATGTAGTTTTTCAGTTAATCGTCTTATTATCTTTGATAAAAAAAAATCAATTTTCGTATTATCATGATATTTTACGTTGTTTCCATTGTCTTTCAAGGTGCCAAAATCATATTATTACTCATTCAAACTTCTTCTGAAAGGGTGCAGCATATACCTTGCTTGTAGTCTTGTAGGAAAATGACAACCAATGAAATAAACAAGTAATTCAATTTAATTGTAAAGAACCATTCTTAAAATGTGGCTGAACTGGTCCGTCGCAGTTGATATTTCGGGGTGAGTTTTGTGAATCGTGCCTCTGCCTCCTGAAACATTGATGCAAAGAATAACAAAAATAAATAATAATGGTTCTCGAACAACGTAATACTTTTTAATTTTAACTTGCATTTTAATCAAATAATTAAAAACAATTAATTTAAACAAAAGGACTTCATTTATGTCAAGAAAGTAGCATAATAATTATAATATGTAATTTAGATTAAAATATACAGAAGTCTCTTAAACTTTGACCCATTAGCAAATAACCCTTTTAAACTTTTAAATTTTTGTAGATAACCCTCTACCTTGAATTATTTTGCTATTTCATTGATAGTTCGTTACACCCCAGGTATCTTCTTAGACTTTATTTTTATTTGTTCATTTATTTTGTCATGTTATATTACTTTAGTGAAATAATGGATAAATTATCACTGGAGAGTTATTTGCATAAATGTACAGGTTAAATGGGTTTCTTATAAAGTTTTATAAAATATTAAAAAAAATTTCACACTACTCAAATTTCAAAGTGGTTTATCTCTAATTTAGACTTAATATTATATCTATTTTTTCTTATCATATAATTTATATCAACTTTGGAGATGATATATCGGTATTGGCATTATACTATATCATATGAGTTTTTTAATAAAATATATCATATGGGTTGACCGGCTTAACCTTCATACAATTAGAAGATTTTTTGTTGGTAATATACAAGATTGGGTTGGTAAAATTGTAATTTAAATGTTGAAAGGAGATTTTTTTTTTGGTCAACTAAAAGGACATTTTAACCAAAGAGCAAAATAGTCGTTTAAGTTAATATTCGTGGTTTTTTTTTTAAATAATTGGTGATTGGATAGAGTTAAATTCACCGTGATAAATCTAGGAGAGAATTATTTACACATAATTATACACAGATCACAAGGAATAGTACCATAAAATGATTTATCGGTAAAACAAAGTCACCTTTAAAATTTAATTTACTAAAGTTTTAAATGAATACCTTTAATAAAAGTATGAAGTTGATGATGCACATAATCATCATTCATTATTGGTGTGATTGACATTTTAAAGTCTTGAATATATCTTTAACCAGCGGTGGAAAATTGAGTTGTCTCTGTTATTCTGATAAGTTTTGTTTATTTTGTTATTTTCACGAAAATGAACAGCTGAGTAATTATATTATGGCGAAGAGGAATTGCCTTACACACACACTCTCTCTCTCTTCCTATTCTTGTTTTTGGTGCTTTGAGATTTGGGTTGTACAATACAGACACTCTTCTTATTCCATAAATTTCTTACTCGATCGCTTTCCATATCCAATGCCTCCAACTTGGAGTGCCCAAGTTGTCATAGGACTTCGTGTCTTGAGAACAAAAACTAGCTTTCACAAAAATTACATATTGCATGTAAGCATGTCAGGTTGATCATATATTTACTATGCATAGTGTATCATATCGCATTCTCTCATTATATAACATGCACCAAACAAATTGGTACAAACAAGCATAGATTGATCAAGCGTGAGAGACAAAGCTAAATGAGCTCTTCAAGTGGATTGCTATATTTTGGTACCTTGATCTTCTTAAGCCAGCAATTACGTTGTTCCAACCGATCCCTTTTCTCCACCATATTCTTTGTGTACTCCTTTCAGAATATCACATATAAAACAAGAACCAAAAATTCCTATTGTGATCCTCGAGTTTGGAAAATACAGGTAGATGCATAATTAATATATATTTTTCATGTATTAAGTACAAACTGACCTGTTTTCTTGCCCTTGATCTAGCGGCGGATTCTCTGTTCTTGATCATCCTCTTCTGCTTCCTTTCAAAATTCTCATTCAAGGTCTCATCTGAATAACGTCGCTTCCTTTCCGTAGCACCTGCTTCTACTTGTGATTTCGACGAACATGTTATCGGCAATGAAATTCCTAGCGGCAGAACCTTCTCTGAGTAACATGTTACCGAAACTGACTTACGAACACCCAAATCTGAGTAGTTAATCCCAACTGGAATCTGTAGCTGCATTTGCATCCAATTTGCCTGCTGTGACACCATCTCCGTCGGATCAATTGTGATCAGTGGCTGGACATCAGCGCCAATGTGATCCTGCTTTCCATTGTTCATGGCTTCCTCACGTACCATCAAATCTGCGACTGTTGTTTCCTTCAAGCTCGGTCGATTCACCTGGTTATCTATTCGGTTCACATGCTCTTGCACAACAAAGTCGCTCCAAACTTGATCCAGGGTTTTCTTGCTCATCGTCGCATTTAAATCCAGAAAATGAGAAACGGGCGAAGAGGATAATGGTAGGTTTTGCGTAATTTGACCACTCTCGGTTGAAGTCGTATTATTCAGAAGCTCATCAAAATTCATTCTAAACAAAGGCTTCTCGCACTTGTGTTCCAATATGCTCTGAAACTCATCAAAATTTTGGTTAGGCATAGACCCGTGCCGACGAAAAGTTACATAGTCAGGATGCGGGGCCTCAGGCTCAGCTCTATTTGTAGAAACCATAGCTATGTATGTTAATGACTCTTCCAACTACAGAAGCATGGGAGCCAAAGAAACTATAAGATGTTTCTATTACGAAGAGCTTGAGTCAAAATGCTTGTAATGAAAAAGGGCACTGGAGAGCGAAGTTTGAGCCGCCCCAAAAAATAAAATAAAATAAAATAAAATAAAATACAGAAATGAGCTAGAAAAGCCTGACTCGGATTTGGTGAAGGAGATCCTATTTTTTGAGAGACATAATCGGGAAATAAAATAGTCTCTCGCTTATCATCTTTAATTAAATCTCATTAATTCCTGATTCTTTGCCCCATATTGTTGGGATAAGCATAAGCTTTTGCTTTATATATTTGATAATAAAATTGATAATTGTTCACTTTCTTGTTTAGATATTTAATTATACTTATAAAAAAGAATCTTGTTTAGACTTTATAAGTGTTACCATAGATTTAACATTATTTTCTTTACTTTTATTAAATATAAATTTGAGTTCATCATGAATTTAAATTAATAAAAATTGATATCAAGTAGCCAGTGAACCACGAAGCCAGGGTAACTTAAATTTAAACTAATTTTCTCTCTCTGTCTCTTTCAATTCTTAAAATATTAAATTTATTATAAACTATTCTTAAAATTTTTTAATATTATGATTTGTAAATTAATATAAAATTTTATTATGAGACTGGACATAGATCCTGATGTACGGGTGAAGTTGTACCACATCTCAAATATGTGAATATGATTTCCTAATGTTAAGAAATCTTTTTAAAGCTAACAAATTGTATATGATCAAATTTTCACCATTAATTTTTTGATAAAAAGGAAGAAAAACAACAGATTTTTCATTAAATAATTGTGTAATGTGAAAATTAAAGTAAACTTATTTGGAGATGTTACTTTGTTATAAATAAAACATAAAATAAATTTGGAAAAATAAAAATAAAATTCCAATGATTTAGATTGAATATAAGTTAGTTAGGAACAAGATTATTTGGATATTTTGATTTGTTAAAGAGGTATTATAGAATAACAAAAAATACAAATATATTTTTGATGTTAAATACAAATTCAAATAATTCAAATTGAATGTAGGTAGGTTAGATCTTAGGTGTATTAGGTAATTTTTTAATTAAACAATTGAATGGATCACAGTCAATGTTGTTTTTGAAAAAACTAATCTATAAATTCTCATTTTTAGCATGTTTTGAATTAGGTCTCTATATATATATATTTTTTTTAATCAAACCCCAATATATTACTCCGTTGGATCCGTCCATCCCTACAAATTGAAAACACGATCCAAAGACCAATGGACAGATGCATAAGTTCATGCCATGTAAGCAAATGAGCTGTAGTTATAATGTTACAACTTGAGAGCGTAGAATCGATTGAGGAAGAAAAAGATTTTATTTTAAAGAAAACATTAATCAAGTAAATCCATTATTGGTGTAAGTTGCATTATTTGTTAGAAAGAAAAAGCAAGAACATACCACAAAAAAATATGAATCAAGAACCAGTATGAATTAATGTAAGGTCATTAGCGAAAGTTGCATTATCTATTAGAAACTTGCCCATTAACATAGTAGATGAAACTAAAGCACTAGCATGGATTAATGCAATATCCCCATGTACTATGGTTTATACACACATACAGTTAGGCACTAGTTTAACGATAACTATTCATTTTCTGTTTTCATTTTCCTTTTTGGAACTTTCAAGAGTAATTCCTTGTAGATTACATGGGCCTACAAATATTAATTTCATAAGTGGTCCTTGAATTTGGGTTAAAAACTAATTCATTTATGAACTTGGTTTATTAATGATGATTAAAATTAGGAGATTTTGTCATTACATTCTTTATATGCTTAGGAAAAAGTATACTCTACTTACCTCTATTTTTCAAAACATAAAATAGAGACCTAAAAAATTTACATAGGACTATTGCTTACAATCTCACAAAACTATAGAAAAGTTAAAACTCTTGCAACAATGATGAAGTTTTCCAAAGGCCATGGAAGGTTAATAGTTTAGAAGCAAAGGGCTGTTGATCGAGGGTGGGCAAGAGTGGGATGGGAAGAGAAAAAGTTAAAAGAGAATAAGAAGACACAAAGCTCTGATAATGTTTCAGAAAAAGATTGAGAGGGAAAGTGTATGTGTGTTTGAACATTGAGTAAATGAAGGAATGACGAAGAGTTTTTGCTGCAGCAACATTAATCTACTTGGAGGCTTAGTCAACATTCATGTGACCGATTTTTATCCACAGCAACAATTTCAAATGGTGTTATGTAGCTCTATCGGTCCTTAAATCTGATTTTAAATCTACAGGGATGAATGCAGATGACGGTGTAATTTATAAGGATCCAGTAAAAGAAAAGAAACTTGAGGGACTTGATTAAAAATAAGCTGAAACTCTAAGGATTTGCTATTCATTTTTCCTTTTTGAAATAACAAATATGAATTAATAGTAAGTAAGAATTGTTATTTTAGTCTTCCATCCTCTTGCTTTGCTTAAGAGAAAACAATGTAAGCTGACTTTCATAAAAACAATTTTTTTTTTTCATTTATACAGGAGTAAGGTAAAATAAAAAGTATTGAATTTAAATAAAGGCGCCAGGAATTTTCTTTTCTTTTATTTTTCAACTGTAACCTCGAAGTAGAGTCAGGAAACCTCCGAAAAGCCCAAGGTCGAAATCCGGAAGGCTTTGTCTATATTATCTTCTGGTCATTTTGATAGAAAGGGTGGCAAAAGCCCAATATTGTTAGGCTTTCTATTAGTTTAGCGAGAACCAATTCCAATGTGATTGTCTGGGTTCAATCCGTGGGGTGAAATGGACATCCAAATCTTCGTTGTCACATTTAGTAGCCCATTCAAGCAGTCTCTTCAAACTGGACCCTTCAAGTGAATTTAGGAAATTGCAGATCGATGATACTGACTTATTGTGGTTCTTCTCTCAGCAATTTAGCTTCTATTATTTGTCCCACCACTGGAATTATCAGAGCAGACGGTTCGTAATCGAAGACAAGTCCGATAGATAGGATCTGAAAATGGAATTCTGAGAGGGATAATGTTTTGTTTTTCTCATGCCTAGGAGTCCAGGACCACAACAAGCGGGAAGAACTCCCGACATGTCATCGTTAACGAAAATAGAAATTAAAGATGAGGAATTACCTTATTATTAATCAAAAGCAAAAACCTCAAGATTCATGAAGCTGCAGAACTCCACTGTTCCATTTATTCCAAACAACTGGGGACCTATAGATGTGGTGAAAGAATATAGATCGTGAAGGGCCTAAAGAATATATTAAAAAAAAAAAAGATTTTTTTAGGCAGTTTCGGAGGAATCTGCAGCACCCTTTTGAACTACTGGATGGGAAAAAAAGGTAGTTTGGGGTTCTTGACTAATTAAGGCGTATCGTTTTGCTGATATTCCTTCAGAATATGCTTTATGGTTGTTACCAGATAACCTTATTAGTTCCTTTAATACTTTTACACAGGATTTTACCACCGCTTGTCATTGCTTCCCACCAGCCACTCATGTGCTGTATGTGTAAAGCTCCTTCCAATAGATCAGGCATATATGTTCAAAAGCAAAAAAGCAAGCAGAGATCCAGCGAGAGAGCCAAATTTAACCAAACAAGTTGTCTTTTTTACCGAAGGCTCAAAGGAGATACATTTACTTGTTTTTTAAGTCATCCCTAGATCGGTCTTTTTTTTCCCCCCTGCCCCTGAGCAATGGATATACAGATCAGCTAATGGGAAAAAAAATAAAAGAAAAAGGATATGGCTTTTGGTCCGTAGAGAAAAATGGTTAAAAGTTGCGGTGGATGACCTAATTTTGTGGGCTCCATCCATAAATCTCAAGATAGATCTCTCCACTTGTAAGATGGTTGACAGACATAGGAGCTTTCTGCACTAAAATGCTGTGTGCACGGCATGAAATTTGTCAGATGCTGGTTTCTATGATTTGTTGTTAGTTTCCACCACTAAGGAATAAATGATGTACTCAATTTAATTAACTTGTTAAAGCTATCAAAGAAGGATAAAATAGAGAAGGATTGAAAAATGTCATATCTATTATTGAGATAAAGAGTATACTATATACACAAAAAAAAAAGATAATGCAATAATGACTAATAATTACATAATAATATCAAATAATATCTCCTAATAATAATTGAGATATACACATAATAATAATAGAAGATATTTGGAGAATATTCTAGATAACATTTTCCTTTAAATTTAAGATGGTTTAACAAAGAGCAACTTGAGTTTGTCTACCAAAAATTGAAAGTGGCTTGGATGAAAAGACTTTGTAAACAAGTTTGTCGGTTGATATTTGATTTGAATTGGAACAAATCGAATAGTGTCTCAAACAATATGATGCCGAGTAAAGTGACAGTCAATCTCAATGTGTTTGGTTTGCTCATGAAACACATCATTGTGAGTAATCTTGATTGCTGCTTGATTATCACAATAAATGTTTGTGAAAGAGCTCTGAGATCTTCCAACTTATTAAGTAACCAACAAAGCCAAAGTACCTTAGCGATAGTGTCTGCCAGTGCATAATATTTCAATTCAACATTGGAGCGAGAGGCTAATATCTATTTCTTACTTCTCTAAGAGATAAGGGAATGATCAAGGAAGATACAGAAACTCATCATAGATCGTTATCACGATCATCACCCCAATTGGCATTAGAGTAAGCTCGTAGAGCAAGAAAGGAGCTAGCAAAGAAGTGAAGCCCATGATACAGAGTGTCTCTAATATACCAAATTATCCAAAGAACTCTTGCATAATGAGTTGTGCGAGGCTCAGACATAAATTGGTTGACAACATGAATTGCATAAGCAATTTCAAGACGAGTGACAACAAGATAGATAAGGCCCCCAACCAACTAATGGTATTGAGTGGGATTATCTAACAAGGTGCCATCGATATAAATATAGTGAACATTCGAAAGGTGAGCTTGGGATATCAAATTGGTGGCATACTTGACTTGAGAAAGAGATATACCATCACTCCCATGATGGACCTCGAGCCCAAGAAAATAGTTTAATATACCAAGATCCTTCTTTTCAAATTGCTCGCCCAAGTATGTCTTGAGCTCCTGAACTCCCGTATCATCATTGTCTGTGATAATCATATTATTAACATACAACATCAACAAAATAATACCATAAGAAGTGGAGCGAACAAAAAGAGCTGAGTCATGAGGACAATAAGAAAAATCCAATTCACTCATATTGTTACTAAATTTAGCAAGCCATGCACACGGAGCCTACTTAAGCCCATATAAAGCTCGATGAAGACGACATACCTTGTCTTTTGGATATTGATACCTAGGTAGAGGCTTCATATACACTTCTTCTTATAGATCTCCATTTAGAAAGGCATTTTTAACATCCATCTGGTGAAGAGGTTAGTACCTAACAACAGCAATAGCTAAAAGGCTACGAACAGAAGTCATATGGGCAACAGGTGCAAAAGTTTCCTCATAGTCAACACCATACTCCTGAGTAAATCATTGGGCCACCAAGCGAGCCTTATGTTGCTTCAAAGAGCCATCAGAATGAGTCTTATTCTTATAGACGCATCGACAACCAACCAGAGTTTTATTATGAGGAAGATCAATAAGATCTCAAGTATGCATTTTGTCCAGAGCTTATAATTTATCCTCCATAGCTTGCTGCCAAAGGGGATCACGAAAGGCTTCCTTAAAGGATTTAGATTCTTGAAATTGGAGAATGGTAGAAAATTAATGGTAATCTCTTACACGATTGTGCCGAGAGTCGATAGACAAAATAGGCTCAATAGGCGTGACTTGTACTAGAGGAGCAATAGGTGTAATAGTAGGCACATTTAGAGTGGGCGCAGCATTGATCATGGAAATGAGCTCAATAAAAGAATCTATACTTAAGTCACTAGGAAAAAGATTAGTAGAAATATCTGTAAAAATATAAGGTGAAGAAGATGAGAATGATGAAAGATCGGTCAGATATGAAAACTTGATATTTTTCCAAAAGATAACATGTCGAGAAATACGAATATAGTGTGAGAGAGGATCCCAACAATGATAACCTTTTTACTTAGAATTATAACTAAAAAAACAACAAACATGAGGATGAGCTTTAAGTTTGTTTATCTCATGAGACGGAAGAAGAATAAAATAGGCACAAGTAAAGACTTTTAAAAACTATAATTGAGAGGATAATCATGGAGATGCTCAAAAGAAGAAAGGTTATCAATGATAGGAGACAAGAGCCTATTGATGTAAAAGATAGAGGTTAAGGCTACTTCACCCCAAAACCATTCAGGACAAGAAGAGGAAATGAGCAATGCTCTAACAGAATCAAGAATATGACAGTGTTTATGCTCAGCACGACCATTCTATTAAGAAGTTTAAGGATAAGAATATTGAGAAATAGTACCTTGAGAATCAAGAAAGGTAAGTAATCTGGAATCATGATATTCTAAAGCATTATCACGATGAATTTTTTTGATAACTTTAGATACTAAGTGTGAATTATAGTAACAAATTTGATATAAAGTTCAGGTAACTTAGATCAATGTTTCATCATATAAATCCAAGTAAAATGAGAAAAATCATCAATAAAAATCATAAAATATTGACATCCTCCTATAGAGGGAGTAGGTACAGGATCCTAAACATCAGAATGAATCAAATCAAATAGAGAATCAGCAATAAAATTATTTTTATGAAAAGACAAAGTGGGTTGTTTGGTAGTTTGACAAGAAACGCATTGTAAAGAATGAATATAAACATGACCTAAAAAACCACTAGAACTTAAATGATGTAATTTACTTAAAGAAGGATGAGCAAGATGAAAATGCCATAAGTTGAGAAAAGAATCAAGAGAAAAGGATGTGGAGGCAGCACACAATGAGGGAACACTAATCCCAAGTAGGTGCATTAAGGTGAGCTCGAACATGCAATCAACTTTACGCCTGACCTCGACAACCTATCTTGTTTGAGAATCTATTGCAACACAACCACGTTTATTAAATAACACATCATAACCTATATCAATAAGTTATCTAATAGAAAGAAAGTTAAAGTTAATGGTAAGAACAAAATATGTATCATGAATGGATGGAAGGCAAGGAGACGATATCAATATGACTAACAGGAATTTAAGAATTATTAGTAGTATGTATAGGATAGGTAGCAGAGTTAGGTGTCATAGAGGATAAGAAATTTTCGTAACCTATCATATGATTGCAATAAGCAAAGTCAAAATACCAAGTGGATTTATCGGTGAGAGTAGATAAGGTAGTAAATGGGCTAGAGGAACTAGAGATGAATGTGCGCAACAAAGTTTCAAGTTCAATCAGAAAGGGTCCCAAAGTAGGCTAAACAAGATCATATTTTTCCAACCAAAGACAGTGATTGCAACCGTTCAGGTAACTAATATATACTGAGCAATATGTGAATTTTTCATTTTTTTAAAGGAAAAAAAGCTTACTAAGAGAATGAAGGATTAAAAACACTAAACCAGAGACTGCAGTGCAAATGGCATGGCGCTCACACTAGAAAACTAATCAACGATCTGATTATTGAAAATGATGCGCTGGATGTTCTTTATCTGCTGACCAAACTTCAGCACGATCCAACGGTTAATGAATATGCAAATATCAATTTACCAAAACTGCCCTGTGGATATGTGAAAATAAATTTAAGGTGGATTCGAATTCATGACGAAGGACGGCAATACTGCTGTGAAAGAAAACTAATGCTCTTCAAAAACTGGTTTATCGTGGGAAAAAATATTATATGGCTTTGATTCTATGAAAGCTATCAAAGACGAGAGTGATAAACTAGAGAAGGATTGAAAAATGACATATCTATTATTGAGATGACAAGTATATTATATACAAAAAAATAGATAATACAATAATGACTAATAATTATCTAATAATATTAAATAATATCTTTTGATAATGATTGAGATATATATATAATAATAATAATAAAATGTGTTTAAAAAATATTCTAGATAACAACTTGTCTGACCCACAAGAGGCAGATAATGTTAAAACCGATCCATGGTAAAAACTAAAAAGCATGGAATTAATTAGCAAATGACCAGGTATTAACTAACACGTTGTACCACTTTGCCATATTGATGAGTTACGCGCCTTTAGCTTTTTATCTCTATTCTTTATATCTTTAAAGGGAGTTCCACGTAATCCTTCCTTCTCGTGTCACCCGGAGCCTATAATGCACATATTATATATGCCACTACGCAGTTGGTACACGAAAATTGAATTAATTAAAAACTCAAACATGAATCAATAATAGATCTTCAATTTGAAAATCCGAAGTGCTTAAATTAGAATGCTTATTCCACAAGCTAGCCGGCATGGTATCCACTTTTTTGATAGAAGGCAGGAGTGGCAGGGATCGTTTTTTTATAAGGTTATTAGGAATCTGGGGGATCATGTTATAAACTTTTTATACTTTTATATTTAACAGTTAAATAATGTGTAAGAATCAGTTAAGAAAATCTATTTACTTTGATTGCTGTTAATTTTAAACCAGCCACTCGTATGAGCTAAGATTGATGATGAGGGATCGATTCATGTTACATGAATCAAACCTTATTAAAATAGCTCTGCATGATCCACAGGTAGCAGATTTAACGATGGCCTAATAAAGACAGCTAAATCCACATGAAATGCACAAGAGATGCGGGCTTGATACCGCCATTATTGATAAAAGTTGAGCTGACAGTGACAGCGTTCGCTTTTTGGTGATGATAAAGGAAAATAAATAAAAGAGGAAGGGGAAATATACAAAAGGAAACTTGTTCCCTTTTCGAAAATCTTTTATCTCTACCTTTGAAAAAAGCATGTGTTGGTGTCGTTTATGGTGCCCATGCCTTTATCTCTGAGGTAGGAAGGGACGAGTTGATTAGTTGGGGGCATAATTCAAGTAGCCAATCCATAATCTCTCATGAGTCATGACAAAGTTGAGGCGTATCACTTTAATTAAATAATTAGTCTACTCGATCAAAACTTTGCTTTTCCAGGCCAAAACAAGATAAGCTCCATTGTTTTTTTCTCTGGCTGCAGGATAAAGAAAAATAATGCCCATCCATCATTCATCAATAATATTATTCACTAGTGTTTGGATGCTGAACGTATGCGTTAAGAATCAATTGAAAACTTCACACTTCAAAAGGTATCAATGTTAGCTACGGGGTATATAATGTACTATCATCATACATTCCTTTTTACTGCTTTCTTTCTCGTCTTTTATTCTGTACGTAAATTTCTTCTCGTCAATTATTATATACATACCATTATTTTGAAGGAATAATGGTGCTAGTATTATTGGTGGTATATACCATTTTGATTACATGGCTTTAGTACAAGTAACATGCACCGTCGAGTAGCGTGTTTTCGCAGTCCGTGCAGTTTCTGTTAACGGCACTGGACTACAAAAATCTGGCCCTCCATCAAATTGGGAGGGGACAGATCGGACGCTTGTATGGAATTTGCCGGATTCTGAAGTGGGACCGTTTGATGACGTGGAATTATTTCTGGGACCTATCACCCGTATAAATAAATATTAAGCTGGTCGTGGAAGTGGCGCCTTCATTCACACTCACGCTCACATCAGACAGAGACCAGTAAGGAATCACAATCACTAGAAGGCAAAAAAAAGAAAAGAAGAAGCAATGAGGTAAAGGACGGTGAGTTTCTTCTCATTTTTCTTTTCCGCAAAAGTTTGCATTCAGTCTTCTTCTTTTTTAATGCAGCGCTGTCCTGACATTTTAATTGCGTTTTGGACAGTTTCTCTGGATCGTAGTGGGAAGGTAACGACGTTAGCAAGTTGAAGTTTTCTTATAGCAGCTTCTCTAAAAGAAGGAAAAACAGAAAAGGTTTTGCTCTCTTGAAGAATTATTAGTTTTTCTAGACGTAATTTTTAAGTTTCATTTGTTTTCTTTAGTCATTGCGTTGCTTTTGATGCTTGTTTGCATGCGAGAAAATAATGGTGTTGATTTATTTACAGGAACTGAGCTAGCGAGTTTGTCAAATATATTCCGAGAACCAATTGGGCGTTTAATGAACTAAATTTGAAGCCTGCAGATTCTTTCAAGCCAAGGTTGGTTTTATTCGCTTTGCAGTGGGTTTGGTTCCTGTTTTGGTTCGGGGAAAGTCGTCTTTTCCGGCAAATTTTAGTTATTTGAAGCTGAAACCTGTCTGTCTTCTTTCTTGTCTTGTTTTATTTTTGTTTTGTTTTCTTTTTCTAGAACTAGAACTATTCCTGCTCTGATTCTGGCTAGTCATTCAGAATTTTGGTTGCTAGCTGGATGTTGGCACCATTAGTTCTCGTTTAGGATGCACTTAGGGACGTAGTAAAAGTAATTCAGCTTAAGAAGGGCCAGTTTCTTGTTTACACGTAACTGGCATATGATGATTTTTTCTATTCAGTGAAAGTTTCTTCATCTTGCTGCAAGACATTACAGAAAACATGAAGAGGCTGGGTGCTATTGCAGGACATAGAAAATCAAATTCTCGTTTCACTTCTGAAGCATTTTTTATTATTTATTAACCGCAATCTTGAAAGCAACAGCAAATTCACCAGCAAGCATTCATTGTCAACCATAACCTCTTTCTCCCCTTCTCTGTTCAAGAGGATATTAATCTTCTGCCAGCCATTTTCGTGACATATGCATCCAGTAACTTTAGAAATCATAAAACTCTATGCATGCGTTCTCCAATGATTTCTCCCCTTGAGACATGAATTGTGCTTTGCATAGCATAAGGCGATCTTCATCAAAGAATCACTGTCAATCCAGAAGAACTAACTATGATCACAATTTAGCCATGGGCCGACTTTTGAACAATGCTCCTTCTGGTGTTCAGTTTTTATGACCAGAAACCCAGTTTCTATATTTTTCCTAATTAACTCTTCCTGTTATGTTTGTTCACAGATTGACTCTCTGTTTTTTGTATTTAGGACAGCCTCTTTCTTTATTTTATATGCGAGAATGACGTATTTTTCCTTCTATTAAGTCTATGAGTTCTCCATCAACTCAACTTGTCATCTCAAAGAGGATGGGCATATATGAGCCATTCCAGCAAGTCAGCATGTGGGGGGACAACTTTAGAGTTGAAAACAGCCTAAATCCAGGTCCTTCACAAATATTCATGGTGAACCCTACCACAGAGCCCAAGGTCAGAAAAAAGCTTGAATTTCTCTTTCCTTTTGATGGTTAACTTCTTTTTGTTTGAAGTCCAGATTTATAACAGCTTTTTGAATGTGAATTCTCCAGACTGAATATATTCCTCATGAATCGACGGGACCCTCAGGAGATGATCAAGATCAGACTACTACAGCTGTTAGTAAGGTAATAAAATGCCATCGGTATTAATCTCTTGTTTGTATTAACACTGTTGTTTCTTTATCATTTTCCTAAAGTTTACCAATATTTCATTGAGCATTATTGCATCCGAGAATTAATATGGAGTGTGAAGAGAAGTATCTTTCGAGGATGCGTGCGTGTCTTGGTTTCTTTTGCCTTTTAAATGTTGAGACTAGAGAGCAAACCCGAATGCACCAGGACCATTAGTGCTTTTGAAGGCATGAACATGAACTCTCGAGTTATGACCTTATAATTACTCAACATTTACTTGTAGGTGCTAAGACGCTTGGCACAAAATCGTGAAGCAGCTCGAAAAAGTCGTCTAAGGAAAAAGGTAATGGGAAAATGAATTTAAGGTAGGCAGCCAATGTTTATCATCTGGTTTCTTCTTATTTTTCTTATTTTTTTAATATCAATTTTACAGGCTTATGTTCAACAATTAGAAACAAGCCGTTTGAAGCTCATGCAATTGGAGCTAGAGATTGAGAAAGCAAAAAAGCAGGTGAATGCTTAAACAAATCTTTCTAAGCTGCTTTCTTTATTTTTCCTATGTACATATATTCCTTTGTCTCATGTTTAAGCCTTTACTACATTGTATGAGTCCAGGGTCTGTATATGGGCGGGGCATTAGATGCTACCTATGTAGGAACTTCTGGACCAATAAACCCAGGTTTGCTATTCTGGATATCAATTTTAATTAATCTTCCTCATTATATACTTAATGTGCTTATCCCCCAAGCATTTTCAGAACATGAAGTACGGATCCTTTCCTTTTTATTTATTGATAGGATGTTATTGTTTCCCGCACATGTTTTTTGTGCATTCACCTATCAGGCATTCTAGTTTGTATCAAACATTCGTTTCACTGTATCAAATAGTGCATTGTCTTTGCAGAACACACGTCTCAGTGAGTAAATCAATTAGCCAACAAATTTCTTTATTTTTATTTTTTGGCTTGCACTTCTAGTTGCAACAATGCAAGTTAAATCATTTTTATTCTTTGATTGTAAGCCTTTTTGGGTATTATATGTATGTGTAGAGGTGCATTTTTGCCCCTGATATATTTCCTGAGGAACACCAAATACCCTAAAATTTTTATTGAAGCAAATTTGCTCATAAAATTATTGAAACGGAGTATTTTTGTCCTTTCCATCAAAATTGTCACGTTGACCTCAAACATTGACTATTAGAAATCAGACGGAAAGGATAAAAATGCTTCGTTTTAATAATTTTAGGGATAAATTTGTTCTAACAAAAACTTTAGGATACTGGATGTTCTTTAAGAAATACATCAAGAGCAAAAATGCACCTTAACCCTATATGTATTTAGCATAACCCATATGTTATAGATTAAAGGCGAAGAATGTGTCAACCAAAGCCCCTTTCTTAGATTAGTTTCCTTCATTTACAACATACGCAAGAGATTGGTTGCAACTTTTTCAAACTGCCCATATAAACTTCTAAATATGAAAGCTTTCAATAAGTTTTGAAGTATTGTGATTATGAATGATTGTATTCCTCAAAGTATTGTTCCTTCTATGAGGCAGGGATTGCTGCATTTGAGATGGAATATGGGCATTGGGTTGAAGAGCAAAATAGACAAAATGTAGAACTTAGAAACGCATTACAAACTCAGTCACCTGATGTGCAGCTCCATCTACTTGTTCGGAGTGGCTTGAATCATTACTCAAATCTTTTTAAGATGAAAGCTGACGCTGCAAAGGCTGATGTCTTCTATTTAATCTCTGGAGTGTGGAAGGCGTCTGCGGAACGCCTCTTCCTCTGGATCGGAGGATCTCGTCCATCTCAGCTTCTTAGTGTATGTACTCTTTATTTTTCTGATTCTGAAAATCTCCATTAGCCTCTTTTTTCTCATCTTACATACTTACAATCTACTTCCTTCATTCTAAATTATAAGATAATTTTAAAAGAATTTTGTTGTTCTAGATTATAAGACAATTTGAAAAGAAAAAGATTTCATTAATGATATTTTTCTAATAGCATAAGACTTATATACTTAATTTTATATACATAACATACTTATATTTAATCAAATCATGACAAGTGGATATTAATATGTTAATTAAATAATAACAAGTGTTTATTGTAGAATAAATAATTTATAAAAATTCAAATTTCTTGATTTAATTGGAAACAAACATATTAAATGTATAAGATTTTTACTTTTCAATATTACCCTTCAAGTGAAGAGGGAATTAAAATGATATTATAGTATACTCATTACATACCACAATATATGTTATTAATAACTAATTCAAGTTTTACGAAAAATGCTAATTAAAACTTTATTTTTTTTAAAAAATGTCCATATCTTTACATTTTTTACTTTTGAGTTTTCATAGAAACATGTGCATGATTTTTAAATATGAAGCTCTTAAGGGTATAAATGGTAAAGAAATATAAAATTTACCCAATATCCTATATTTTAGACTAAAAGATGTTTCTAGAAAGCAAGTTATGTTGTGTTATGGAGAGAATAATGATTAAATATTTAAGGACATTTTTAAAAATTCATAGTTCTGTTTTAAAAAAATAAATTTATTGGGTATCATTATTATATTTTATTAATACACATAATCTTATGTTAAATTATTTTATAATTTGAAGCTGAGGAAGTATCTTAGAATTGGCACTCCTAACTCCCAGAGATTTCAGTCACGTCCCCACCTTTAGGAATGTCATGCTGCAATGAAAAATTATTCTTAGGCTTTCACCTAACAGCATGATATAGTCGTAGTTATGTTCAAAAACATGACAGGAAGCATAGAAATATTGTCAGATTGTATACACACTTGGACATGCTAACTTCACAAAAGAGCCACTCAGCATAGTTTCAAAATGATGCAACCTAGTTGCTCCTGATAAAAGAATTTCCAATCTGATGATGAAACGATACAGTGAATATAGTTGCAATGCTGTTTATATCATGAAGCACTTGACATCTGCTTGTCTTTTGCTTCAGCTCATCGTGCCACAGGTGGATGACTTGACGGATCAGCAGATAGGAAGTTTCACCAAACTCCGGCATTCTTCTCAGCAAGCTGAAGACGCTCTCTCACAAGGACTGGATAAACTACAACAGAGTCTGGTCCTCAACATGGCAGCCGATGCATTGGACATAGGAAGCTTCGGGTTTCAGATGACTTCTGCCATGGAGAAAATTGAAGCACTAGAGGGTTTTGTAAGCCAGGTAACTCCAGACGTCAAATGTACCAAATTCCATTTTTGTTTTGTTTTTTGTTTTTTGTTTTTGTTTTTTGTTTTTTGTTTTTTTTTTTTTGCATTTAAGATTTCGTAAGGTCCTAAATCACACTATCTGAATGAATATGGTTGTCCACAGGCAGATCACCTTCGACAACAAACCTTGCAGCATATGTCTCGGATCCTGTCAGCCCGGCAAGCAGCTCAAGGCTTGTTGATCTTAGGGGAATACTTTCAGCGTCTTCGTGCTCTTAGTTCTCTCTGGTCGGCTCGTCCAAGCGATCCTGCATTCCAAACTTGAGATGCTTTCTGAAGTAGAGTGCTCTGCTGGCACCGTCTTTAACAGCTATAGTATTTGAATTAGTGGCAATATAAATATGGTTTTGTAGCTGTTGCTCGAGTTTTGTTGTGTGTGCCTGAAGCAAAAATTTAGGTAACTCGTTGCTCTTGAGATGCTCATGCTTGTACATAGACTTTTCATTATCTTCTACTAATATTGATAATGTGTTTATTAATATTGAAAAAGTGAGAGAGAGAGAGAGAGAGAGAGAGAGAGAGAGAGAGAGAGAGAGAAATACTCTCAATTCAAAATTAGTTCAGGTCTGCTCTATGACCATGTTTCAAACAAAAAAGAAGGGGTAAAAAATTAAAAATCCAATATGCTGTGAAATAAAAGAAACTAAGAAAGATAAGTAACTTGTTACAGAATATTAAAAATAAAAAAAATAAAGGAAGAAACTGGGGTTAGATTATATAAACAGACAAAAGAAAAGGCTGGTAAATTATTGGGTCATGTGTAAGGCTTACATATTCCTTTTTTTTTTTATTTTGAGCAAAAAAAGCTTACATATTCCATTATTCCTAATAATTTGTTGCTGTGTTATAGCGGTACTCTCTCATTGTGGGGAGTAAACATGGGCATAACGGTAACACTGGCTATAACTGTAATGACATGATGACGCGGGAGCCAAACCGTCCACAACTTTCCCTGTTTTTTCTCCAGAAAATTTTAAGAAAAATTCCCGGCTCTCATTAATCAAGAAGAACAGAAAAGCAGAATTTCAAATTTAAAAGAAACAAAAATGGAAAATTCGGGCAACATTTATTGGTGGACGTTGTCAGAACCTCTTCACTTTCTTCATGACTTCAGCCAAGTTGCTTTTCGTCACAGGAAAAAGAAATTAAATTGTGATAAAGAGAAGGAAACATAATATAATGTTTTAACTTTTAAGGCTTCGATCGTATTGAACACTTCTGGCTTTGATTCGTTCGATTGGTTTGGGTAAGCTTCAAATCGGAGAATTATGAGCAATCTGAGAACACTGTGCAGACCGCAACCACTGTTCTCCTTCATTAGTTGCAGACAATTATTCCGATCTAGGGCTTCATTTCGAAGCCCTAATTGCAAGCCTCGTTCAACATCGCCGTCAATATATTCTACATGGTTGGATCCTCCGGGTTCAAGCAGAATGGAGTTTGGGTTTCGCGGCAGCCAGAGGAGAACCCTGGTCAAGGCATCGAATTGGACTGAGCAAAAGTCCCCATATGAAACTCTTGGTAATTATTTTCAAATTTGTTTCTTTTGGCCTAGCTACTCCAGGACGTTTTTTATAATTGCGAATATGGATGTAAAGGCAAGATATTTCAACCATACAGAAATTTTGCAGCTAAAAGGATTGGTTTGATGAAGGTTGCAGTCGTGCTGATAATACAGTCCTTTCCTTAATTGGGGAGAGTATTTGACATATCTCAAGTATTAAAGTATAGTTATTAATACATCCAATTATAGCCTTACCACTAACCAATTTTGCAGTGCATTTTTATTTATGGAAGAGAGAACTGTCATCCTCTAGAAAAGACAGACAAGTGATAAATTTGGGCCTGTCAATGATGCTTTGTGTAATTGAGGGGTAAAAAATGCTTGTGATGGCTAGGGAATGAGTTAGCATTTATTGCTAGAGAAGGAGGATGTTCCTATGCATAATTATCTTAACGATTCTTCGTCAACTTTTTATCTGATGAAACACCAGAATTAGAAAGAGATGCTGATGAGGAACAGATAAAGAATGCTTATAGACGCTTGGCCAAATTTTATCACCCAGATGGTATGTACCTTCATCTTAGCTAGTTCTTTACTTGGAGTGTCATGTAAACTGTAAATGTGAACTTGATTGTGTTTATTGGTGGCGTGATCAGATGGCAATTTTATGTTAGTTGAGACTTGAGGATCTAGAAGTCTGAATTGCTAAATCGTTCCATAAATTTGGAGTTTCATTGCTCATTTATTGTTCACTACTCTTCAATCATACAAATATCAGTGCTCGGAACTTTTGTAGGCCTTGTCTGATAAGGGTCCCTGCATACTCTATTTGTACATATCAACCAACTAAAAATTGGGATTACATCAAAGATGGTGATTTTGATTTTCCCCCTCCCATTTTTAGCAGCAGTGTTTTAATAGCTCCATTTAAGGTGAAGCTTAGCCCTTGCGTTGGGTTGGCATTGTGTCCCTTACATCTTGTTTTGGATGTTTGACATTTTTTTTTTTTTACTAGTATGTTTCTGCGAAGCTTTTGTGACTATTTCCTTTCAAAATGCTTATCCAACATTCCAACTGAGTGCCATAAGTTTTGTCTGCGATCATTGCTATAATTCAGTGACTCACGTTATAGCTTATAGCACCACAATATGGCTCGAGGCTTTACCACATCTATAGTCTTTTAGCTCTCATGTAGCTCCCATATAGCGCCACTTTGCTTAGCTATTTTTGTGAAGCAGTAGCTCAAGCTGCAAGCACCATAGGGCAACAGCAGCCCTGCTATTTCAGTAGGTTGCCATTGTAGATTCACTCAGCCTTGGACAATGAAAATCGAATGATTAATTTATAGGGCCTTGAGGAGAATATTAAATTCCTGTGATGATGGCAATGAGTGGCTGGTCAACATGGTGGACAAAAGAACTAAATTGTGAAGCCCTTGATGAACAAAGGAACTCCACAAGAGATGAAGAGGAAATTGAAGGATGGTCTAATGATCATTGAGAGGACGTTGCATTTGATCAAGAGTAAATTGGTTTAGACATCTGATATCTTGGGATAAAGTTTAGACTTTAGACTGAAACTCTGTAAAACGTTGATTTCTTCTCTTAAAATACTTGATTTACAAATAATTATTATATTGTTTTGAGCATTTTACATAAGCGATTGACTTTCATATATGTTAGTAATTATAGACCGTTGCAAATTTTTTGACACATATGCCACAATTTCATATGGCCAACATTGTACAGCCTCTGCGCCACAAGATTAATAGCTATGGTTGTGACACAGTTGTTCTTATAAATTTTTTTTTTTAAAGATGTCACGAATTCATTCCCTTTTTTCCCCCCTTCTAGTCTATGATGGTAGAGGAACCCTTGAGGAAGGTGAAACAGCAGAAGCAAGGTTCATAAAGATTCAAGCTGCTTATGAATTACTTATAGATGATGAGAGGCGGCGGCAGTATGATATGGATAACCGAGTGAACCCAATGAAGGTACAGTTTTAACTACTTATCTGTTGACATATTAGTTGATAGGGCTGCTCTAGTGGTAACATGGCTTAGCCAGCCTTGTCTCATTCGCTCATTACTGTTCAGGGAGGGGCGGGCCAAAAAAATTGGGCAGTCTGGGTCGAGTTGGACACTGGGTCAAGTATTTTGGGTTGTTTGTCTTGGCCTGTTCCTGTGTGCCTTTTTTCAACAAAAATGAAAGGTTTTATATGAAAAAAATTGAGGGCCAAATATAATTCTACAGGGACTTGCATGAATATATATTTTTTTTTATGGAATATCATTTTTATGATATTTATAAAACGTTTTGGAAAAAAAATGTGACTCAATGGGAATTGGTCAAACTAGCCTGCTGCTAAAATGGATGGGGCTGATTCTGGTCTGAATGAATACGCACTAGGTGAGTTCACCCAGATTGAATGCTCTTTGATCAAGCATCTAGACATTGATCATTTTGGATTATAATGAATGACTCTAGGGCTAAAAATTTTAACTCAGGTTCTAAATTATAATTTTTCCATAAGCATAATATCAAAATTTAAGGCCCCCTATTATAAATGATGGTACTTTAAAGTATTGCCTTGTCGACTTTAATATCGGATGTATTCTTTCTTCTTTTATGACAAGAATGCATATCTTCTTGGCTTGCTGCAATACTTTTTGGCCTGATTACTGCGGTTTGGTTTGATCATTAGTGTGTTGTTCTGTATCCTTCAGGCATCTGAGGCATGGATGGAGTGGCTTATGAAAAAGCGAAAGGCTTTTTATCAGCGAGGTGATATGGCTATTGCTGCTTGGGCAGAGCAGCAACAGCGTGAGTTAAATATCCGTGCACGTAGTCTATCTCGTTCAAAGGTATTGTCACGTACTTGGAGATGAAGTCAACTTGCTGTTGGTTTTGATTCATTGGAATTAAGATCTTTGTGAAATTTTATCCTAGCAACCCTAATCATCTGGTTTTCAGTTGCCGCAATTAAGTTGAGCAGATATTAAAGAATGAATACATGATTTGATCTTCATGCTTATCATCACTTTCACCCTGGATTGGCTGCTGAAAATTTGTTGCTCATAAGTGAAAAATAGAGTTCAGTGTATTGTGAATGTCACAGAGAGCTCATGAATGCAGACATATCATAGTCAGTATTCCAGAGTCTGACTGGAAATATTTTGTGAAATCTCAGATTGATCCAGAAGAAGAAAGGAAAATCCTGGCCAGAGAAAAGAAAGCTTTTGCCGAAAATTTCAACAATACCCTTAAGAGGCATACGCTTGTATTAAAGAAAAGAGATTTAATGCGAAAAAAGGCCGAGGAAGAAAAAAAGAAGACTATCGCTCGGCTGTTGGCTGCAGAGGGTCTTGAGCTTGACTCCGATAGTGATGAGACACTGTAGCGGACATGGGCTTGGCTTTTACTTTCCAGGAATGATAAATGATATCTGATTTAATGCTATAATGTCTCCCAGCCCAAATACAATGCTTTCAATTACTGCAGTTTTTTTTTTTTCAAGCAAAATTTCACTCACTGCAGTCTACACAAAAGAAATGTGTACATATTTTGTAACTTGCGGTATAGAGTTAGTGAATAAGTCTTGAAATAGAGCATATTGTGATGATGATGATGTCAGTTAAGTTATGAAGCCTAGGGAAAATACTGATGGAATTTGAAGCTGACATCTCGGAGACTCGGACTCTGGATTTTTGTGTCACTCTAAATATCTTTTTCTTTTGCTAATTTCATATATTTAATTTGCACAGAAAGACCAAATAATAATAATAATAATAATAAGACTTGTGCAGTCTGATTTGCCTATGTTACCTTGTTTAATCCTGTCATATTCTTAAACGAGAGCTTACTTAGAGCCTCAAAGGAGCCGATTTGATGGTAAGTAAGCGACACTCATGTTTGGATGTTATGTAGGGGTCAGCAAAACACACTCGAGTACTTGAAGAAGACGAAAGCATCTTTTTCTTTCGAGTAAGTGGAGGTTGGTTAAACAATGAATTTCACTCTCCTATTAATCAGCAATCTAAATCTTGGTTTAGACAAACACAAGCTGTGTTACCTGTTAAGGGCACTGTCCCCCCTTCCCCATACTCTAATTCTGTTAGCTTCCCCAAAAAGAGAAAGAAAGAAAGAAAAGAAATGGACTGGTAACAGAATACTGGAAAGCTGAATTGGTTACCTCTTTTTTTGAAGTAGGAGTGAGCGACTGGTATGATTGGGAATCTCTTTTTAGAGCACTTTGGGTTCTGAATTTCGGCTCCTCCTTTTGACTCCTCTGTTATTGCCCTCCTTTTTCGCAGTAACTAATAATTATCTGCGGCTGTGAGTTGTTTGAATATACAGCCGCCGCCTTTACAGTTGAAGGCCCATCATCCATTTCCAAGCAGCCAGCCACAGTGGCGTCAATGATTCCACCCAAGACTTTAAAATCCATAGCCCTCACCCCTCCCTACAATACACCCAATAACTGAATGCAGCACTGGTACGTTTGTACATCTTACTCATTGCTGAACCAACCAAGCAGATGAGTCCAACTCCGCAGACGCACGACTTGACACGAGACACAGGACAGGAAAAAGAAAAAGCAACCCTCTTTTCTCATTTTTTTCAAACTCCGAATAATATGGGCTTGGGCTCCACTTAATGATCAGATTTCGGCTCTCAACATTTTCCAGGCTCTTCAACTGGTCCTTCCCGCTGTCGGCTAACAAATCACACCCTGGACCACTGTACCCTCCAGCCAATATGCCATTAATTACCCCCACACTCCATCCTCATCCTACTTATAACCCTGCATTTATGTCTCTGGTGGATACCTGGACTGCGTCCTACTAGCCTCTGCCCATCCTAATTCATTCAAACATGCCCTGTCCTGCCCAGTTCTGATATCAACAAAAACGTAATCGTGTCCGAGTTTCTTTTTCTTTCTTTCTTTTCCTTCTTCTTCTTATTCTTTTTTTTTTTTTTTAATGAACTTGAAATCTTTCTTCGTAATGTAACTTTCATGTGTTGTAACAACTGGTGGCTTGTCCATGTCAAACTGATCCCCCAGGGAACGAGTGGAGCTGAAGACCCCTAAAACATGTTTGATGGACCTGACTTGAGAGATATTCATATAAAGGGGCTTCACGGAGACAAAAAAAAGCAACGAGGTGGAATTTCACTTAAAAGCAATTATACACAGTCTGTGTTGTGAGGTGGGATCTCCTGATGTTGGTGGGGCCCTCGGGAGATCGGGATCAGATGGAGAGTCACCCATCAAAAAATTTACAATGCCAAGTAGCGGCCATCTCCTCAAGATTCATGCACCATTTGAGTGGCTAACCACCTGCGCGGGCGACACGTGGCATCCCTCGATCATTTGAGTGTCTTGCGAGATAAGGCTTGTTTCGATGCTTTTATAAGCACAGGATAAATTCACATCAACATCACAATCGTGGAAGAAAGGGAGTTCCGGCACCCTCTCACCCCTAAGATGCCTCATTTCTAAAAGCCTACGTCCATTACCAGAAACTATTAATCAGTGGGTTTTAAAACTTTGAAGCTTTGTTCGTCCATCTACATATGATCTCAAGGATAGATTAATTAATTAAGGAGGACAAGTCGTGTGTATGATCTCTTTTCAAGTGAAAAAAGTTGGGGAGAAAGGGCCTGGTTTGAAATTGAGAGTGTCTAGCCATGAATGCAAGTCAAAAGTGGCAACAGTTGAATCATAGTAGTCTCAAGCTAGAGGGACGCACTTGAGCTCTTGATCATTGGGTTGGCTTCTTCCTTCCTTCCTTCCCATAAATTGCAACGCAATCATTTCAAAGTCGTTTACCTGTTTTACGAATGAGTGCTATCATGCTCACCGGTTGACCCTCAAGGGTCTATTTCCTTATTGCCTCTTCTCTCACACGCGTTCTCAATATATGTTAGTCCCACCATTGCCCCTAACAACTCCAAAGCCCTGATAATGCTGCGCAACAAGTGCCTTCGCAATTTAATCATGCCTCTGTGTCTGCTCGAGCACAGTTAATTATCATGTTAACTTGGCCAATATGTTACTCTCTCTCTCTCTCTCTCCATATGTGTGTGGGGGGGGTAAAATCTGAATCCATGGCCGGTATATCAATAAAGAATCTCACTTTTAAATACGTGAAACGCATTTAAAAAAAAAAAAAGGCTAACATTTTGGGCCTGGATTCCCTAAATAATTGCGCTGCATGATTGGCTGCGGAATATCAATTTTGGTCGTATTAATCAGAGCGATTCAGGAATGAAATATATACGCGAAGTGAAGTTTTTGATAATAGAAGTTATTAGATGCCCCAGACGGAAAGAAAACTGTTACGTTATTCCACTTTCTTTCTTTTTTTTTTTTTTTTTTTTTGAGCAAATACGTTATTCCACTTTCACCTTGCCTTTCTCTTACTTTATTTTTTTGCTTTTTCCAAACACACTTGTTCGTCGTGCTCGTGTCAAGTTAGTGGGAGAACGTCTTCCTCTTAGAAAGACAAAATTACCCTTTTTGATGAATCGTTCTTTTTCTAAACCGGAAAGAAAATGTTATTTTCTGATATTGTTAATCAGAGAACCGAGCTAAGAAGAATGCAACAAAGGGGGAGTGGTCCCCTGAAGCGCAATTAATTAGAGTTAATACGATAAGCAAGTTGTGAAGATTAGACTAACGAAGCCCCATCCTCCCCACACCTCATCGCTGGCTCGGCTGGGAGGGTTACATTTGTTATTTGCTCTCTCTCTCTCTCTCTCTCTTCTCTTTTTTAGTTTCCCCACTCAATTCAATTCAATTTTCCATGTAAACAATCATTCCTTTGTATCATTTTCCTGTGCGAGGAGCCGTGGACCATCCAGTTGTATCCATCTAATATGAAAATGAAATATTCTTCTACAGAGACTTTTATAGGTAAAGGATCATGACGAGGATGAAAGAGATTTGGGCTCATAACTCGATCCGTCGTCTACCGTGTTTACTTTGTTATGCGCGAACGATTTGTATTGACCTAAACGACCAGACACTACCACCGTTTTGCGATTCATGCACAAAAGAGTAACACGCACTCGTGCGCACATGGTAATAATGACGCAACGCCTCGTTGACTCCTCCTCCCTTCTTCTCCACCGTAAAACTGAGATTTAAATTTGATAACTATATTTAATGCAGACATTGAATGCCTGTGCTATCCGAATCATTAAAATTTAAATTAATAGTTATGAATTTATACTCCACCTAAGCTTAATAAATAAGTGAATTTATCTTAACTATTGGTCTGAATTTTAATAGTTTAGATGGTATAGGTACAGTCACCGAATTTAAATTTATAGAACTGAAGCCTATTCTAGCAACCCAACCTTGTTCTTTTTTAGGTTCTTTCTCGCATGCATTTTCTCTTTTGATTTCTCTCTTATCTTGTCAAGGAAATAACACTTTTACTGTGAAATTTTACTCCATTAAACACAATTAACCAATAAAAATCATGGTAATCAAAGGTTTAACTCAAAAAATAATCACCAAGTTTTAGTTTAAATTCATGGGGTCCCAAGTTTTCATAAATAAAATGAGTTTAAAACAAACATAAAGTAAAAACAAGTTACGGAAGTATGAGAGATTTCAGAGAAATAAAAAAGAATAAAAATAATTGGAAAACAACCTATATGTTGTACAACAAGGCAAAGCATCACGGCATGTTGCTCTTTATGCCACGCATCGCAACATGTTGCACAAAAAATCAATAGATTTTACTGTCATTTGACAGCAAAATCGAGAAACTTTTAATACGTCCCGATTCTCCATCTGAATAACATGATCTGGGTGTTTATGAAAATTTCTTTATATGACTAACTAATGACGCGAGTTTTACTTTCATAACAAGTTACACCAGGAAGTTAAACACCTAAACACATGTTGACTACTTTTCAAAACTTTCACACAAAAAAGATATCCAAAACTTACAACAAATGCCAAAAACCTTTCCTAACACCTAAACCTTATCTATTAAACCTATGACTATCAACACAACATGTCACACGCAGTTAAGCAATATTATAACATAAATTTACTCCTCAACCCCTTTTTACCAAAAATAGAGGGGGAAGCAAATTTCTATTGCATTATACCTGAACCAATCAAAACATGTTTAAATTCTTACACTTGCACTAATATTTTGACCCTATCAATATATATATATATAATCATACACAAATTCTCAAGGTCCAAAATACAACTTAAATGTTTGCCGCAACAAAATAATGCAAGTGTGATGGCATGTAACCTAGAATTGACATCTATATATTATTACACAAAATAAATCTAAGCTAGAGGCATATGATAAGAATGTGCTAATTCCTAAAACCTTCTCCCTCTTTGCACCAAAGCTAGAGCCTAAAAAGTGTTAAATAAAAAGGGTGAGTCTAGCCACTCAGTAATCAATATAAAACCTACCATATGTAATTATATATCAATTATAAATCAAGCACATGCATATGAAACTAAGTACTTAAACCATACTTACACACACCATAACATCATCATTACTCATTTTATAACATCTTTATCTCACTCACACTAGTTGCATTGTCACAATACTTTTAGACATGTAACCATGACCTATTATTCACGTGACTTGCCACAACTCAACACATGTAACATGTCATATATTTACATAGGTAATGATCGATCAATCTTATACTCTCCTTATTTTTTCAGAACAAAATTGTGGGCTATAACACTGAATAAAATTTCATTCATGTGATTGGACTACCTAAACTCACCAATTGTGAAGTGTGACCAGGCTAAAGATCACATAACTCACTCTCAGACCATGACTTCCCCCATTCTCAAATCTCTAGGGTTTCTTATATTCTAGGCTACTCTCTTCGTTGTACTGATAGAGAAAGCTAGGTTCTATACTCCCATACACCGGATGACAGCCTAAATATCATATAAATTTTTATTTACTCTAAATTCCTAAGTAAACTCCTGTTTACCGATTATGCTATAAATGATACTCACTCATTTTCATATTTTCATTTATCATTTATCACATTCATACATTGGGTTCACGATCATGTGCCACCCAAGTGAGCATTCAATAACATTTCGTCACAATCTCCTCTTTTATTACACTAATCCATTTATTCACTAACACACATTTACCTCAGCACAACATCATAATTATCTTCCTAAAGACATATGCATATTCATAATTCAAAACCCCCTTGTTTTCATATTTTGCATTTCAAGCCAAAAATAGCATTAAGCACATTCAAATTTTTATACACTTATTGAAGCTAATACATGATTTTACATTAAAAATCAATCTATGCATGCAACATTCACAATTCACAATTAGCAATCGATTAATAATCAATTAACATATAACTACTCAAAGTAGGTTTTTCCCGGTTACCTCAAACTTTTAAGAGGTTAAAGGTTTACCCCTCAATTAATAGCTTCCAAGCTCGAATTTCCAAGCCAATAAGTGTCTCAAAGCTAAATTCTACAATTAATCAAGTTGATCTCCATTAATATAGCTAAACTCAATCATTAAACTCTCAACTCCGCTTCTAAATTGTCTAATACCCACTTAACAAGAGTTTAAGCCTATTCATTGGGTTTATCAATTATCTTTAGTCCCTAAAACCATTAACAAGCTATTAAAACTTTATTAGTGGCATCACACTCTTTCAACTACCCACATTAATATAAATTTTGGATATTTATAGTGCCCAATAACTCAAGATATCAAAGTTTATTACACTTAAGTTTATATATTTTAATCTACTCTCATTAATTTCATTTAAATCAATAGATTCGGACCCATAATCTATATAGACTAAAATTACCATCCTCATCCAAACCCTAACTCAAACCTTTAGAAAATGGAAGAAGAAAGGAGAAAAAAAAATTTAAAAATCTTAACTTGAATGATTTGAAGCTTCAAATCTTCTCAAATCCTTCTCTAGATCGTACCTTAGTGGAGAAAATGCGAGTTTCTCCATTTTCCTTTCCTTTCTATTTTTTTGCATCGGATCGCAACTAAATTCTACAGAATTTGTACCATGAGCTGCAGCGTCTGCCTCTACACGCCACGGCATATGGTACAGAGAAGGCAACTCTCGTCTGTAGCCCTATGCATCATGACGTACCACGCACGCATCACGACATATGGCACAAAGGCTTTTTAGCTTGTTTTTCTCTACTTTCTGGTCCCAAGTAACCCAATTTCACTTTGGACTTAAACTATATCTAAAATTCTAATTAAAAACACTTATTATTCTTTTCTGGTCACACACTACGTCAACTTACTTTATCATCCTAATTAAGCTTAGTAAATTAGGAAATTAAAAATTGGGACGTTATATTTACTATGCATGAACCGACAAATCCTTGGCCCTCCATGGCCTCCTAAATCTACATGTTCTTTTTTTTTTTATCGCAAAATTTGCTAAACATGATTTTTTTATTGGAAATATTTATTTTCTTATTGAAAGCAACCATGTTCCACATATGATTATACACTAAACGTGAGAAACTCTTTTGATGAGGATTCAAACCTTAACTTTTTATATTATAAGAGATTAGCTCTTTTTATCAAACTTAACTTATATATATTGATAGACAATACATGTCTTCATAATTAGAAAATGTTTATCTAGACATACTTTTTATATATCTTTGTTGTCAAGTTTTCAAGTAAATTCATCACATTTATATTTTTTTTTAAAGAAAAAGTAACTAATCATCTAGATAAATGCTTCAAATCTCTCTACGGTGTACTTCCTTCAATCTTATTCACAAATTACTTCTAGATTCTAACATGTTTCATGAATTTATAAAAAATTTTAAATTCATTAACTCTATCTAAAAATTTAATAATTTTTAACATTGTCTCCATTAATTATACATATTTTAATGATGTGTTTATTCTCACCATTCACTTGTGTTTAATGAGATAAAAAGAAAAACTTATGATAAAAAACATCAATGACATGTCTTATAAATTAGATTGAATTTTTTTCCTTTTCCTTTGCCTTATAAATAAGAATGAAAGGAGTATAGGTTTATATTTTTTTTTTAAAAAAAGAAAGAAATTCATTCTTGAACAAAATCACAGCTTTAATTAATTAAAAAAAAGATTAGTGCCCGAGATAACATTTTTAAGGGAAAAAATAGTGTGTTGAGTGTGTCACTTTATTTGAACTTCACACCAGGGCATAATGAAATTTGTACCAAACTATATAGAAGTAGGATACAACGTAAAGCATATATTGGCGAGCAAGCATAGTCTATCTAAATAAAAAGGATGCAATGGGTGGTTGGCACATAAGTAGGGGCTGGGATGGCCATACAGGGAAAAATAGTTTAGTTATCCTTACGATTCACTTTTTGTGACGAAATCTTAATACCATAATTCTACCAGACCAACATCCTTCCCAACATATATACGTCCCATTCTCCAAAATCTCACGAGCACTCCTCCAACCCAATTTTAATACCATCTAACTCACCCCAATTCACTATTTTGATCGCTTGGTCCCCCCCCCCCATTTTATTTATTTATTTATTTAAATGAAATAATCAATACCAGTAGACAATTTTAAAGTATAAATATGTATAGCGGAGATACTAATAATAAATTACAAGAAAAATGCCGGTGGTATCTTTAAACTTGACATTTTGTGGCCTCCCATTAATGAGTGAAAATGATCAGCCAATTAAAAACCTATTCGATAAGATGCACAAATGATGGACCCACTCGCAATGCTGGACAATCATTAAGCAGAAGCAGCTCCAAATCCTTTTTCCCCCCATCAATATCTGTCCATGGATGGATAGCAAGGCCTACTGGATTAATTAATATTATTAATATTCTCATACAAGCGAGCAGTGTTTTCATTTCCCCTCTCAAATTGAGGGGCCGAATGGTAAATTGGAGGGCACGAGAGAGAAACTGGAGATTACGAAACGCATGAGTAAGAGCAACCTCATCATTCTAATTCTTCCTTTGGGGAAATCAAACAGAACAAGATATATATGGGGAACACAAAAACCGCAAACTTCAATACACAAGAGTGGGAAGAAGAGGAGCAAGTTCAGTAGCTCGAGGAAGAAATTGAGGAAAGAAGAAGCCAAGGGGCTCTCAAATCAAAAGAATGCCAATCGAATAATGACCAAAGCCGAGCCAATCCTTGCATGACAAAAGGGAGCTTATATATTTAAAGCTTCAACTTTCACTTCCTCTCGCCACCTTCCACGGCTTCTTTTGCTTCATCATGAATAATTAATTGACGTACCAGTTTATCCAAGTAAATTAAATGTGCCCAGACCCCTGAAGCTTCTTATTCTTTAGCTTAAAGGAAGACAGGAGCACATATAAAAAGAAGAAAAAAAACTAAAAAGGTGGCTAAAGATGATCTTATGACATTGACATTACATTACTAACCCCTGCCTCACTTTCTATTATGCTTTCTTTACCCTCGCTCTCCATAAGTGTCTTGTTTCTTCTTTTAATTTTCAGTGTGTGTGTGAGTTCATGTTCATTTTTACCTCTCTTGCTTTCTGCCCATTACACAATGAAAATGGCATATTACCAATCATCCTTTCCCCTTTGTAGGAAACACCCATCATTGCCCCCAACAATCCTTTTCAACCTTAGAAACCTGAGTTTCTAAGATATTCCCTCCCTTCCATTCTTCCATTCTTTTCACTTTTTTTTTTTTTTTTGGTTCTTCTTCCTCTTTCTTGTTCTCATGCCTCCACTCTCACTCTCTCTCAATTTAAATATCTCCCTCTTCCTCACCTTTTCTGCTCCCATATCTTCTCCTTCCCTCGCTTCTCCCTTCTTTTCTTTTTTCCATTTTAATCCCATAAAGTCTTGCAATGGATCCTTCTTCCACCAACTCTGTCAATGGCTTCTACTCTTTTCTCACCAGAGGTATTGACGATCTCGAACGAGTCTATCTCTCCAATAACTTCATGTCAATCCAATTCCTTCAGAGGGCGCTCTCCCTTCTTCGATCCTGCCACACCCAATTGACCCTTCTTGTCCAGAAGCTCCATCTACCCTCCGGTGACAAGTGGCTCGACGAGTACATGGATGAAAGCTCCAAGCTTTGGGAAGCCTGTCATGTACTCAAGTCTGGCATTTCTGGAATGGAAAATTATTACTCTGCTGGCTTAAACATCACCACGTCTCTCGATTCTCATCCTCGTCTCACCCCACAACTATCTCGCCAGGTTAGGTCGATCACACTCTCCGTTTTGTTTTTCTTCTCTCTTTCTTGGCATACGGCGATTGAAGTTTTGGTCGTGAATTAACAGGCTTTTCTTGTTCCCCAAGCAGGTTATTCGAGCAATCTCGGGGTGTCGCAGGGAAGCTATGGGGCTGGGAGAAGAGAACAGAGCTTTAATCGAGACAAGAATTCAACCGCTTTCCCTTCGTTTCGAGGAGAAGCTCTCGATCGAATCGAAGCTAAACGGATTCAGCGGGTTCAGGGGAGTCCTGTACGCAATGAGAAATGTCAGTTCGCTGTTGCTCTCGATTCTGCTATACGGCCTGGTGTATTGCTGGCCCGATTCCTCGGATTTCATCCTGGGAGGAGAATACGAGGGACGCTTGTTCCTGGGATCGGCGTTCATGATTTCGGCGGCGAGGTTACAGCAGAGAGTGGCGGCGGAGATCGGCCAGTGCAATGGGGCGCCGGGCGTTTTATTGTACGAGTTCAGAAGATCACAAGTGACGATGGAGGAGCTCAGGGGAGAATTGGAGCGTTGGGGATCGCAGGGAATGGTGGTTGAGTGGGAAACAGAGGTTGGCATGAGAGAGAGAGTGGAGAATCTAAGAGGGCATCTTGGGATGATGAGATCTGGAGCAGAGAACATCATCGGACAGCTCGACGATTTCTTTGACGAGATTGTTGAAGGAAGGAAGAAACTTTTGGACTTGTGTAGCCACAGGTGATGAGTGAACGATCAATGGAAAAAAAAAAAATAGTTGAAATTGGAAACTGAAAGAAGAAAGCAACTATGTAGAGGAATCAGTTGCCGGGGTTGTCGTATCTTGTTCCGCCCTTTCCATTTTTCTTTCTCTCTCGCGCTCCTCTCTCTTTCACTTTCATTTTCATTTTCATTTTCTTCCTTTTTTTTTTTTCTTAACCCCTTTTGAGTTACTACACTTTACCATAGTTGAGACTTCTGGTGCCAAGTGTTTCCCGCAGCAGGCAGGGGAAAAGATTCTCAAATTGAATGTGGCTCCATATATCTGAGAAGATACAGGCAGTAGATTAATTATATTGCAGGAAAAACAAATTACTAACTTGTTTGCCGAACTTCGATTCCTCATGTATTATATAATATTATATAAATAGGAAGCAGATTAAAGGAAGAATTAGCCAATATCAGATGTCAAAAAATAAAATAAAATAAAATAAAAATCGCACTAATTGTAGCCTGCAGGCAGGTAACGTTAAGTTAGACAGTGATACGTTCGTTTTAATTTGGCTTCCATGGGTGGAACCGTGGAAGTTTTTGTTTAGAAACGAAAGCACTGAAAGAGGAAGTTAGCCTATAGTAAATGATCAATCATTTTGGTTCTGAAAGTGAAATGAAAAAGGGAGACCTAAGGACTGCAAGGCGAGGCCCATTCTGAGATTCCTGGACACTCTTTAATGTCAGAAGCAGCTTCTTTTTGCTCATGGAAAGCTTTTGTCCAGTTCGGTTCTCTTTGAAAGCAACGCAAATCATGATAAAAACTCGGCACACCGGTATCGCCTTACTTGCCAAGTCTCTCTCTCTCTCAGAATTTTGTTCTGCTTCAAATATTACTCAATCTTTCACTTTTTTGGGGCTTGGGGCAGGGGATGCATAACATGTTACAAAATTTGAACGGTTACTTTCTCATTTCAAACCGTATCTCATGCCTTTTTGTCCCTTGCCAGAAATTCATGCCTTGCCTCCTTATAAGGGTTTCGCAAGGGTGCTGCCTAAAAAGAAGAAACAATAAAATACGTCAAAACAGATGACTTCTATATTGGCTTTAGGCCAGTATGCTGGATGCTTCCACGGCAGAAATGGTGGCCAGGGCAATAAAGCAATGGGTGGCACCAAGGTACGTGGCCATTGCCGCATGAAAGAGAAAAGAACCAAAGTCAATGCAAAAGCTCGTCAGATATCCCCCAAAATACAAACAACTAGAATTGCCTGGTGTTTTTACGTTTTAATTTAACTTTGTAACTGTCGCTCCAGATTAAAGAAACTAGGAACATGGAGTCCCTAGAATAGTTCGTATGACATCAATACGAGAACTTAGCAGCTCGTAGTCGCTAGAACAAGTGCACTCCAAAGACCACTCCTGAATGAGTTCCTGTAATTACAGTCATGTCTTCCCTAAACAAGCAAAGGTACCTATAATATCAGTGGTAAGGAAACATTTTGTACAGTATACAAGCCCTCAGCAACTGTTGCCAAGTAATGATGTAAGCCGAGGCTACTTAATCTGTGTTCCATGTGCATGATCCAAATGAGCTTCCTTTACAAAAGGTCAGAGCAAGCACAAGAGCAGAGAGCCGAGGGGATGGGTTACCATGCAAAATGTGGAGGCTGCCTACTGTACTGGCTTGAATCAAATATCAAATGCTGGCATTGGAAGCTCGGAAGCAAATGCCTCAACCTGATTTCTGAGCTCAACAATATCTTTATTATTTTGAAGACCTTTGAGGAAGTCTTTACAAGATTTTCCATATTCCCTCTGTATATTGCTGGTAATCTGTGCTGCCTTCAGAAGAAAATCACCTATGATCTCAAAATCATCCTCTAAGCAACCTCTTGATGTCATCGCAGGAGTACCTGAGTATCCATGAAATAAGGGACTTGAGTACCCGTGAAACACAGGAAAGTTAAGAAAATCCAATATTACAAGACAAAAAATTGAATTTGTAATAAAAGGTAATTATCTATGCTTCTTGAACAAAAGCACGAGACTAGGATTATAGATGTTTTTCTTATTTTTCTACCAATTAAATCCTGTAAAAAATTAGGACACTTGTTCAAAATATATGGAAATTGGAGGTAAAAGAATTGATTACACTTGAAAATATTACAAACCAACAGTAATAGGCAAAGCATAGGTTAATTAATATACAAACGTCATGAACCTAATATAATTACTGCTGCAAGTATATTAACCATAAACATCACGTAGCTAAAATAAACAATCCATAATTTTATTGTACTATGGCAGGGCAGCTCACCGATTCGAACTCCCCCAGGTGAAATAGAACCATAAATGGCACATTTGTTGAGTGTGATATTACAAGCCTCACAGACCTTCTCATAGTTTCTATCTGCAATACATAATAAAATAATTTAGAAAGCATGCTTATAACAAGTTCAACCATGACATAATTATAAGAGAAGGGGAAAGAACAACGTCAGCAACTATCATATCAGGAGGCACACATAGATAAATAACAACATTGCTACTCCAAAAATAGGATCTGCAAAGCCTAAATCATCAGGGAAAATATCAGTAAAAACAATATCTGGGCTTTGAGAACAGCAGCGCACTACCCTAAGAAAACTAAATAACTAGTCATTGATCCTGTCGGACTTGTCACAAATGAAAATATTATCAGTACCAGTAACGTATGATTATAAGGAGGGGGACAATAATGCCAATGGTTTGACTCATTCACTTTACCACTAGGGAAAGCGAAAATCAACCAAGACACAGTAGGTCATCCAAAGAAAATTGAGAAAAAAGCCCAGCAAGCAACACTGCTCTCAGATCTGAAGGTGGCCAAGTAAAATTTAGAACATTCATTTTTAAAGCATTTATAGTATATTTTTTTATCATAAATGTTGAAACAAAATTAAAGACAGATTGGAAGAATACCAATTAAGCCAAGTGCAGTTAGGTCCCAGAGCAACAAGTGATTGTCAGTGCCATCGGTTACCAGTCTGCATTTTCTTTTCAGCAAAGCAGATGCTAACGCCTGTGCATTTTTCTTCACCTGTTGCATATATGCTTTGTAATCTGGAGTTGCAACTTGTTTTAAGGCTAAGGCAAGAGCAGCAATGTGATTATTGTGTGGACCTCCTTGTAAGGATGGATATAAAGCAAAGTTTATCTTTTCCTCAAAGTCATAACTACCATCACCCCCATGATTAAGAGCCAGGCCTTGCTTCCTAGGTTTTGGACCTTTCCTATAAAAGATGATACCTCCCCTTGGACCTCTGAGACTTTTGTGGGTTGTTGAAGTAACAACATCACAGTAATCAAAAGGGCTAGCAACTTCCTGTGAAATCCAATGTCAATATAGTTATAAACACATTTGAAAAGTGGACTATAAAATTCAAATAGCTTAACAGGAAATAAACAATCAAATAAAAATTAACACGTTTGTTACACAAGCATTTCAAATAGAAAAGAATACCAAACTTTCAACACAACTCAAATACATTTTAAATTTCTTCAATTGACAATACTATGCAACATAAGCCTAAAACTACATGACTTATCAGAAATAAAAGTATAACCAATGAATACTTCTTGATCAGAATATGCGATTTGACTCTCACTGGATAGATGTGAAAAGTTAAGCTGATCCATCCATCTTTAGTTTGCTTCATGAAGGTGATTTAGAGAAATGAATAACAATTGGCATAATTGGTCCTAAAATTAAGTACATTTTAATTCATAGTTGCAATTTCTGTGGAACATGAATGGGATAATATCATCATCATCATCATCATCATTATATATATATATATATATATATGAAAGTTGGTGAAATCAATACTGTTTATAAGGAGTCATGAATAGTACTTAATACGGCCACTATAGTAAGATGGCAAAAGGCGCCCTCTATTTCTTTAAGGTAACCAGTTAGACAGAAGCCTGGTCTGAACAATACTTAATTCAGCTCAATTGTCCTGTTTCCCAGAAAGAAGCTATGAACGATCTCTTAGATGTTTTAAACACACAGGCCGAACTGCCTCTAGCTCCCAAATGAGACTAAATTAATGTCAGTGATATCACATGAGTACCATCAATCATTTAAAAAATGCCAAAATTTGTAAAGGCAATTACTCAGCACAGACCTTAGCTGCGACAAGCCCGCTAACATGAGCCATGTCACACATCAAAACAGCCCCACACTTATCAGCAATCTTCCTAAACCTTGCATAATCCCATTCTCTAGGATACGAACTGCCTCCGCATATAAGCAGTTTGGGGCGATAATCATAGGCTTTTTCTTCAAGCTTGTCATAGTCTATGTAGCCTGTTAGAGGATTGACTTTGTAGGGAAGAGTTTCGAAGTATATCGATGCTGCAGAAATTTTCTTTCCACTCTGGGTATAATATCCATGACTCAGATGCCCACCGGATGGCAGATCCAAACCCATAATTCGATCCCCTGGATGCAATATACCGGTGTACACAGCAAAGTTGGCAGAAGTACATGAGTAAGGCTGAACGTTCACGCCCCACTTGCTTGGATGAAGATCAAACGCAGCCAATGCACGGTCACAGCAAAGCAATTCCATCTGATCGATAAACTGATTACCTGTGTAGTATTTGGCTCCAGGCATTCCCTCAGAATACTTGTTCGTCAAATGACTACCCAGAGCTTCCAAGACAGCTCTGCACACAAAATTCTCAGAAGCAATCAATTCTATTCCTGTGAACTGTCTCCGCTTTTCCTTCTCCATTATTTCGTGAATCTCGGGGTCAGCTACCTCCAGTGGCTGGTTCGCCCAAGCCTGCACTGAAGCTCTCCTGGCGCCATGCCCCGAATCGACAGCGAGCCACTTCGGAGGATTCGAGGAGAAACTCGACTGTACTTCTGATTTCCTCTTAACACACGCAGGCCGACCCATAAAGTCGATCGCTTCATCTTCCACTGATCCTTCCTCCTCCTCCTCCTCTGTTACTTCACTGGATTTGACCCTAACCTTGTCGTCTTGATCATCGAGCAACTGCAACGGCACAGGAGGGGTTGTATTGGAGGAACTACGAAAGCTCGAATTCTGTTGAAAGGAAACTAAATTATCATTAACATGGCCTGCCAAAGCCGGCGACGAAATTTGAGCGTTTAAGCCGAGAGATAGACCCGGCTGAGCACCCGACACATCCATATTTCCTAACTTGCAACAAGTCCTCAAGAAATGAGAGACAGAGATTTTTTACAAGGAAAGTAGCTCAGGGATAGGAATAGAAACAGCAGAAACAACGACAACACCGTCTGAAACAGGAAGAGTGGAAATATCGGAAGAGAGATCGGCGTGGGCTAGACGACGGACGAGATGTTTCCATAGGACAATGGGAAAAGCGGAAGGAAAGGAGTGAAAAATTAGGCTTTCGTGTCGAAACCGAGGGATGGCCTAAGGGATGGAAGGAGGTGAAAGAGAATGAACCTGGATGGCATGCGCGGGCAGGGGAGAAGTGCTTTTGCAGGATGGTAGTAGCCGGTAGCGTTGAAGATATGCAGAATGCGAGCGAGGAAGCGCGAAACAAAGGAATGGATTATTAGAAACTGCTTACCAAAATGAAGCATTGAAATCGGGCGAGGAGAGGGAACTTGGACGGAATGATGCCTAGGTTCAGCGGGGAAGGTGCTTATTGTTTGGGAAATCAGGTGGGCCCATTTACGTCTGTATTGTAACTCGTATGTCTAAGCCGGGCAATACGATCATGCAACTTACTCGTTAAAAAATATAAAATATTTTTTTAAATAATTAAATATTAAAAAATATAAAATATTTTAAATTTTTAAAAATATAATCATTTTTTAAATATATTTATTAATAAATAATTTTATATTTATTATAAAGTATTTAATAAAAATAAATATAAAAAATATGATTAATTTTAAAAAATAATTATTTTATTAAAAATAAAATTTAATTAAAAATATTTTATATTTTGAAACGAAAGGTACATGTTTTATCATGTTTTCATGTAAATAATTTTTAAGCATAGTCCTAACGATTTATACTATACCAAGAAACTTTTGCATTTAAAATCCACTTTTATATTTGAGTTTAAAAGGCAACTAGTAAATGGTGGCCTTAATTTTTACAAGGCACGGCTTTTTTTCTGAAATTATAGAATTTTAATAGTGAGTTTATATCGGTACCCACGATAATATTAATAGTATAGCCATTTATCTAAAGGACAAGATCATGATTATCTAATTCTCCCTCCATTTTTATATATAACAAAAATTATATCACACGATTTAAAAATATCAATTAACTGTAATAACTATGTCTGAAAAAAATGAACTAAAATGCTCTATGAATTATAATAATATTAATCAACATAAATATATATTAATTATTTCTCGTTAATATGAGCTATAAGAGATGATTTAGAAATTATGTAATAAATATTTATTGAAATTAGTGAATTTGCTCATAAAAAATATATGCTAAAATTGATTTTTTTAATGATAAAAAACGGAAGGAGTGCTATAAAAAAAAAAACAATACCAACACAATTGTCAGTTTTTTAGACTTCTTGCTAACAAATTAATGCTTTGTTTGGATGGGAGAAAAAAAAAATAGGGGAGAAAAGGAATTTTTTTTCTTATTTGTATGAGGAAGAAAAAGTGAGAGAAAAAAAAGTTGAAAAAAAAATAGAACGTGGAGCCTATTATATTTTTTTCTCAACTTTTCTCTTTATAAGTGAAGAAATTTTGAAAGTAAAATATTTTTTTTCTCTATCCCCCTCCTTTGCCTCTTAACTATGTTTTCATTGGACTTATCTTGGATCAGGTGACCTCAATGAAGAATATGATAATGATGATGAGCCATATGGTGAGAAAATATGAGACACATGGCAAGCTTGTTTATCTAGATTATATTTTCATTCTTTATATAAACACTAGGACAATATATATTTTTATGTTATTATATTTAATTTTAAAAAGTGCCCACTTTTAATTTTTAAAATATAAAAATGACATATTTTTATTAAATTATTTGATGTTAAAATATAATAATTTGAAAATAAATTTTTCAATGTAATTTATGCTTTTTTTAAAAAATTATAATAAAACATGATATATAAGGGCATTATAAATAGTATGTTATTTATTCATTTTCCTTCTTCTCTATTTTCTTTTATTTATCCAAGCAAGAGGAGTGATGATAATTTTTTTTTTAGTTTTTTCTTCTCTTTATTTTCCTTCCTTTCATTTTATTTTCTCTCAATTGTTCTTCCCATCCAAATGATCCAAATTTCAATAAAAATGCATTGATTATTTTTAATATAAATAGATGGTTTGATACTGGAATGATGTTTTATTACCGTACTCCATGCGCAGAGATAAAGATGGAGTTGTTTGTTTGTTTTTTTTTTTTTTACACCATTATGTGCAATGCACTAAACATATTTTTTTATGTTTATAGTAAAATATTTTTAAAATATTCATGACGCGCTAAGCATTTCTTAAAAAATGCCACATTTTTTTCTGAAAAAACAACTATTGAAATCATTTTTTAACATTTTTTTAAAAATCTTTTTGGGACAATACCAAACCGATAAGAGCCTCGAGCGTTAGAAGGAACATCTCTATCAACGAGTTGAGTCGAATTGACTTTATGGTTACCGCTTTGCAAACCTAAATAAGTTTGTTGATTCAGTAAAAAAAATTAGTTCAAAAGATTAAAAAAATAAAACAAAAATCAGATTAACTTCCTAAGTTAAACGGGACAGAAAACCAAACTTTCAAACTACTTGGTCCAGTCTCATGAAATTATTTTAATATAATTTTAATTATTTTTAATATATTTAAATAATTTAAAATTTGAATGTAGTATTTTCTTCATTAATATTTCACCCTTCTATTTAATATAATTTTAATTTAGTTCGTTGCTAAATTATTATTGTAATATATACTACATGCTGTTAAGGTTTGTTGAATATTGTTGTTGTTGAAATTATAAATTTAAATTATTTGAATTGTAAATGATTTTTTTTTGTCATTGTTGTTATTAGAGATTGTTATGAATTTTTTATAGTAATAGGTATTTTTATTATCTTAATTAAATTAATCAGGATGAAATGAATTATTACCTTTCATATATGAAAAAGGAAAAAAAATGTTAAATAAGTATTAAGTTACAACTGAATCTGAACTACATGTTGGCTAATTTTGTTATTTTTATAAAAGAGATCAAATTTTAAATTAGATTAAAGTCTAGGCTTATCGAGTCCTTTGTGCAATCTTGGATTCAGGTTTCAGCGCACAGACGCACCCATCATCTGTTACTTGCTCGTCAAATAAAAGCATAAAACCACTGACCACTTCAACTGGAAATCAGAAGACGACTTCGACGTTAGTCTGTAATGAATTGATTAATTCAAATCCCGGCAAGTTATATTACTCAAGCAACAAAATCTGAATACAGCGATGATGATCTCAGAATGACGCAATATTAAGCTCTGGGATTACAAACATGAACAACAGCAATGAAAGATATGCAAGGATAACGGAATGGTAAGAGGGGAACGAAGAGAATACGCCTATTAGGATATACAGAGGGAGAGAGACTTCACATAATACACCCCCTCAGGCCTCAATGCTGGCCATCAGGACCTTGTAATTGTATTCCGCATCCCTCACTCAATTTCCAGGCAAGAAGCTTGACACGTGCTCCTGCGTGGTTCAGTTAGCTGGTGTCTACTGGACAATCTAAGCCCAAAAAGCATTTTCGCATCTGATGGATCAGGCCCACTTCCACTTTCATCAACTGTCATGACACAGTCGCAGTGGCAGCCAGAGGCAAGCTCAAACTGTGGAATTGAACGCTTTGATGATAGATGGATTGATTGTCAAAAAGCCTGCCGCTCGTCGCTTCAATAACAGAGTCCTTTGATAATGCCCACAAGGTGTTTGAACATATTCCGAACAACTTTTCCTAACTTTTCCTAGCTATGCGGCTCTGATCGGGTCACGTTGCCGGCTGCAGAGGTGGTATGAACTGTTTTGCGGTTTTTGGTTCAATGATTGACGAGGAGGGTATTCTACCTGATAAACATCTTGTTCCAGCATGGAGAGACATGGAAAGGCTGCAGTAGTTCTGAAGTCATTGGAAGAACAAGGGCACTAAACCCAGGCTGACACTTGGAATGGAATTATTTCTGGCTGTGTTCAAAATGGATTCTTCGAAGACGCCTTCGATGCACTGCATGATATGCTGTGTTTCCATGAGATGCATATAATCCCTACTTTTTTTTTTCCAGCCCAGAAGCACAACATCCTTCCCACTTGTGCGGGATTGAAAGATCTAGATTTACTGATTTAGGCATAGCATTTCATGGATATGCCCTCAAACATGAGCTTGGCAAGAACTATCATCTGGAAGGATGTTATGAATAGTACAACTCCATTTGAACAACATAAATCATAATTCTTTGGGGAAATCGATCCAGTCATTCGAGGCTCCGATCATAAACTCAGTAATTTTTTAATCAAATACAATATGTAAAAAGTACAATAAAATCATAACTCAATTTTCTCACTTCTAAGGTATCAATAGTACAACTCAATTTTAACGACATGCAGATGTACAGAACTCATTATTTAAAAAAAAAAAAAAAAAGTCCAAATACAGCCTTCCAAATTCTGATTTATCCCAGTGAACAAGTAAATAACTTCCGTACATAAAAAAATCCCCCACCCCTAAAGATCAACGTTTGATAGAGATCATTGCAACCATTAATGCAGGGTCATCTAATCATTTACAATCATCTCTAGCAACAATAAAAGGGAGAAAGACGAAGTACATGTTTTGCTTCCATCTTCCACAAATAGATTGAATTCCTGCTGACTTCCTAAGCAAAGTGGTTGTTGTCTTCTAAACTGGCGTGCCGAATACTCACAAACGGGCTGGAAGTTTTTAGGCGAGCACAAAGGTTTAGGAGATGGGGATGTTCAAATTGCAAGTCCATCTGTGTATTTAACAGACAGATCTACATTCAAAGAAGAAAGCAAAATATTCGATTTTTTTTTTTTTTGGTTTTTACTTAGTCCAATGGTCTCTTAATTATTCAAATGTTGAAAAAGCATGAAGGGCTGAAGAGAGGAAAGACAGGTGTCTATAATAATTTTAATTGAAAAAATTCAAAGAAAGAACCAATTCTGACCCTGTTCAAAATTTATTGCACAACAATGTCATGAACTTGTGGCATATGCATTATCAGTTATTAGTTATAACAAGAATATTTCCAGAATGTTGATTTCAAGGAGCTTCTGGAATGAAATAAATATTGCAGAGCACTTGCAAATGACAACTTGTAAGGTACATTACATCAACCAGGTGCAACCTATAAGAAGATAAAATAACTGAAGCAATTCCAGTTGGATGACATTACTATAATACGAGGTTGGCAGATGGAAGTAATTTACTGCAAAAAGGAGCGATCATTTTGAAGGAATTATCTATCATCTATTCCAGCTGCTGCTGCTGGCTGTTCCTTGGAGTTGTCAGGAGTCACTGTAGCTTTCTTGTTGCCAGGCCCTGATGAAACCTTGACCAGTGCTGGCCTTAAAAGCCGATCTCTAAGCAAAAAGCCACGTCTGGATTCTTGAATGATGATTCCCTCTTTGCACTCTTGGGACTCCTCACGTGCTATGGCTTCATGTACCTACAACAAAAAGAATCCATTAAAACAAATTAAATGACCATCATGCCACTTGTTTAAGTTCATCTGCTTCTCATCAATTATGCTTTCTTCATGCAGAAATACATAATTCAATAAATCAAAATTTAAAAGAGGGGGGATTCTTGTACTTCATTTCTTTTTCTTAAATTATTTTTTTCCATGATTGCAAGAGTTATCTGATGAAAAACAAAGCAAAGATTACATGAAAGTGCATACAAGTTTGTCCACTCTCTGTAACGGGCGAAATTATTTCAAAAGCAGGAAGAAATGAAGTTAATTCACATATAAGATCAACATAGACCTTTTCAAACTTTACTTACCAAGGGATCAAAATGCTTGCCCACTGTTGCTACCACAGCCACATGATGACTCCTCAAAATCTCAACAAATTGCTTGTATATACCTTGATAACTAGCATCAATCTTTTTCTCTTTATCTGTTGCTGGTTTGATTTGTTGTTTGGTTCTATCAAAACTGTCCACCATCAACAAAAGTTTTTCAATGACTTCTACTTGGGCATTGGACTGTATGTTATGCTTTTCTTTCTCAAATCTTTTCCTAAAATTATCAAAGTCTGCTTGCCAACGAAGACATTTCTCTCTTGAAGCAACTTTCTCAGCTGATAGAGTCGACACTAATTGAATCAGTTCATTCTTTTGATTTGCCATTAATTTTATCCTCATCTCAACACGAGATGCAGTTATTTTATCTCCATCAAGGCTTGCTTCCTTGTATGCTTCGATGAGAGCCATGAAGCTGGATGGGGAAACTTTATCTTCTTCATTATCTGTCAATTTCATATCATTCTGAGTGTTCTCATTTTCATCATCTGTCTGAGGTAACCAACCAGAAACAGATGATTTAGCTTGGGACTTATGACAGGATCAATTACTGGTACAAAACCAATCTATGGCAATTTGAGGTCAATGATGAGAACCAATAACTCTAAGGCAAACACAGGTTATATTAGTTCAAATAAGGGAAACCAAGAGATTAAGTAATGAAAAACTCACTGGGAAAAATATGTCTTCTTCAATAATATCTTATCAATGATATTATGATACCAATGCTGGACAGGAGCAACATGGTAAAAGGGTTGAAAAGAATAGAGGGCAATAGAGCATTATTGCCAAAAATGGCCAGATTAAGCATACTGTCAATACTTACCGAGTGGCAGCCCATGACTCATATACAATAGGATCAGGGTAACAGTAAATAGGTTTAGAACTTTCCATATGGCTAGAAGCCAATGCTGGAGATAATATTCATGATTATAAACTTTAGTTTCATTGACACACACACAACAAAAAAAGGATCTCCAGACAAAGTGATGTTTCAATTAAGAGTCAAAAACCCTCAGTTCACAATCACCAATAAATAATACCTAATCGACTATAATCCAAAAGTCTGGAAACTTCCCCATTGCTTGAAAGGCACCGTTATCATTAAAAAAATGGGAGATTAAAATGTCAAGTGACAAGTGACATTATTTGCTTGCAAGTTTACAAGAGAAAAATCAGAACATTCAGAATTTCCTCCAGAGTCCAAATATGTTTGCCAGTCGATTACAACCTCATCTTCATCGTATATTACCATTGCATGTTAGAACTCTCTGTCACACTGTCATCTTCATTTTCCACACTTTCTATCAAAAAAGTAAGGCCCTGAAGAACCTAACCACTTCTTGCAAATATAAATCAGTGTTAGATAATTATAAAAGATCATTTATTAGCCTTCTCGTAAAAGCTTTTGGGATGAAATTGATCTTAACAGAGTAAAAGGATCCTCTTGAAGTTGTCAGGAATTCAATTCTTACTGCCCCCATTCTTCTGAGTAAACTAAATTTCGGCACAACACAAGAGATGGGCTAGAGTCTAGACTCCATATCCCCATTAGAGATAATCATTCCTAAGCCTTTTTGCCTTTTTCCAAGCAGTTCAAGCTTTTGGGACGAAACAGTTCTTAACGCTGATTACATCTATCAGGAGGTTTCATTTCACGTCATCCCGTTTAAGACTTAGCTTATACAAATTGAAATTCCGCCTAACAGCCTACTTTGCTTTCACTCTGTCATGAGCATACTGCTTCCCAGGGGTCTAGACCAACATCAGATGATTAAATTACAATTCCCAATTTCTGAAATTGAAACAATACAATTGGGTTGCTTCGGCACTACAAACCATCAGAGACAAGTTTTACCTAGATCAGTAATTCAATTGCAATACCGATTTACATGCAACTAGCTCACCGAATTTATCAACAAAAGAATTATGCAATTAGCGGGGTTATGCGTATAAGTTTTCAGAGAAAACGTACATTTGGACTAGAATCTCCGGCGGCGAAGTAAGGCTTGAAGATAATTCCTCGGCTACCATAGGAAAATGGGACATACTGGCTTGAAAACCCTAACATAGGCCTGCACGCATAAATAGGGCGACGAAGGGATGGATAGGGAAGAGATAAAAGTCTGATGTTGGGTTCTAGGGTTTTCAAGGGATTTGACAACAAGGATGCAGAACAAGGACTGGAAGCCAAGAGAGATTGATTGGTAACAAAGGCAGCCATTGAAAAGGCTATAGGGCCAATAAGCAATGGAATAACTGTGGGAAGCTAGAAAGAAAACCCTCAACTATACATACAAAAATGGATTTTGCTATCTTTCCTTGCCCTTATTTAATTCTCGCTCCCTACTCAGTAGGTGCAACGCGTTTGTCTGAGAAGGAATGGAAGGGCTTCCCCCAGAATTTTTGCAGAGGGATTGGCCAGAGACCTGGAAACACTCGGGACTCAGTAGAGAGGGGGCTTGTTGCGGTGGGCCTTCAATAAAATGTGTTGTCAGAATAAAACTTTTTTCTTAAATTTTTTTCCATCAACGGCAGAAATAAAACGTTTGATTTTATATGTAAACAGGTATTTCTTTGATTTTCTGACCCAATAAAAGATAGTATTTAAAAAAAATTATATTATATAACTAAATTTGTTGCATAAAAATAATGGCATAAAAGCATTTCATAAAAACAATAAGTCTATTGTCATGTATAAACCAAAGTAATATGACTGCTTTGGAAACAAAGTTAATGTTCATAATTACAATGACAATTAAAATAAGTTTAACTTCTTTTTTTTTATCTGAATTAAAATATGTTTAACTTCACAAAAACGGAGAAATGACATTTTTGGGACCAATACACTAGTATTTTAAAACAAGACCACCTTATGTTTTAATTTAGTATACTAGTTTTCAAGTCAGCTCGACTGCAAACAGCCAGTCAATGAACAAACATACAATACTCTTGAATTTGGATAATTGGATCAAATTATCCATACCTGTAAGAGTGGATGCCGTCAACATCATCTTTGACTCGCACAACAAATGTCAGAATTTAAAAAAAAAAATATCATTCCTAAAGGCTAATAAAATTTTCAATAAAGAACGGGTGATTATACAAAGGTTTAACTTCTAAAATAAAAAAATGCACAAAGTTATGCCGCTAAAACAAGTGAAAAATAGAGGGACAAAAAGCCAGTGAAACAAAGTAAACGAACCTCATAAGCATTCTCACAATTCACGTCACTTTCTCAATTGAAAGGCACTTTCCAAATGTTTCACACATCATAAGATCTTGTACTAATGACGAGTTCAACCCATTTAAACATAAAGACATAAACTATACCTGTATAGCTATACTAATATGTGCGGAACAGGGCATAACTACTATAGTTAACTTGCTTCTACTGCCTAGAATGCTCATTGGTATTGGACATCAAGCCAAGCGAGCATTTGTTGGTTAAAGAGTGGTCCAGTGGTTGGTCAACACCTTCAGTCTCATTGCAACCATTACTACCCTCATCTACCGTGCACCCAAAAGCATGAGAACCACTTTCAACGGGCTGTTCCAATTGAATGAGCTTACCAAATAGCTGAATTGAACTCGCACCCTGTTTTGCAAAATTGCAGTTCCGGGTCCCAGCAAATTCTGTGCCAGAGCCATGCAAACTACTCTGGCTTTCTGGTGACAAGCTATAAGACTGAGAACTGTCAATATTTGGCTCTGTTGACATAAAAGGTTTCATCTTGGGTACCATATTCCCAAATGTATTACCAATATACAGATGAGAATTACCAATTTCAAAGTTGGAGAGACTTGATACAGAAGATAGATCTTGCCTGGCTCCCTGCATGCCAGCAGGAACAGTATTGTAACTCAACAATGATTGGTTCAAGTGTCCCATTGTTGAATTGGTCAAACCTGTCATAAAGAAGGGGTCTCCCTCTCTATCAGTTGCCACCCCGCAATACTGAGCAGCTCTAAACCTTTTTGCAGGAGGGAATACTGCATTAGGGGGAAATGCAGAGGAAACAAGTTCAACCTCCCAGGGGCTCACTCGCTTTGCATTCTGCAAGACTTCAGGTTCATCCCACATAACCTATGATATAGAGATCAGAAACAGTATAAGAAAATACCAATAATATGAGACATGATAAATTCTACTGCATCTTTTGTGGCATTAAATTTCTTGTGACAACAAATATAATACCATGATTGATTTATGAAAGAAAATAAGGAACACAATCCTCCCAATCCTAAAAGTCTACATTATGTAACTCCCAACAAAGAATACACACACACACACACACAGATTTCCTATAACAATAAGAATTCAACATGTTGCAGAATGTGTGAACTATGAAGCATAAACCAAAGCCAGAGTCGCCCCATGTTTTAGAGAAACTATCCAACTTTTTCTAACGGGATTCTAATTCCGAAGAACTTAAAAAGAAAAGGAGTGGCAAGGCTCTCATGCATGTGAGGTAATTTTCTGAATTTAGAGGAAGAAATATTTGGCGCCACTAGATTAAGTGCCAACAACGTAAATAAGAGATATCTTGCTCCTTTCCCTTCTGATTAATACATCCAAATAGATGGCACTGCCTTTCTCTTACAGACCTACTTAAGAGAGTACTACCAACAAACTACCCAACTGGCACAGTATAAATAACTCTAATAACAATTTCAACCTAACTTTGCAAAGATATATCTAAAAAGAGTAATTTATCATTGTATTGCCACAATTGCCAAAAATCCTATGCCGTTGTAAATGTGAAGGCATGTGAGCTGCAAGTTGACCTTACTTCACAAGTAGCAATATGTGATGACTTCAAAACAGAAACAGAACACAATTTTAGCAGCCTTTTAATTTGATTGGGGGTAGTGACAGGCGCCGCCACAAATCATTTCCGTTCTCAATCAAATTCTAGTAATGCACCCAATGTTCTCTGAATCTAATGTAACTACAACCTTGGACGCTCCAATCAAGGCATCAAAAAAAGTTGCACAGGATAAAACCGCTAAGTTTCTATATGTGGAAGACAAGTGACAAGATATGGGGCAATATACAGACTACCTTACGCCTTTTTCCATGTTTGGATGCTGAATTTTAAAAAATAATCTAACTTATTTTTATCATATTTCAGCTTAATTTTTCTGTAACTCACACAACAACATTTTAAAAGCAACATTAAGCACACCTTCAAATTTCATTCCAATATTGAAAACAGACTCCAATAAGAAGCAACTAGGTTTTTTTTTTTTTTGGCCAAGAAATAGGTTTAATTGCACATCTGAAACGCAACAGATGCTTATGAATGAACACAAGTTTATGATAACGAGATGAAAATTGACATTCCATAACAGACCAAGCAATATAGACTTCCTGTGCCAAAACATTTCACAAGCAAATCCAGAGTTTAAGCTCAAGCTTAAGCCAGTTAGCTCTTTGTGGTTGACTTAAAACTACAGCGCTTCATGCCTGAAATTCTTTCTTTCTTTTTTTTTCCCCCACACGTCCTCATAGGAAGCAATTATCTTCAAGACATGGTCGATCATTAAATGTGAGCACATTTCTAAGTAGGGATTTAAATCTAACTAGTCTCTTCTGCTAGATTAACCAACTCCATTGGTTTGCAGTTCTTTCTTAATAGAACTCACCAAAGAAATACAGAGAGTAATCTTTCAGTTCTTTCTTCAATTTCAAAAATCACACACGTTAATCAACTTTCAAGCATAAACAAGCAGCAAAAGAATTTAACAGTCATACCTGAAGCATACGCCATGGAGAACCCCGCCAAAGTCCATTATCAGGCGCAGATGCAGAAGATACTGTCCCCTGAAACCATGTGATCCTGGACGAATCCTCTGTCTCCATTGCCATTTTAACTCTTATTCCGGAAGTCCACGCGACATTCCAAGCTTTCTCCACAACTTCTGCCTTCACCACAAAGTCCGACCAGCCCACCCTTGGATAATACACAACTTCAAATGGCATGTTTTGTGCTGCCAATTCTGCATTATCAGCAACTTCCTTGGCCGACAATTTCCCCTTCCCGTTCCTTGAAAACCCTTCTTTCCCTTTGGAACCTAGATAGCCCACTTGCTGCTGCTCCCCCTCAGGCTTATTTCTCACCCCACCAAGTTGGGAAGGCCACGAGGAGCAATCGACGGTAGTTAATTTAGCAAATCGCAAAGCTCTGCGAATCCCGACGAACATCGTCCCCCTGGAATTTTTCATGAAAACCACCGAATCACCAGCAACCAGCTTCTTATTATTGACAAACTTACTCCAGCCAGTAGTGAGCAAGTGCCGCCTCGGTGTGCCCCGATAAATGTGGCGAAAATCCCAGACGTTACCGTGAACATCCGTCACGTACAATGTCTGAGTGGGTCGATCGACCTGGAAGTTCAGGGGCGGAAAGATGGAGTCAGCACAGTACCTGGGAACAGAGAATCCACCGCCATTGTTCGCGTCAGAAGGCGTCAGAACCTTCGCAAACGACACGATCTTGTCATCGTCCGGCGCTTCCAAGGAATCGGCATAGTGATCAGAGTTGCCATCACTCAAAGGAAGGAGCGAAATCTTGGCAAAAACCTCATCAGTGGAAGGGTCGGCAAGAAATTCAACAGCGGAGACACGACAGGGAATGAAGGGCCTGTAGAAGACTAGAGGGTTAAGGTATTGAGGAGCCGACGAGGCATGCTCGATATGGCCCTGAGGGAAGTAATAAACCCTAGAATGAAGAGGAGGGATTCTAAAGGATCCACCGGCGCATGCTCGCCAGATTTTAGGGTCGAGACGGCCACCCTGAACCGGGGTGGGATGAACTTGACGTGACTTCGGAGGACGCATCGTTCAAAGAATGTAAGAGACAGAGTGGGAGACAAGAATTAGGTTGAGGGACAAAGAGGAAAGGAGGATTTTAGGGTTTTTAGACATGAGAGTGAAAGAAAGTGCAATGAGTTTGAGTATCTCATCGCGGACGTCTCTCGCTCGCTCTCTCCTAAAAACCGTTGCTGTGTCCGATAGAATAGAGACGATGGCAGAGTATCTCATTCAGGGGGGTGGGGGTAGAATGGGGTCGGAAATCAAACAGGCACGATAGCGACATCATGGATTCATGGTGCGTGATTACTTAAATGCCCTCAGGCTCCTCATCAAGTTACAGCCCCGTCCGCAACAGCTTAACTACAATAGAATCTCCACGTCACCCGTGGGGCCATCACCGCCTGGTAGGAGCGCCCTTCCTGTTCGCTTCATTTAGTTCTTAACGTCGCCGTCCAATAATCAATCATTGATATTGACAATTCCCCGTCACTCTGGTGTAACTTTAAGGTCCTGTTATTACTTTTGATTTCTACGTCAGCGTTATTGTCTTTTACTCGCGTATGCCTCTTTTCGTCCATGTGCTTTTATTAACTTTTTTATCTGATAACTAGTAAATATAATAAATTGTTTCAAAAAGAAATAAAAACAAAATCAGTAGATCATTACAGAATCATATCATATCACAGTAAGTATAAAAACAGAATAAATAACGATCCTAACAAGATTGAGTCGTAATTATATGTATGTTCAAAGGAGTTTGAATTAAAATGTTTTTACAGCTTATTCATTGATCATTAATATTAATGGTAACCGTCGACGCTAAGAAGATGTACTACGATTTTTGACTCTTCATATAATTAAACATTACAAGATGTTTAGAAAAAATTGTCATAAAATCTCTCATGAAGAAAATTGTTTTAAAAGACCAGAATCAGTTTAAAAACAAAACGCATGCTAAGTCTACCACCTCATACATCAAACTTATCACCTTGCATATCAAATATATTACATTGCATGCTAAGTTTGCGAGATCCTACATCCCAAGAATATTACCTTGCACTTTAAATTAATATTTTTTTATTTTAAATTATAAGATACTTTAAGAGAATATTCAACATTTCGAAATATAAAATACTTTAATAAAAATAATATTTTTATTAATGATACTTTTCCAATGCTATCCTTCCCATATATTCCTTCACTCCAATATTTTTTCATTAATAAAGTATTAAATGAAGGGTATTTTTAGAAATTTATATTTTTGTCTTGAAAAGATAAAGTTATTAAGTATTTAATGAGATTTATTGGTATATATAATTTTATCTAAAAATATCTTATAAATTGAAATGGAGGAAATATTACATCCTAAGCCTATAACATTACACACCAAGTCTAGGTGGGAAGATCATAGGTTTGGGGTGCAAGGCAACAGATATAGTATATATTTAATTCTTAAATTAATTTTAATTTTTCATATTATTATTTTTTTTTTTTTGAAGAGGGATTCATGATGATTTTTCCAAATGTTTATAGCTAAAAAAAATAACAGAAAGGCAAGAAAAATCCCTCGCGAAAGAGATGCGGGAAAATGCCGGGGGTTTTCGTTGACGGCCGTGCAGGCTTGTTATTTGGGAATGAAGAATAAGAAAGGAACGAGACGTGACAGTAACATTTAAGAATAAGAAAGGAAGGAGCATTGGGTATGTATGAGTGAGGCGATAAGCGGAGGACAGGGAAGTATGAGGGAACGAGAAACAATAATGAAGGCGAGTGAAGTCAGCGAATTAAATGGTTGGGAATTTGAGGTCTGGGCATGCATGTCTCCCTCAATTGTGCTCCAAGTATTTTATGGTACATAGCAGGTTTTGTCCACATGGCTATTTTAAGATGATTATGCTGGTTTTTTTTTTGTTGTATTATATGAAATTTTAAACAAATTTACCATTCATGATTTGTGGAAAAATAATTTTTATAAATATTATGTTTAAAACAATGCTAATATAATATTAATAATGTTATAATATTTATATTAAAATAGACACTCTCAGAATTTAATTTTAACGCTATAGTTGAAAAGAGAGGGAAGTAATGAGAGGGAAAGGGCGAGGGAGGAATCCCCCTATTCAGAGGGGAGAGTTGAGGAGGGAGGGAAAAATTATCACTTCTTATTTACTATAAATATTGCCAAATAAGCAAAGAAGAGCCTCTTCGCTCTATTTTCTATCCAAACAAAGGGATTCCTCCCCTCCTTTCACTCCAAACAGATAGGCAAAATGAAAGGAAAAACCTTAATAATTTGGTATAAACCCGATGCAATTTTTTTTTTTTTCAGTAACTTCGTTCATGTTTGTTTGCTTGTTTTTTGTTTTTCATTTTTTCTTTTTTATTTTTTGAGTTTGCCTTGTAAGGCCCGATATAAATTATTTGGAACTTCATAATGGGCCAATTTTTCCATTTGCATTACTTTGTTTGCATCTTTTTTGGTTTTTCGGGCCAAATTATTAGGCTAGTATTTTAAAACTTTCTTATATAACCTTAATAATCGATCTTTACTTGAAGAACATCGTACAGTTATTTAATTACCCTTTACAAGCTACTGTAGGCTTCACATAATAAAAGGTTAATAAATTCACTCTCAAATTCTTTACACTAAGGCATCTTATATTCTTAATTTTTTTAACGATGTTATCTCATCTTAATATTTTTTAAAATGATAGAATTTCACCTTATCGTTAGCATTTGATTGTATTGACCGTCAGTTAAAAAATTTTGACCAGTAGCATGCCATATCATGTCCACGTGTCTTATCTCCTATGGACCTTTCACTTCTCTCCTCCAAACCCATTAGATTCGATTCACGAAGCTTCACCAGATCGCCTCCTCCTCCTCCTCAAGATCCAGTCGCAACTTCAATGCCCTCACTTTGGTCCCGCACTTGCTTTTATCCCAAGATATCATTGCTTCCCTCTCTTCTTCAAGAAAAAGAACGCAAGCGGATCCTCGTGGAAGTAGCATCGCCAAGCAGGTTCCGGAGCAGCGATAGAGATCGGCGACGATAAGAGGTTCGGGCTCGCGATGGCGACCAAACCAATGTTCTGAGCAGCGGCGAGCAGGTTTACTTCAAGCGACGGCGAGAATCAAAGCGATTTCTGATTCTTCCACTGGTTTGAAGAGCGTTTGATTTCCGACAGTTTTTATTATCATTTCGTGTTTGGATAGTCTGAAATTTATAATTCAAGAAGAAATCAATCACTTAAATTACTCTCCCATTGCACTTTTGGGACTATTGATTTTGAGTTTTGGCGAATTGTACTCACGTAGGCAGGGATCGATGAAGAAGGAAGAACATGCTCGTAGTTTGTTTGGAATTTCTCTCTCGGACAGACCCAGATGGCAACAATTCGTCATTTGTTCTTTTGGGTTGTTCTTTGGTTATCTCGTTAACAGAATCTGTGAGGTGAATTAGTTACATGTACTGTTTTTCTCTTTTTCTTTATTTCCTTCTTTCTGTCATCGGAGTGCCTCCTCCTCCTCCAAATCGCCTTCCTCTCTTGTTGAAGCTTTCTTCGGTTTTTCTGATGGAAGGCAGAGGGGAAGCGTGGGAAAGGGGATGTTGGGTTTTCATCGAAAATGAAACAGAGAATAAAAGGAAGATGATGGGTTTCTTTTTCCGGAGAACATGTTAGATCCGTTGGGAGAGAAGAATTTGTGGCTGATTTGTTGGGCGACCGTGGATAATATTTTGTGGCTGACTCCGAACCGGGTTCACGATTTTGTTGGGTTCTGGGATCTTTCTGGAAAAAGATTGCTTTTGGCCGAAGAAGATTGAAGAAGCGCGGCTGCGTGGGATTTTTCTGGATTTTTTTTAAAATTTTTAAAATATGTCACAAGGGCCGTGGCTGCTAGCAATGCGGATAATGGTCAAATTGACTGTTGATCAACGCGATCAAGCTATCATACCTAAAAGAAAAATATTTCGGTGAAATTATGTCAGAAAATACTTAAGAATATAAAATGTTTAAATGTGTCTGAGCGAAAACTTTAGGGGTATATTTATATCTTCACCCTATAATAAAATACAAAAAGTGTTAGATTATTTAAAAAAAAATATCACAAGCATTCCAAAAAAAATTATTTTTAAACTCCATGTTAATGCTATACCAGCTAAGGATGTTCAAGATTGATTCAAATTAATTATACAAAATCAATTTTTTTGTCAAATTATGCGAAATCAAGTTAAATTAAATCAATATGAACCAATCAATACTAATTATAAATAAAGTTTAGTTTTATTTTTAATAAAAAATTAATTATTTTGATTTGGTTTAAGTTTTTGTTTTTAAAAACTTGAACCAAGTCAATCTAAGCTTTAAAATATATTTTATATGTTTTTATAAATTTTTTTAATTTTTTTTCAAATTTAGTTATCTATAAATCACTAATGAAAAATGTTATAATTTATTAAATGTTGTCTGTAATTTTTATGATAATTTTTTAATATTATAATAAGTGTTTTAAGAATAGTAGCAGAGGATATGGATCATTTTCATATTTTTCTCTCAATACATCTCTCCATATTTAATTTCAACTATTTATTTAATTATTATTTTGATTTATTTGTGTGGGAATATTAATTATGGCATTAAAATAAATAAATTATTCACTATTATCACTTAAATATTTTTAAAAATAAGACCACAATGCTTATTAACGATAACTATTAAATGAAAGTTATATTTATTTTTCTGTTATAATTAGTAATCTCACGAATTAAAGTTGAGATTGAAAATTGAGAGATTATTGAAAGAGAGTATGAAGATAATTCAAATCCGCATAGCATATTAGTGTTTAATAGGTAAATAATTGTTTGAAAATATTATTTTGTTCTCAAGAGATTTTTTCAATTAAAATACTAATTAAAAATTAAAAATCATTCGTAAATATGCGCTCATGCACACACATGTATATTGATCATTAAAATATATAAAAAATTAAAATGTTCCAATTTTAAACCAAAAGACTGAAAAATCGAGCCAAACCGATAAAAGAAAAAACAAATAAGTCCAAAGCTTTGCTAATCGGTTTGATTTTATTTTCAAAATTAAAGTACACCCAACTCATGAATATCATTAGTACGAATAGGGTACTCATTCACAAAACAATGAAACACAGGCTGACAATATAGCTGTTGTTGGAAAGAAAAATGGCTCGTGATTTACGCTTTTAAAAATTTACAGTAGTTTTTTCAACAGAAAAAAGAAAAGGAAACAAGGTTGTTATGGTCAGGTTGAGATAATTAATATAAAATAAAAAATTCAAATTATAAACGATGCAGCTTCTCTCGAGCTTAATATTGTTGCTAATTAAGTTCATGCATTTTAAAGATGTAATATAATTTCTCCCATACATTTTTTTTTTTCCCCTGTTATTGGAAGTACTGCACCTTCCTCTTTCTTCCCTCTTTTTCTTTCTTTCCACCGTCTGATAAAGGAACCAAGAAAAAGCTAACAAATTTGCCTGTGTTGCTGATACCTGTTGTGCGTAAATCCCTTAGCGTCCTTGTTTGATGGTCCTGTTGGATTGTACATATGTAATGTAATTTGAAATTAAATTTTGGATGAATATATTTCAGGGGATCGGAGTGGTTAAACAGTTCCAAAGCCTCATATGACCGAAAGAAAGGCGAGGCCCGAGGAAGATCAAGCTTTGAACTGCCCGACGTGCAATTCAACCATCACTACACCCTCTCTCAGCCAAGATACTTCTGCAACATTTCTAACTCTTCCAACATTTTTCCAAACACCTCATTGTCTCACCGACCTTCGCGTAACTTGATTTCTTTTGTATTTATTCAATTTTTACACAATACAGCAAGGCCGTTCAAAAACGTCCGAAGAAGTCACGTATATAGTCTTCCAATATCTTTTAAATTGTTATCCATTTTTATATTTTATATTTATTATTTAATTTACTTGATATCCGCCATCGTTTAGTGTTAGATTCTCTAAGTATGAGTATTTGGGAACCGACTATATTTCATTGGATCTTATGCAGATATCGATCGTCTGCAATTTTTAATGAATGTTCACTGCAGTTTGAATCAACTGATTTGGTTTGCTATAAACTTTGACTTAGTAGATTGAATTAAGTCAATCCATTTTTAAACTAGTCAGTTAAGATTTGGATCTAGTTTATCCTGATTAAGCAAGAAAATCACGCTAAAAGATCACCTAAAAGGAATCCCGGGTAAAAATAATCTTTTTTATCTCAACTCTCAAGTCATTTACTCTTATTTAAATGGGAAGAAAATATGAGAAAAAATAAAATTAAAAGAGAAAACAAGAAAGAAAACATATTTTCTCTTGTTTAATTTGAAAAGATTTTTTTTAAAAAAAAATATAGAGTAAAGCTTACTGCTTTTCTCTCTTCACATAGAGAGAGATTTTGTGAAGAAAATTTTCATTTCAATGTTGCCTTCCTTTCTTCTTAATTTCCTTAGTTCTGATTCTTCTGAACCTTCTTTTAAACACTGTTTCAGACTAGTCATATCACACACATCTTCACCCTTACTTTTGCAGCCATCATCTTCTCTATTTTTGATTTTTATAAAATGAACACAGTAACGTGGGGAAAGAATTTTTGTTGGAAAACAAATCAGGCTAATATTTATATATTTGCTTTTTAATCTTTCATTAATGTCCGTTAATTTGATTTCTCACGTGTTATTATATTTTCATTTTAACAAGATTACTCTTTTTGATTTTTAAATAAAAATATATCTTGCCAAATTCTTTGATGTTATAATATTTAGAGGGTCTTTTTTTTTTTTGCCTTCAATCTATTTTAATAAAGGTAGTGACTACTCCTCCGATCCTGTATATTAGTCACATTTTAGAAGCATAATCTAATTCACTTTATAAGTCACTTGTTGATAGAATTATTTTATTTCAAATTAAAATTTCCAAGCAGCCCTTAAAAAGTAAGAGAAAGAGATAGAAAAAATAATATTATAAGATTGACTTACTTCTTACCTTTTACTTTTTACTTTAGGGTTATATTTAAAATTTTACTTACTTTTATTTCTTATATTTTTATTATATTGATATTAATGAGTTTGGTAAAAATAACTTATAAATAAAGCAATGTGACATAATATATTTTAATATAAGGGTATTATTGTTATTACATCATTTGCCTTTTTTTTTCGTTCATCCAAACAAAACAAGTGATAATATTATCCCTCTAATTTTTTTTCTACGAACTTTTTTTCTCATCCAAATAGAGTATTAATATATTTGATTTGTTTAGATGGGTTAGTCAATATAACCCTTTAAAAAAAATCTAAGGGCATAATTACACTAGCCTAAATCTAGTTTTTTTTTTTTGAAAAAAAAAAAAGAAACATAGCTCAAAGCCAACTCATGTGTCGCACACTCTAGGGCAATCCCGAACAATTACGCACAAGCCACCCAGGCGCATGATAAAACAACGAAATCTCTTCCCAGCCCCTTTCAATGCTTCCTTTGCTACAACATCTGCTGTTGCATTTCGATCTCTATTGCTTCACACAATATCAGCATCCTATTCACAAACAACCATCTACTGGATTTCATGAAGTAGGTCGCCTTCTATATGTGCTCGTCCAAAATTTTTGAGTGTACCGCCTTTGCCACCGCCAGACAATCAGCTTCCACGCACTCCTTCCACCACCCCATCTCCTAAGCCCTCTTCAATCCCCATAACATGCCCCACACCTCTACATGGAAGCTACTGCCCCTTCCAATATTGAATAAGAAACTTCCCAAAACCAACCCAATATGATCACGGGTTACACCTCTGCATGTCACTACTCTCCCCGATCCCTCGCTTGCACCATCAACATTGAATTTAATATACCTCGGCAAAGGAACCTACTATTCTCTCAAGCTCTATGCCATACTCATGCCCTCTAACATGAGAAAATGGCCGTAGCTTGTGCAAGGATCACTTGCACGATCACACGCGTTCCCTTCAAAATGCAAGTGTTCTTGTTCAACCACAATAGATAGCATACAATAGCAAACCAAATGCATCGATTAGCTCTCCTGTACTTGATTCTTCGTGTAAGATTCCAGTTTATCCAATGCACATGGTTCCTATACCCGAAAAATGAACCATGCAAACTAGATGGCATAAGCTAGTTCCTGCATTCAAATGCCACAGGGCAATCCCTTGACACATGCAAAATATCCTCTCTCCCACTACAACACACAAAGTGGTCTTCCTCCATTGGCAATCCTCTCGACACGCGCATAGAATTCGTTAGAATTCTGCCCTGCAAGCATAACCATAGAAATGGTTTATACCCTTAGGATACCTTTAATTTCCATAAATTCTGCCACCATCTCCCTCGATCATCCCCCTGTTGGAGCATAAGCTAGCATAGGTAGACTTCATAATGAAGTCACCACTGTTCTCATAAACGAACAATCACAACGCTACTTATCTTTATTGCTTTTTTTACATCACGTAAAATAAATATTATATTTTACAATAAAATTGTACAAGTATGCTTGAAAAAAATTCTAGTCATTTCAACTTTTCAAATTTTCAAATTAAATCTTAGTAAAAACAATAAACAAGTCCTTTATGGGCACAGCAATATTCCCAGGCATTAATATATGTTTATACACGCAATAAGAAAAACCAATATTTTGGTTATGAAAGAATATTTCAATGTTATATCTTCTTCAAACTATAACTAACTCAAACATATAGCTAGCTCCTTAGCCACTATAACAAATTAATTTGCAACATTGAATGATATTAACACCATTATTATGACAGCAAAAGGAATCTATTGGCCAGTGATGGTTAAGTTTTACCATTTAGAATGTTGTTAATTGCCCCAATGCACTTGTTTATTTTTCTGAAATGAAATCAAGTAAAAATCTGGCAATCAATAAATGAAATAGGGCAATAAACAATAGTCAATGGACAACAAACAATATCAAAATCAATAAGTTGCCTTAAGATGATTTAAAAACTTGAAATGAAAATAAATTAAATAGAACAATGAACAATATTTTATAAATAAATGAACAAGTGAAGTAGAATAATGTACAAATAAAGTATAACAATTTTGATATTAATTTAAATGATGAACAATTGTATCATTTTTTTAAAAAATTTAATATTAAATAAGGATTGTTGGACTGCAATAATATTTTAAAAATTTAAGAACTTTGATTCAAAATAAGTTTTCAATGAGCCTTTATTGATATTTTTCATTGTGTGTGTGTATTTCTTTTCTCAACTTACTTTACTCCCTCCTCAAACCTCTTTCGTCCGTCCCTTCTTGCTTTGTTTTTTAATATATTATTATTATTACTATTTTATTTACTCTTATATATATATATATATATATCATTTTTATTTTAATTACTATTACTGTTATTATTTTCATTTTAAAAAATATTAACTTGAAATTTTATCCTACCTTAAATTAAAAAATATTTTTAATTAATTTATTTACCTTCAATTATTCTTCCTAATTTCTATTACCTCTAATTAATTCTAAAAATTTAAATTGAGATGTTATATTTACCATATTGAACCTATTTTCAGTATATTCATTTTTTCTATTACAAATGTACGACTGTTTTTCTTCGAATACATAATATTAAGTGTTCATTTAAAATATTTAAAGAGGTTAGAAATTATTCTAAAAGATTAAAAAATCAATATGATGAAAACCAAACGTTAATTAACTATAACAACACTGAACAAAATAAGATGATAAGTTTTACACAAGATTAAATTAAGGAATGAAGGTAACACTGAAACATGTAATTGAAATTACTAAAATAATCATCATCGCTTTTAAAAAATCACTGTACTGCCTCTTTTGTGATAAAAAATACACCACATTATTACTCATGATAGCTGAACTAAGTCTAGAATATCTCAAATCTACATTTGATGCGATGGTATCTTGGTTAGCACGAATCTATGGCATGTGATATTTCCTTGCTCATTCTAAATTTCAAGTAGCATGCAAAATAAAGTGCTCCCTCAATTTGAAATTTGAATTGTTGGGTCCAACGAAGACTTTTCAGGAGGCCCCACTCAGATACGAAAAACCAACGCGGAGGACCTAAGTAAATTGGTTAGGTCACGGCATTGGCTATCAATGGCTCAGAAGGAAGCTCCCAAGAAATCACCGCCTTCCTTGTGTTTTTTTTTTCTTTCTTTTAAATTATTTATTTAATCATTTAATAATTGAGCAGCATCGAACTCAGAGGCTTCGATTTAAGTAAGACTTTTACACCTATTCATTGCATTAATTGTCAATAGTCAGTTGTCTTGAGTTTGAATTTAGCCTTAACATGATTGTGTATGTACGCAGGCGCGTATCTTCCTCGTTTTTTCTTTTGTTTTTTTTTTTAATAAGGAAGGACTAGGTTAAAAATAAAATTTTACTTATTGCGCTGCTTTACAAAAACTTGCAACTGAAACTAAACATACAGTGGTATGAAGAAAAAGAATATTGTGATTAATGAACACTTGGTCTGACTGTAGATGTAAATGACACAAAACTTGGTGATAAAAATGAAGTTCGTTCTTCCTTCCTTCGTTGCTTGTCCTAATGCGATGGGAATTAACAAATGAAAGACAGGTCAAACGTGTCCAATTATAACACACATCTAAACTCAAGGCGTGACTGGCGACAGACGCCATTGGAGAGAAGGCAATAAATGTCATGGGTAATCAGTTTTGTCTGGCCGAACCTTTGACGGTCTACGGAAAAGCTCACTATTCTGAATCCTATTTAACCTCTAGTTTAACGGTAGTGACAACATGACCTCCAAGTCATAATTGATAGTTGTTGGACTCGGACTCGTTCCTTTTTTGACATTCCGCTCCCACGTTCATTTCGATGCCCTCTCTGAAACAGACCCAGCACTCGATTCAGAACTGGAAAATGAAGTATCGCAACTCTAACAAGGTTTCTGCCAAATGGGTTCCCATTTTCTCTGTCGTTTCATTCCTCCTGGGTGTGCTCATCGCAAGCAGGTCTCTTCCTCGCCCTGGATTTCAATTACTTTGATCTTTCCGTTTTTATTTCCAAGCCAAAACAGAAAAAGAAAAATGAACGAAAACTAGCGAGTTAGCTTGATATTCGTATTTCAATTATATGAGCTCTATCGTGACTGGAAATCGCGGTTCTTACAGGATATGGGAACCTACTGAATCAAACGGCCAGCTTGTTTCGTTGCATCGGAATAATAAAGAACTGCAAGTCGTCTCCAAGGATTCTACTTCTGAAAAGGCATTTCCCCCCTGTTTTTCAATTGCATTTCTAAAAGCGTTTGATTCTTTTCTTTGATCTTAAAATCTTTGGGTTTTCTTGCTATATCAGAAGCCTGTACGAAGTCAGGACGTAATAAGCGAAGTTTACAAAACCCACGAGGCTATCCAGTGAGTGCTGTTTTGAATCTAATTCCATTTCCCTAGATTTGTCTGCAATGGCGGTTGTTGTTGAATATTTACTATTCTTTATTTCTTTGGATGCATGCCAGATCTCTAGACAAACAGGTTGCCATGCTTCAAATGGAATTAGCAGCAGCTAGGAGTTCTCGAGAAATGGGTGTCTCAGATGGCTCTGCGGCGACCACCTCTGAGAAATATACGGAAGCACCTCCCAGAAAGAAGGCGTTTATAGTAATTGGCATAAACACAGCTTTTAGCAGCAGGAAGCGGAGAGACTCAGTTAGGGAGACTTGGATGCCACAAGGTAATGGATTGCTCGGGAGAGTGGATTTTATCTCTAAGTGATGGATTGATTTCTCATGGAAGTTTGGGTTTTGCAATACTTTTGGCCAGGAGAACAGCTTCTTCGATTGGAACGTGAGAAGGGAATTATCATCAGATTCATGATTGGCCACAGGTAATTACTTGGATGATTCTGATTGCAAAGCTTTATCCATTAACCACATGATCACTTGAATCAGGATAGAGTCGTGTATTTTCGTAACTGATGTTGACCAGTAGTGTTCAATAAGTATACTTAACAGGTTCTAAAAGGATTTCATAAATACAATATGAAGCTGCAGTACCTTAATTCTATTCCTTTTTTGAATTATTGCCTAAGAGAATGGCGAATGACCACAAAATAGGCTTTTGCCATCTCTCCCTACCTGTAGCCCTAGAAGTGTCGGCCGCAAGCTACTTGTAACCCGTTTCTATCTTCTTGTTACTGTAAATGGCCAAATATTATTGACGGCTTATCAACCTTGAAGTTACTCCTTTCCTTGAAGCCTACGTTGTCATTTCTTATTTTCTCGTTATGTACCTCTTATTCAAGAATTAATATCACTTCATTTCTCTGGTCATTTTGCCTATGCCTGTACTCTGACAGCCATTGTTGCAGCTAGATCTCCAATCCTCCAAATTTAGCTGTTGTAAAGAATTAGGAATTAGGGAGTATTTTCAAAATCTTGTATAAATGAAAGCAACGGCTTGGAAAAACTATTTTTGGGATCTGGGTGTGATAGCCACAATTATTGCATAAATCAATACTTTTTTATAAGAGATAATTGGATGCAAATTACAACATTGTGGAATTGACATGATGGATTTCTGTGGTTGTCTCAGTGCAACTTCCAATAGTATTCTTGATCGAGCCATTGATTCAGAGGATGCCCAGCATCATGACTTCCTTCGGCTGGTAAGAAATTTCATTATAATTGTTCAAGTGAGAATAATCTGGAATATCTGGCAGGGATCATAATATTGATTACGCATTATTGTGCAGGAACATGTTGAAGGGTATCACGAACTGTCTGCAAAGACAAAGACTTTCTTCTCTACTGCAGTTGCTAAATGGGATGCAGATTTTTATGTCAAGGTGGATGATGATGTCCATGTCAACTTAGGTATACGCTGTCTCAGGATTCTAAAATTCTTTCTCGGGTTTCCTGCTATCCTCACAGAGAAGGTTTTTGTTGTGTTGCTAATTAGGTGTCTTGGCATCAACTCTGGCTCGTCATCGTTCAAAACCGAGAGTCTATATTGGGTGTATGAAATCTGGACCTGTTCTGGCCCGAAAGTAAGTCCACTTGATCATTTTTTGGTCCCATTATGAGATATAGGTTCTATTCTCTTCTGTGCCCCGTGTAGTGGATTGGTTTTATCTTAAGAATTTGCTTTCATAATTCTAGGGATGTCAAGTATCATGAGCCTGAGTTCTGGAAGTTTGGAGAAGAAGGGAACAAATACTTCCGACACGCCACTGGACAGATATACGCAATTTCTAAGGATCTGGCTACCTTCATTTCCATTAACCAGTAAGGATATGGTTTTTCGTTTAGTAATTAATTGCTACCTACCGGTTGCCAAGCAATGCATGTTTAATTTTTGGTGGATATGAAGCAATCAGTTCAGTCGTTTAGATTATTTCACAGCTGAACTGAATTTCCTTGAATGTGAAATTTAGCCTCAAACCTGATTTGCTATTGTGCAGAATATCATTTCTGGGGATTTTAGTAAAAGCAAAAAACTTATTACTAGGTTAAATTCTTTAACAGGATGGATACGTAAAATGTGCTTAAATTTATAAACTCAACCCATGGAATGCCATCTCTCACGTTGCATACAAATATAATATATAGGCTCTGATGTATGCTTGGCATAGAATACTGATGGGAGTACAAATTGTGAGTGCAGGCCAATATTGCACAAGTATGCTAATGAAGATGTCTCGCTTGGTTCATGGTTCATTGGTCTCGAAGTTGAACACATTGATGACCGCAATATGTGCTGTGGGACTCCTCCAGGTATGCTATATGTCTCTGATTTTTTTCTGCTCTCAATAACTACCAAGTAATATAGGTTCTTCTGGATGCGGTTCTCATATGGGATTGATGCTTTCTTATAGACTGTGAGTGGAAGGCGCAGGCAGGTAACACATGCGTTGCTTCATTTGATTGGAGCTGCAGTGGAATCTGCAAATCAGTGGAGAAGATTAAATATGTCCACCAAAAATGTGGTGAAGGGGAAGGAGCTGTTTGGAGTGCTTTATCTTGAATTGATTCAGATGACGAAGGCTTTTGCGTGGTTGGAAGAAGGATTCATTGTTCGCTTGACTCTGGAACTAACAAGGCAATTTTGAGACAGAAATCCAACCAAATACATAGAAATGACAGAAAATTTTACACCCATCTAAGGCTGGTTGATTATTTTCATTGAAGCTGTTCGTTCAAGTCTGGAATTGAACGGCATGAATATGGATTTACAGATCTGTTCATACCTTCTGTCTTGCTCTTGGAAGTTGGAGGATATGGATAGGCCTCTTTTTTTTTTTTTTTTTTTTTTGCCCCTCTCCTCATTTTATATTCGTTTCTCTTTATGGTTGATTTATTTTATTTTATTTGTCAACATTCCTCTTTATAGATATGTGTTGTGTTCTTTGTAATGAAAATCATTGTCTTAATTGTTTCACTGATACGGTTCAATGTGATAATATAATTTATATATCCAGGGATGATCACTTGCAAGTGTACTGTACCTTCATTGCTCACTTTTCTTGGGCGGGGTGATCAATTTGTAAAATTCGTCTACATGCTCGAGCTACCTAACCTCCTCCTAATTTAACAGAACTGAAATGATATAATTTCTTGAAACAGAAGAGTTAAAATTACTCTGAAGACAGCAGAGCATCAGAAACTCTGTTACCAAGTGGAATATTTTCCGTCAAGGCCGTCACGTCACGATTTATGGAAGTGAGTTAGAGATTGACATGGAATCTGCACATGCTCTGCTTTATGGGCTTTCAACTGATTTGCAAGATCATTCAGCTCTTAGTGGTCAAAATTCCGGACATGTTTCCAAATCAGAACCTAGCAATCTGAAAGCAAGAGTACATTCCAAGGAGGATTGGGGGAATCAAGTTTTCACTGAGACCTAGCAATCAGTGAGGAGGAAGACCCGCTGAATTATAATACCAAAACACTTTTGTTTTCAAGTATCCATGTGTTTCCAAATGGTTATCTCTTACATTTCATCTTCCATCCAACCCACAAAATCATGCTCAGTAAAAAGCTGAAACCGCATCAGTCTTCAGGTAGTGATCGTAGGCTCGTAGCCTTGTATGCTTCGTTTGCATCAAACACAAGCATGCGATGCTCATCCATCATGACATGCACTCTTCGGCAATGATGGTCATGCAGCTTCACCTTCACTTTTGAATCATTCCCCATTTTGCATCACTATAGTGCTCTTCACTTTTTGGACGCTGTTGCTCTTCCAGAATTGATGTCGACTGGGTGCCCAAGTTTTCCCCTTTTAAAATAAAAAAAAAGGAAATTATTTATCTAGATACAAAATGCTGATCTTCTGATAAATCCTTTGCATTAAGCACCCTATTGATGGCGATTACTGACTTCCGAAGATTTCCTGATGTAACAGCAAATAATTAATGTGGAACTTCAGAATCGACATAATAAAAACATAGGGGATGAAGATATGAAGTGTTCTTAAAGTTAAGTAGAAAGATTTTGGCCTTTTGCGTTGGGCACCAAATAATGAAGCGGCATTAATCCAATTGATTAGTGCATGACACACGACACAACAAGCGCTGTGGGATGTCCGGGACTGCATGGGAGGTATTCATTGATTTTATAAGCCACGTGCCTCCCACATGCACACGATCATTGGCTGTCGGCCGCAGACATACGAATCATCATACATATATAATCCATTCTGTCGCACGTGATTGATTCCTCATTTTGGCTTCACCAAATTATTCAATATCATACCCGCCCGCTTAACATGTTTCGTCTGGGGAATGACGTTTACGACAACTTTAAAGTATTTTGTTTTAAAATATAAAATAATTTAAAAAATTTAAAATTTAGTTATTAAATGAAGAGATAATTGAAATGATATCATCACATCATAATTAAGTGTGTTGAAATACTTTTAAAAATTTATAATTTTGTTTTAAAAAAAAGTTTGTAAAATGTCATTTTTCAAGATCTATTAATATGTATAATCTTATCTCACATTGTCATAGTATAAAGGGCCTAGATTATAAAAGATCTTTGTTTAACTTTGACCAGAGTTGTATTCATGTCAATAGTTAAGCACAACATTTTACTCCTATAAAGTATTTCTAAGCATGAGAAAATCATTTTGACAACGAAAAAAATTTATTTAAAACACTAAGAAAATCACGGTCAAAAGTTGCGTAAGTCAAAGCCCTCATGCAGGGGTAAGCTTATAAGTGGCAAAAGTGAGACACATGGATCGCGTGGCGAGAAATGGATTATGGGCCCCAACCCCTCAAAACACGCTAACCCCGTTACCTATACTTCGATGCCGTCGTAATTTTAATTTTAGTTTCTGCGTATCGCTCTGGTGGAAACTCTAGTTTTAGACTCATACGTCTATCACTTGGTTTCATAATTTAGTTATGCACCCCTGAACAGCATTTGCTAGTGCAATGGAACCATATTCTCATTTCCACCCAATCGAATGATGGACAATTATTGATCATTGATGGTTTTCAAGTTGTCCAACAGTAATTTAAAAAAAAAAACAAATGCTTTTACTAAAGTTAGTATTCCTGTCATCTCAAATTATAAGATAATTTTAAATAAAATTTTACATACCAATAAATTTCATTAAATACACTCAATAACTTTATTTTTTTAAAATAAAAATAAAAATTTTAAAAAATATCTTTCATTTATTAATAACCTTAAATCTATACTAAATTAATATTAAATAGAGTGAGAAAAATGATAATATTAAAATAAGCTTATTTAATAAAATATTAATCTTGTCAAAGTTGTGTCTTTTATCTTGGGATGTCAATTTTTTTTTTAAATGTCTTAGTATAATTTAAAACGGAGAGATTAATATAGTAGAACTTAAAATATACTAAGGAGCTTGAGGTTGGCGGATAAGGGGGCAAGGTTTTATTGCCAAGGCCATTGTTGGTAATTACTGTCTTTGATTCTTTTGACTTATTGGAAACCTCATTCCCAAATTATGTCGCGGTTTGGAGTATAATAGAGCTGTAAAAGAGAAATTAAACAAGCGGAAAAAAAACAAAAAAAGAGAAATTAAACAAGACAATAAAGGGTGTGATGAGCCTATGATTCATGGAGCAACCTGCGCATAGGTAGTTTCAAGCATGATCATCTGGTTGTTGGGACGAAGGACGATTCAAATCTCATTAATATATTGAATTAAATCTTGCCTTCGCCAAACTCCAATAGGATAAAATAATCAACCAATGAATGAAGCGGTCCTCCTCATCCTCTTTCTCCTCCCCGTGTTCCAAGTCTTGATGATCGTTTTCCGCTCTTTTATTTATCTTTAATTATTCCACATGTTGACCAAGTAAAACTTCGCCGTCTTCTTCACAAACTCCCAAATGACTTGGTCTTCTCGTTCTCATCTCCATCATTCTCCTCCATTTCCTCCATGCTCACCCTTTCTATTCTTCCACTCTCACTTCGATCTTTCGCGCTGATATTTTGTGAACTACGGTGCAACATGGCTGATCATGAACATGGTCGTTATGATCGCTACCACAAGGTTCATCATCATCACCATAGAAGCACATTCCTGCCGATGCTGTGTTCGGGGCCGTCTATGATCAAAGACGTGAGTGTTCCACGGTGGGGGAACCGGACGGCATCGTTCTCCGACGATCCCTCGTCCCCTAGAATCGGCTGTACGGGTCAAGTGAAGAGGAACAACAAAGTAGCGGGGTTACCTACCACCTCGCAATCACGTGGATTCACCAGCCTCACCAACAAAAGCAATGCTTCAACACCCCCCTTCTCTGCTCTGATTAAGTACTCCAAACTCAGGAAGATTTTCTATGCCAAGAGTCTAACCACTAACACTCCCGATACTGCTCACACGGTGACGAGTTGTGGAAGTAGGCGTCGATATGCCGTGAGGAATAATAAGAATAGAGACGAGACTTGTGTTGCTGTGAGCATTGATGAGATGGACCCTCCATTGCCGGTGGTAAAGCGAGCACAGAAATCGGAGGAAGAAAGAGAAGCGGAAAGTCTTTGGAAAAGGAGATCTGGCGGGGTTGCCTTGAAAACTCTTCAGCTTCAACACATTCATCATCCAAGGCATCTTCTTCAGCCTACTGGTGTATGATTGGATGCAATTTTTTGTTTTTGGGCTAAAGATGAAGTAAATGATCTTTAGTTTAGCTTAACCAACTTTTAGCTCGGAAGAGTTTCTTCATTTTCATTAGTACCCCCGTTATGGTGACGCAGCACTACCACTGGGTCATAGATCGAGGCCCTTGAACCCAGGTTAACCAGAAAACTCATCACTGTCTCTTGAAAATGCCGCAAGGTGTAAATTAGTATAGGAATAAAGCAGCCCATTAGAAATGGAAGCTGCAAGCAGTTCAAACCTTGGAGGGCGCAATGTTTAGAGAAAATCGTAGTCCTTGGGAATCTGCGTCTCCAGAATGAACCGATGGATCATTGCTGAAATTTATGATTTGTCAAGCCACAGAAACAGAAGTCGGGAGAGAAGAATATATGGTACTACCACAGCTATAATCATGGGGAAAAAAAAAAGTATTTTACACATATTTCTAGACATTCGCAGATTGAAAACTGTTGAAAGCTCGAGCTCTCACAGCATATCTCGTTCAACAGTTACCCAAGACTAGTGTTCAGTCAACATCATGCATGTTAGCAAATACAAGACAGTGCGCGTATGGGAGGAAAATTCAATCCCGACTACAATGGACGCGGCCAGGGTCAATGATGTTAAGCTGTGTGAAATCACACACACCGCAGAACACTTCTAATCCAACAAACATCTTTCATCTTTTCGTTCGTTCTTTCTTTTTTTCTTCACTTTTTTAAGATAAAAATAGAAAAAGGTGCTCAAGCCCAAAACAACAAAACATTTTATGAACTGTCGGTAAACGTGAGAAAATCGTTTTAACCAAAAACAAAAGAACTCGAGAGAACCATCGTCAAGAGTCCAGAACTCTAATGGAGGGGCAAGTATAAGCGTTAAGGTAAATGTGATACACGTATTGCGTGGGATAGTATGAATGGCGCTCAAAACCCGCTAATTTGATCACCTGTTCTTTGACGCCGACGTTATTCGACTTTTTTGCGCCGCACTATTCTTGTAAATGCCATGTGGTGGTTAACAGACTAACAGAGTCACAGTCGAGTGGTATGATATTGTGCAAATAACGTGGCCCATTGGAAGGGTCTATAGAAAGCCCATAACAAATCAAAATATTCACAAATTATACATGATACATCTTATTTCCTTGACTAGGTGTAACATGAGGGGACTCACCTAGTCACAATCAACATCAATAGACTCTAACTGATATGCTCAGCTTAACCCCCCCCCCCCTTCCCACCCGGCTAAACCAGCTCAAGTGCAGATTAGATTCGGCGCAGCATAGAACATGACAAACAAAATGGGCATGATGAGATGCAACTAACATGGGTCTTCCGATTTTCGCTTCAAGGGATAGGAAGCATTGGACCTCCTGTGCTAATTCAAGTACGCAACAACCCTTTTTTAGCTAACACATACAGTGTGATATTTAATAAATCTATCCTAGAATCTATACCCATACAAGATTTAAGTGTCTGTTGGATGATATGTCACCATCACCCTTGTTCCTTATAAGGAGTCCAGATCAATTTGCTGACATCAACCTCCAGACCGCCTCTTCCAGCAGCTTTGAGATGGCGATCCAAAACTTTTGGATCGGCACATATAACATGCTGTCCTTTCCTGTATTGGATCAACTCTAGGCTCTGAAGGGTAGTCAATATATCTTCAGCTTTTATGGCTGTCATATCACTCAGCTCCTGTGGAAAAGTAGCCAATCACTAGTCAGGGATGGTGAGAGAAATCCCAAAATACATAATGCCATAAAATAGTCAACTACTAAAATATCTTTCGTTCCACATCATTATTCAGCATTGTAAGTAATAAGTTTTAAGATCATAAAGAGACTTTCAGCAGTAACCACCTCCTATGAGGAACTCGATTTGGAATCGTAAACAACCAATATTATATGGATGAATTAATCCAAACACATGTATTGATGTACATAACTAAAACCCAATCAGAAAAAAAATTGAACATTGGTATCAAGTGATAAAAAAGGAATTTTATTTCCAGACAACTTACTGATTTCATAATTAGTTGATTTCTTTAACAGAAATAACCAATTCACATTTTGGGCAAAGAAAGTAATAGACACATTTCAAGAAAGAAATACAAAGGATGCTTACCTTAATAGATATATTACCCTTATGCTTCTTCAAGATGTCCAAAAGAACCCTGGTCCAATATCCTCGGTAGCTCAGCAACCCAAGGTCAGAAAGGGGTCTTTCAGGTGTGCCAACTTTGCCCTCCTTCTTAGAAAGTTCATATGCTGCTCCATGTTTGAAATAATAACGGATTTTGCTTATATAGGACTAAAACATATATGCGGGATCTATTATCCAAAGAGATATAGAGCTTACAGAAAGCTATTAGAAATTTGCCATAGCCTTTCCTTTGGTAGGGTGGAAGGGTGAGGATGCACGCCAAATTATAAGATTCCTCTGAATGTTTTTCCTTCATGATTAAACGTAGAAACAAGCACTGATAAGGCTAGCCATCGTAGAAGGAAAAATACTAACCAATAAGTATGAAAACAGCGGTGAAGAAAGCAGAAAAGAGTTAAGTGCTTCATATCACAGAACTATTATAACTGTCTGTGTATGTACGACATAAAATTAACTCCTCTTGAAATTGAAGCTACCACATAATTAAAATAAAATAATTAAGTAGGGAGCTAAACTACGTGATAAATGACTCATGCTCCTCTAAAGTTTAAAAAAGGTCCATATTCAGTATATTTATAACAGACAAAATAAATGGTCCAAAAAGTCATTGGAAGGTCATACATGAATTTGAAACATCTCATTCGTAACAAGAGTAAGTAACAGCAAAGAAATAACATTACCTTGGAGAAATAGCCAACCATATGGCATCCTCGATCATCACATTCACACAAAACATAGAACAGAAACAAGTCTACATCATAATAGAGGGTCTTGTGATCAAGAAACAACTTTGCCAGATAACAGAGATTCTGCCCATAAATCTTGTTCTTTTTGCCATCAACCTGTTTTTACAGACAAATTGAAGGCAACCAAAGAAAACAAAGTATCAAATCAAAACAATAAACACACACAGAGTAACATAGGAGAATATCATATTTAGTTTACAGTTAGTAATTGACTGTTAAATAATTGCATGGTGTGCTTCTTTACCATTGAAATGAAATGTATCAGAAGATAAATTGACAAGAAAGTTCAATATCAGGCATTGATCAAGTAAAATCATACTAAAATGCATCAAAGGTAAAAAATTCACCTAGAGTCCAATCAATCCATAAATTGAACAGATGTAGATCTCGAGAAGATTGAAAAATGAGAAAAGCACAAATCCCACCAACAATAAAGCATGTGCATTGAAATTCACTGGAAGCCATTCAACAATGGAGATCGACAAAGCTTTAAAAATGACCAATTAAAAGAGAAAAGAGGAAAAAGGATCTTTAAAAATCAATTGCCAGAAACATGATAAAATATCGACTATTGACTAGAAATAACAAAACAACACAAGCCATGATAACAAAGTACCTCAAACATTGACAGAGTACCACTTCTGTATATCTCATCACCAGGGGGATGCTTAAGGTCACATTTCCTCTGCATGAACAAGGTAAGGGGAAGAAGAAAGGTATATAAGATAGTTCAGGTTAAGTATGTAAACCAACAAATTACTTCTTTTTCTTTTTGAGGACAAACATATAGGGAAGGGGAGGGCAGATTTTTTTATTTAAGAAAACAAATCCAACTAAAAACAAGGACATAGAAACAAAATAAATTTAAAACCTAAAAATTTAAAATTCATAAAGTTGAATGGACTCTAATTGTGAAGTGAACATGTTTTATACTAGTTTTTCAATAGTTTTCTAAAGATGCAGTCAAAAGATTAGTGATCCATTAAAAGTGGCATCCCCTTTATAAACGTTCAAGTGTTTAAGCAAATCTTAACACACACCTACACAAACGCACGTGTTGGGATGCTTTTCTTTTCTTTTCCACTCTTTTTTTTTTTTGGTATAAGAAATTTTCAGCAGCTGAACGAGGTTAAATTTTAACAGCTGCTATGACTCCTCAGAAGCTAGAAAGTGGGTTAAAATGGTGCAAAGAAAACACACCTTATATTGATTTTCTTTTTTGGAATTCTTTTGACACGATAAAAGGCTTTTCTTCTATATGATAGTACTGATAAGAAATAAGAATACATGTAACTAACACCAGTTGAAGTAAACTACAAATCCTCAAAAGAAAACAGACATCATTGCAAAGCAGAATAGAAAAGAAGCTAATCAGATGCACACTCCTTCAAAAAAGCATGGTTAACTAAAAAATAACCGCTCCATAAAGCAAAAAAATATAAAAGGAAATTTGAAGCACAGCTCACCATATGCCTCTGAAGCTGTTCTTTGCGCTTCATGAAATTGAGACAAAATTCACAAAAGTACAGCTTCACACAGTCATTGTATTCTGGTGGGAATGGGGAGAAGTACCAAGTCTCAATCTCATATCTTCCAAGCTCAATAGTGGCTATATTTTTCACTTTTGTAAATTCCTCATGCTCTCGCAAGCTAGCGGCATCAAGTTCCTCATGCCCCTCCTATAATGCAGCAATAAAAAATGTGTGACAAAATTATAAGAAACAGAGTAGCAACTGGACGCAGGATAATTTGACCAAAATATGCAGATTTGTCTCATCAACATATATATATGCAGATTCTCATAGGAGAAAGTAATTATCAGCATCAAGATCTAATGTACTTCTAACTTGAGTTTCATATTGATCATGCAGTCAATCTCACCAATCTACATGTTTCGTCATCCGACTTCATGAGTTAATTTCTCTCTGAAAAACCACACAAGCCAAAAAAAAAAAAAATTGCAATAAGAGATCTTTCTCTTTGCACGTAAAGTGTTTTTCATTTCTGAAAGGTCCCGAGAGTGAGAGGGTTCAATTCTTTTGTATTTTTATCTATTACTGCTCATCCACAGAAGTCATATAAGCAGCAAAGCATAGAAAACTGCTTATTTCAAGTATAAATTTGCTCAAATGTATGAGCTTTTGCAAGGGTACCAGAACTAATTATGTACACTTCCTAACAATCTGTAGGGCAAAGGCCTTAATTTCAATTAGCACTCACTTATCCCAGAAACACATAAGCACAAGGAATGAAGTCTAGTAGGTGTCTTTCGAGCAAGCATGCAATTGATCAGGATGAGATAGAACTCAATACCTCTACATGTGTCTCATCAATCTTCCTCTTTTGGTGGCGTGTCATCTTCAAGCTTGTCACCTAGGAATTTACAAATGCAATATTCTAAATGAGAGGCAGACAATATTAGCACAAAGATGGCCAGCTCATGTGACAGCAGGTATGTATAAATCATTCCAGGCTACCAATAAATGGAGGAATAATAGTTCTTGGTACCTGAAGCCACCCAAAATCGAAAGAAGAGAAAGGAAATAATATATTTTCATAGAATAAATCAGTTACAATGAAAATGCCCAAGTTCCTAAAACAAATTCCACCAAGCCCCAGGGTTTATTTGGAAAAGCAGAGCTATTTGGCAAAAATATAACTATTACCTTATCCTCCACTTTCTCATCAACAACAGCCTCCACTGAATCAAGATCAAGTTGCTCTAGCTTCACCCACTCGTCAAGCCTCCTATTAACTACCAAGAACAGATATATAAAGAATCAGAGACTAATATGATATCTCACTATTGCAATTAATTAGAATTTCGACCAAACGTAACCAGATGTGAGATGGCACGGCGATAGTTTGGCTCAAAACGGTTGACATGAAGTGATAATTAGAAAAGTACTAAGAAATAAGTATACCAAGCATCACGTTCACAGGCATCAATCAAGTAGCTCTCACGCTACAGAACCAATTTTCATAAATTCAAAACCTGAACCAACATCAATGTCACGCTCAGACACATCATAGCCAAAACCCTAACCATTCAGAATCACGCAACATCAAGGTGCCGATAAAATGAAGGTCTTACACTCAGTGTAATGGACGTAGTACTCATAATCATTGGGGCCACCGGTTGGAATCTTGCGGCGTTCAATGACTTTTACAGGGTGAAACTTTCCATCCCTCCACCGGCACAAGACCCTGGTACCAACCTCCAGGGGAAGCAAAGCAATCCTTCGCTTCTTTGACTGATCGGATTCCAGCGGCTTCTCCGAAGCCATTTCGACATCTCCCGTGTGCGGCAAGGGTACTCCATCGGCAGCGGGAGCTTTCCCGTTACCGGCGACAGGTGCAGAACCGTTTTCCGTGCTTGTCGGTGTCTCTAGCGAGCCCATTTTCCAGTCCCGGTTCCTGCGGCTCCCGATCCCGGTTTAAGTGGCTCCCACGGCAAAGACAAGGAATACAGACACACAATTGAATTAGGCCCATGGACTGACTCTCTTTCACACCCCAATTCCCTTTTTTTTTTGGGGGGGCCAAAACTGCAAAACAGCCTCAAACGTTTTCTTTTTCGACTTGACCCTTGGATGCCCTCAAGACCTCTAATTTGGGAAGAACGAGTTGTTTCAAAGAAGAAAAGAAAAGAAAAGAAAAAAGGCTTAAAAGAGACATTATGATACTAATCGACAACTCACAATAATCTAAAATTCTATAGTGTGTTATTTTATGAAGAATAATACTAATTAAAATAGTTTTATAATTAAAAAAACTCAATTCATAAATTCAAATCAAGTATGAAAGATATAAATGGTTTAACCGTTTAAATAGAAAAATCAAATGACACAATTTTACTTAATTTAGGATTTTCAATGGATAGATCATATCCAAATGAATATATTTTATCCTTATTACATTAAAACAATGTAAACTAATTTTTCTAAACTTAAATTTAAAATAGAATAAATTAATTTTCTAAAGTTAAGAAAAATAATAATAACTAAACTAATTGAACTCATGAGTCTAAATATCTTGGATTGAACCCAATATGTCAAGAATTTTTCTCTAATCTTTTAAAACTCCATTTGCTTTTAGAATTTTTGAAATATCTTCCTTACCTAATTACAATTAGTTATCAAATTTAAGGTAATCAAGGGTCTAACTTCAATAAGAATTACCAAGTTGAATTTTATAGAAACGAAGATCCTAAGTTTTCTCAATATAAAATACTTTTAAATTCACATATTTATCATCAATTAGTAAAATTACTATACGGAAGCATGAGAATTCAAATACCTTGTAGCATTTACAAAAGATGAGAAAAAACATTGCTTTTGGCAAAAATAGCACATGTGCCATGGCATACTGTAGATGCACTGTAGCATGCCATCTTTGTGTCATGTGCCGCGACATGAAATTTGACAACATTTTGCTGCCAAATGACAACACACGAGATGAGCTTCCGACATGTCACAATTCTCTATCCGACATCTGATTGAGATGTTTTAAGTGTCTACAAAGACCTTTCTTCTAACTCTAGCTAATGGCACCAATTTCACAATGAAATCATTTTTCTATCAAAAGTTAAATATCTTTTACAAATCTCTCTCTTTTTTTACATAAACATGCAACTCAGGTGTCTAAACCATAACACAAGTACTAACAGCTTACACCAACCCTCAGACCATACCCAATAAACTATTATGGACTTGTGCAGCACACCACAGTCAAGCCAATCCACATAAATCATAATTTCAACAATCAACCCTTTGATTAACAGTAACATAAAAAGGGCAGTAATTCCATATAAAATTCACAAAATAATCATTAATGTCATCATTTACACTATATCTCACTTGCATTAATATTTTGACCCTATTAAGCTTTACAATCACATATCAATAGCTCAAAGCATAAAATACACAAGATATTTTCAACAATAATGCAAGTAAATAAAAGAATCACATGAGATCCTAGTTAGCAAATTAATAATATTAAAATACACATGATTTAAATTAGGAGGCCTACAGGTAGGATTTAATCAAAATCCTATACCTCTAATCATTTTCTCTTATCTTGATCCAATGAGTTGGACCCTGTAATATTGAAGAATGAGCAATGAATATAACCACTCAGTAATCAAAATTAATCTAACCTATATAATTGCATATCAATTAATTACATATGCAAATGACAATAATTTTACGCTCATCATATGCACATATTTCGAATATAGCCTCGCCTATAAAAATAACAACTATGTGATCAGGCATGCAACACATAGGATCAAATATATTTCAAAAATGCACATCTTAAGGTCACAATAATAACAATTACATGTGCCTAATTAAAACATGCTAAACCACAATAATAACAACTATATTGTCAGAAATAGAATATGCATGATCAATGCCAACCTTATACTTTCTTGATGCCTTAGACATGAAATTAGTGGCTACGCCCATAAATCAAGCTAACCCAGCCTTTTACTTGTGAGGAGCTATCGGATCAGGGTAAACCCACTCACTTGTGATCTTTGATTTTTTTCTCATACTAACAACTATACTATGTCATACCTTTAATTTAGCCTTCTCATGAATCGATAGAGGCTAATTAGGTTTGAGTTACTTAAAGAACAAGTGAGACAATCTTAAACCAACTATGAAACAATGACTACCTCCTAATTTCAACGATCAGTATTAAGGCTAGCATCCAATTTCAGTAGTAAGCCACTATTACCACATAGATTTAACACAACTACTTCTTTCCTTATGTGAATTTTTTCCATAACAATCATGCTATGCACATAATAACACCTACTATGCAAAACTATTAACAATTTCACATTATACATATTCACCACAAGACATATCCATCATGCTCTATGTACCTTGTCAAACACCATAATTCCATAATGTTCATAACTATATATCTACATATGCATGTTTTTATTGAATGACATGATTAACACGTGCAAGATACACATAACACACTTGTCATTTCATCAACATATAACCACACATATCACAACACCTTGCCAAGCTTTACATCAAATATGAGCTTTATACTAATAGTGACTTTTCAAACAATTATCCAAGCCAAATCTTTTCCCAATTACCTTAAACTTTTAAGAAGTCAAAGGTTTACCTCTCGAAATACAACTTCCCAAGCTTCTCCTCAAGTTTGAATAGTGCCAAAATAGTCAATTTAGAATTAAAGCACAAGGATATCCATCAATGCCCTTATTTGAGCAATTTTCAACATTCTAACTTCGCATTCTCTTTTTATCTAAATCACAAACTCACTCCCAATCATATCCATTAGGTTTATTAAGTTTCAATAACTTACATTATCATTAATGAGTAATTAAAACACCATTAATGGGTTCAAAACCATAACAACAACCCTTATTAAGACAGATTTTTAGGTATTAATAGTCTTCACCAACCAATAACTTATAAAATCATTAACACTAGATTTAAATACTCTCAACAACTCACATTTTCACTATTTTAGCAAATGAATTTGGACCTATAACTCAAATGGATTACAAATCATCATTACAACTAAAACCCTAACTTTTCAACTACAGAAAATGGAAGAGAAAGGGAGGAAAAGAGTTTAAAAATCTTACCTTAGATGTTTCCTAACTCCAAAGTACTCCCAAATCTCCAAAGCCATAAGCCTTGATAGAGAAATCACGTTTGCTCTTCATTTTTCCCTTTTCTCATTTTGATTTATATGGATCAAAAATCACCATTACAACTTAAATCCTAACTTCTCAATTAGAGAAAATGGAAGAGAAAGGGAGGAAAAGAGTTTAAAAATCTTACTTTAGATGTTTTCTAACTCCAAAGTACTCCTAAACCTCCAAAGCCATAAGCCCTGATAGAGAAATCATGTATGCTATTCTTTTTCCCCCTTTTCTCCTTTTGATTTTCTGTTTGATCCATGACCAATGTATCAAAAATTTTGGCCATGCTCTATGGCGCATGGCACAAAAAAGGCCTTTCCTCCGTGTATGTTAGTTGTGCACTGCGGTGGACGTGCTACATGCCACAACATATAGCACAAAGATACTCCCTTCATATTTTCTCACTTTTTGACACTCAAGTGATCCGACTTGGCTTCAGACTCAAATTTAAGACTAAAACCATAACTAAATGCACTTATTAAACCTCTCTAGCACACACCATATTAATTCGAATAATTACTCTCTTTTACTTAACTTAATTCTGATTAATTTTCAAGGATTTTACAACTTCTTAATTATTTAAAGCATCCCTAGTTAATGAATTCAAGGCTTCTTTCATCCTCTTAGTTTTAGATCTAGTCATTAGTCCTCTAATACCCTACAATGAATCAAATGTACTAAATATTGGATTATAACTCATCCCTTAATCCTTATCATTCCCTCTCTCTTAAAGAAGATTCATCCTCGAATCATATGTATTAAATAAAGAAATGTCTATAATGTTGAATGTAGCTTATACATTCCCATAGGAGTTAGGAAGGTCTATATTTTAAGCAATATTATTAATTCATCCAACACCTGAAAAGGCCTATTGCCTTTTGGATGTAACTTTGTCTTCCTCATATTTGAAAATCTTACAAGCTTGAGATGTACCCAAACCTAATATTTAAGTTCAAAGACAATTTTTCGGTGCCTTTTGTTAGCTTGTTCATCATACTGCTCATTTCTCCTTTTAATTAAAGCATTCACCTTAAAAGGAGAATAAAACGTAGAATATGTATTTAGGCTTAACATAAAATTATGGCTCAATTTTCCTCCTCCAAGTGTATACTTGTGTATTAGGCCTTTAATATAGTATTTTGGACTCCCAGCACTTATTATAGTCTCTTGAGTATAAGTATCTTCACTTAGATTTTACTCCACTTAGATAACTTGGCTTTTGGTGATTTGATGACATGTAATACCTTCTAAGACATGGTATCAAGTTGTCACATAATCCAATAGTCTAGGATTGGATTGCGAAATAAGATGACATCTTAGATGTCAGTAATGACACCTAAGACATAGTTGTCATACATACTGCCATCTAGGACTAATTTGCCAAATAGGATGCCATATTAGACGTCACATAGGATGACATCATGGATACTAATTAGGTTGCCACATATGATCACATCATTTTCCTCCTTTTGAAGAAGAGTCATCCTTAACTCTTGAGGATCTTTCAATAATGAGCTTATATATTTATTATCTATTCTCATTACTGCATCATTAAATCTCTGTAATGGAGAATCAACACAGCTAGAAAAGAATGATTATGAATGTTAGTGGATAAAACTTTTTTAACCTATCTCTTTTGTTTGTCTTTCTCTAGCTCATATACACTCTCTTAAATATTTTCACTCAAATAACTCCCACTCATATTTTCACCTTTCTCTTTATGTTTGAGGGGATTTTCTTCAACCACAAGTATGGTATTTTGAATAAGAAAGTCTCCT